CAAACGTTCATACCCTCGTTTTCTTGATACTCATCTGCTATCGACGTATCGTTATGTCTCAAATCACTGATGTTGTAGTATCTTCTGATAATAACGGTTCAGTTCACGGTTCATCCATAAACGGTTGCGCGACTGGTTCAAAATCTCGTGATTGTGTGCAAGGAGAAGCTCTTATTCGTGATATGCTATTTTCAGCTTCTCCGACGCAGTCACTGTTTTCTGCTGATGCTACTCAATTAATTTCTTTGGTTCAGGATCATGGTCTTCAAATGCAATTGTCACCTGCTGAAACGAAACACCACCTTTTGCGACATCTGCTGTCTGGAGTTTGTATTCATGCGGGAGCCGGCCAAAGCGGTCCCAAGGCTTGCGGGCTTATTTCTCAAGGTTTTTCCGACGTTTCTTCTCTTCTGGGTTATGTCGTTCGAGAGGTCTCGATCTCTCTATCATCGACATTATCGGTGGCTTCTCTTAAAGACATTGTTCGTGCTGCTGGAGAAGAAAGCTCGCTCGTCCACGCGAATCGTGCCGACTTGATCCGTTTGCTGTCCCATCGGTGTGTCAAGTCTTCGGAAGACGACGTCGTATTGAACGAATTGTTTCTTGGTTTCGAAAATCTATCTCATTCTTCATTGCATGCATACGCTGTAATTCATGGTATTCAATTTCAATCGGCATGTTCCCGCGAAGCTTTGTTGCAGATGTTGATGCACCATTTGTCCGACGGCAGTTGTTTGCACGGCAAGGATCTCTTCCAAGGTTGTTCACGTGTATGTTCTGCTTGTCATTGTGATTCTTCTATGGATGCAGTAACTCTTCAGATTCAATTATTGGATGTCGTAGGTTCTCGGATGTCTGCAAGACCTCTTCGCCGTCTTTTTCGCATTCATAACATTCAGCATTCCACAGGTGATAATTTGCGTGTGCTGAGAAAGAAATTACGATCATTCCTTTCTATGTTAAAGAAGGGGAAACACGCTGAGTTGCAAAGTGCAGAACAAGATGCGCAATTTATCCTCGCAGAGCAGACCAAGGAGAAAGTTCGACAAGCGTGGCCACGTTTAGTGGATGACGGAATTAAGTACAAGGTGCGCTGTGCATTTCGTGAGCAAATATCGGTTGATTCTCTTGCGACTTTTACCTGCGCATGCTGTGCAGAGGCGTGTCCTGTACGCCAGCGTGAATTGGTTACACCTTCTGAACTAGATTGTGATATTCTTCGGCGTCCCGATCGACGTCTCCATGGCAAGGGTGGAAACTTGGATCCATGGTGGCTACGTTCTACATCTTTTCCTTCTGCCACGACACACGTTGATGATGCTTTGGTGGATGTTCTTATTGACGATCATGGCGTGCATCACGACGATGAACATCGCATTACTTTGGCTATATGTGTTTCGTGTCTTTCGTCGTTGCGGAAAGGCAAGCTTCCTTCCACTGCTCTAGCCAATCATCATTATCTTGGCCCTGTTCCAAATGTATTACGGGATCTCACAGTCATTGAAGAGGCCATGATTGCTCGTTGTCGCGCTAAATGCTGGGTGGTTCATTTGAAAGAAGAAAATCAGGGCCTCCAATTGCCATATTCTCAACGGGGATTCAAAGGTCATATTATTATTTATCCTCAGAATCCTTCTGCATTACTAGATGTTCTTCCTTGTACTCTTGATGACGTTTCCACACCAGTTTGTGTGATCTTTGTAGGATCGAAACCACCTTCAGCAGAGTGGTTACGTACCAAGGCCAGACCCTTGATAATCAGGCGTGAGCGTGTGCGTAATGCTTTACAATGGCTTGTGCAACATAATCCTTTGTATGCTGAAGTTGTCATTGATCATACGCTTCTCGACAGTTTACAAGAAGAACAGACATTGCCTGTGCATATTCAACATGTGTTGTCTGATCAATCTGATGATCTTCTCACTTCGAAATATGATGCGCCGTCTTTGGATTCTGAAGGCATGGTTGATCATTGCGATGCTACAGACATTCCTGTGCCATTTTCTAACGTGGTAGTTACAGATGTGGATGCACACGCCCCTGCTAATGAGTTACGAGCTGCTGCGTTACGACACGTGAAACAGCGTGGTGGAGGATACATCGAAGTTCCGCATGGTCCTCAGCCTGTCAATGAGTTCTTCAATCCGCAGTTATTTCCAATGATTTATCCGATCTTGTTCCCTTATGGTCTGGGTGGCTTCGAGGATTCGATTCGCACCACAAGGATATCCATGAAAAAGCATGTCAAACACTTATTTTCTCTCACAGACAAACGTTTTCAAGAGCATTATTCGTTCTTGTTCACCGTTTTCAATGTACTGCAATGACGAGAAATTCTTTTGCATTCAAGCCTGAAGGTTCGTCGTACGGATTTCTCGTCTGTTGCTCGAAATTTTGCAATGGTGTCTCCTGAAGCAGTCCATGTGGTGTCCGAGCGTGTAGCTCAGGGTGACAATCAAACAGCCTATTCTGATGAAGAGCGCAAGGTTCTCAGTCTTATGCAACAAGTGAAAGTTGTCTCGTCACATGTGCGAGGATCAGCTGCAGCTCGACTCCATATGCGGAATGAGATACGAGGTATGATGATGGCTCATGGTCTGCCTAGTTTCTATATTACCATAAATCCTGCAGATGTTTACAGTCCTGTGGTGAAATTCCTTTCCGGTGTTGATATCGACATTGATAACCTTTTACATGCTGACGTGCCCAATTTTTTTGAGCAATCCATCCAAGTCGCAAGGAATCCGGCTTTGGGAGCGAAGTTTTTCAACATCTATATGAAAGCGTTTATTTCATGTGTGTTAGGCTTTGATCCCTCAGGTTGTGATGTTGAGGGTGGAATATTGGGTTTAGTCAAAGGTTATTATGGGTGCGTTGAAGCGCAGGGTCGTGGCACTTTACATTGTCATATGTTAGTGTGGTTGGAGGGAGCTTTGGATCCGAATGAGATCCATGACCGAGTTATGAAAGACAAAGATACGGATTTTCAACATCGCTTGCTCGCATTCTTGGATGATAGCATATCTAATTCATTGCCTGACGATCCAGATCCTTGTTGTGCCATCAGACATTTGGCTCCAGTATGACAAAGCTTTAGCTAGCTTTATCTAATGTATAATATCAATAATATGTATCACAATTGTAGACCACATGACAAAGGAATAGATAGGTAGACTACATAGGTAGAATCTGCCAAAGCTATAATATTGATGGGCCTGTGGTATCAAATTGCAATGTACTGGCACACTGATGTGTCGTTGTCAGATGTATCTACTCTTGCATGGGTTGCTTCCAATATATAATGAATAACATTGTGACAAATGAATGATATTGACTTGTAATGGAGTATCAATCTGGTGATTTTCTACCAAGCCTATCAAGCTTTGGATAGGTAGCTTCCGACGGTCAATTGTATAATGGGCAACATTGTGACAAAGAGATAATATTGACTTGTAATAAAGTATCAATCTGGTGATTTTCTACCAAACCTATCAAGCTTTGGATAGGTAGCTTCCGACGGCCAATTGTATAATGGGCAACATTGTGACAAAGAGATAATATTGACTTGTACTAAAGTATCAATCTGGTGATTTTCTACCAAGCCTATCAAGCTTTGGATAGGTAGCTTCTGACGGTCAATTGTATAATGGGCAACATTGTGACAAAGAGATGATATTGACTTGTAATAAAGTATCAATCTGGTGATTTTCTACCAAACCTATCAAGCTTTGGATAGGTAGCTTCCGAAGGTCAATTGTATAATGGGCAACATTGTGACAAAGAGATGATATTGACTTGTAATAAAGTATCAATCTGGTGATTTTCTACCAAACCTATCAAGCTTTGGATAGGTAGCTTCCGACGGCCAATTGTATAATGGGCAACATTGTGACAAAGAGATAATATTGACTTGTAATGGAGTATCAATCTGGTGATTTTCTACCAAGCCTATCAAGCTTTGGATAGGTAGCTTCCGACGGCCGATTGTATAATGGGTAACATTGTGACAAATGAATGATATTGACTTGTACTAAAGTATCAATCTGGTGATTTTCTACCAAGCCTATCAAGCTTTGGATAGGTAGCTTCCGACGGCCGATTGTATAATGGGTAACATTGTGACAAATGAATGATATTGACTTGTACTAAAGTATCAATCTGGTGATTTTCTACCAAGCCTATCAAGCTTTGGATAGGTAGCTTCCGACGGCCGATTGTATAATGGGTAACATTGTGACAAATGAATGATATTGACTTGTACTAAAGTATCAATCTGGTGATTTTCTACCAAGCCTATCAAGCTTTGGATAGGTAGCTTCCAACGGCAGAAACCACCATCAATGACAGTGTGCCAGGGTGTGATATGGATTTGTCATGGTCCATCAATATGGTGATTTACTTATCAAGCATGTCTGCTGCTACAGGGGCAGCTTCCAATTGCAGGGTGTATCAATCACTGACAGTATGCCCAGAGATGATATCAAGTTACCATGCCCTATTAAGATGCTGATCAAGTACCAACCATGTCTGGCTTTACATGGGCAGCCTCAGATTGCAGAAGTCACCATCCATGACAGTGTGTAGGGGGGTAGCATTGGGTTATCAATAAGGACACTGAGTTGAGCTCTAACATTGGGTTGCAAAACCCTATCAAGATGACAGGTCTTCAACTACCCTGACATTTGCAGTTTATGATGGTGCAAGACACCATCTATGACAGTGTGTCAGGGGATGACATTGAGTTATCATATCCTATCAAGTTGATTACGATGGCAGGAGCCACCATCCACAACACTTAGCTGAACACTGGCATTGGGTTATGAAGTCCTAGCAAGATGCTGGTATTCGGCCGAGGATGTCTACTATTACATTCACAGCTTCTGTTGCAGAGGAAACTACCATCTGGATCGAGATTTCACATTTTGTTCGTAATTATAGCTTCGCGTAGGGAAACCACATCAATTGTATTAGGATATAGTACAGCTACGAAAATATACGAATTAATTGGTACCAGCGGCGGCCCGTTCTCGCAAGGCAGCGCGTTTTTCCCGAATCTTTGACAGCGCACTATTTTTGCTGATACTGCGCAGCGAAGAAGAAGAATTAGGAAAAATGCGACTATGTAAGGTGTTAACTCGGATAGCTTCAAGTTGATGAGATAAATCACAAACCGAGTCCACCATGTCATAAGGTCAGCCACCTCCTCACTCTCATCAGGATCCTCCAACAAGTCAAGAATGCTATGGTAAAAATTTTCGGAGTCCGTGACTGTGTCGGTACACGAAAATACCGACGAAGAGCTTAACGAGAAGCGTACCTAAAGGAACATCAGCGAGAGAAAGCATGTACAATCAAATGTGCGTGCCTGCGTAGCAATATAAGCTAAGGATCCTTGAGTCACACATTTCATACCGTGAAGATAAGCGTTGCCGGAGCGCGTGGCCTTTGGCTCCTTATCTACCGAGCTTGGAGACGTAAAGACATGTTTGTAACCCTAGAAAGAACTTGGACTGAGAACTTCATCGTTAATAAAACAAGCACAAGCTCACGAAGATGAGTATCTCACTGCGCAGTAACCCCTTCCACGGATCTTCAGAATCATACTCATACCCGGCATATAAGAATACGGGCCACTGGTCACCACTAACCGCGGTTTCGCCGCTCTTCAGGCCCTGTTTAGTTCTGTGAAGGGTATGAGGTTAAGTTAATGTGAAGCTGGAAAGACTTACTCTATGTTGGACCAATCAAGGCCTGCAGGGCAAAGCAACGCGCCGGTGACTTCATGATTGAACCCGCGGTCAGACTTAATGTTCCGGGAGAGGGGTGGTATGACTACCTGTCCTCTGGGTACAAGCCATTCGAGTACGGCAGATTTGAGGGTCTTGGTATCATCGCCTCGTGCACCAGAGGCTCCTTTACCTAGCTGCAGACGGTGAGTACAACCATCTTTTTTTTAAAAAGAAAGAACAAACCAGTTCTCCCACGTGAATGATATCTTCTTCCTCACCCTTCGTCAGACGGTCTAACAGACCCGGATACGAATCTATTAGATTCATGAACACCCTATGTTCCCGTCGAACACTGCCAAAGATCGACATCAGCCTTTTTTCATTTCCTGGCCATGCAATTGTCAGAATTGTACTCACTCAGCTGGGTAATCTTCAATGTGAGAGTCCTGCAGTTCTTCAAGTCGAAGTATGCCAGCAGTCAGAAGAGCAGGATAGTTGCACAGGGAAAACACTGTGCGGCCAAAATGTCGGCCATGAAGGACAAGCGGGTTTGATGAAGCCCTGGTGAAAGCGGCAGGTCAAGAAAGTAGTAGTTCGCCTCTAAGAGTGAGACTTACGCCTTTTTACGCGGGCCCGTATGAAGGGCTGAAGCACTACGCTTGCGCGAAGGATCGGCGGAAGAGGGATTATTCTCGTCGCTGCTCATAAAACCGAACTGGGGGTCTAATACCAGGTACTAAACGAGGTACTTTATATGTTTGAATGTCCAATCACATGTGACGAAAACATCTTGCCGTCCGAGCGCCATAGATATCGTAATTATATATAAGAAAAAGCCCGCCCATCCGAGCGCCATAGATATCGTAATTATATATAAGAAAAGCCCGCCCATCCGAGCGCCATAGATATCGTAATTAGATGCAAGAAAAAGCCTACTCATCCAGGCGCCATAGGTATCGTAATTATCCAAAAATTAACAGCCTCTCTTACCGAGCGCCATAGGTGTCATAACGAAGGTGTGTCATCATTGACAGCAGATATAAGCCTGCGTGCACTGCAGGCAACTAGCTCATTATTTGACGCCCCATACATGTCCTACTCACCCTCTTCGAAGGGTCCGCGACCCCGCACCCACGTTGAAAGCACTTTCACACTAAAGTAAGCTTTTCAGATAATATTCCGCAACAAACGTATCAAATTACCTTCAGTTTTAAACTTTCCTCGACGCACATGCTGAGACGCTCTGATGTAGACGAGCTATACAGCACTGATTGCGAGTGAGTAATCAAGTGTTTCGGAAAACAACTCAACCAACATTACCTTCCAGGCAATCCCCTGAAATAAAGCAATTGATCCATGCAGGAATCCAGGCTACAGGTAAGATTTAACAATTCAGACCTAAAATCGTACGTCACATCTAAAAAACATGTCCTAGGCACCGATGGATGCAAGGACGAACTAGAATCTGAGCTATGTCGCATCAAGGAACAGCTAAGCGGTGCAGAAGTCAATATTGCGTACCTTTTAGAACGGGTGAGGGTGTACAGACACAGATGGCTGGAAGAGTATCACCGCGCCGAGAACCTCGAGGTCCTTATGCCGGATGACATCGATATACCCCACCTTGATCAAATTCAAGAAGGCGCTCCTTCTCCTGGCTTCTCGCCAGAGTTTGTGTGTTTCGATAATGAAGCTCAACAAAGAGCTTGCGATGATTGAGGTGTGCCCATATGACCTTCCTGCACCATAATGTCGAAAGTAGACGTTTTGGTGCGTGCTCGACCGTGCGACTGTACATAGCCTACCAATATGTATTAGCGGGTCGAAACAAATAGAGGTTACAAGGTTGAGAAAATTTGCTGGCGCATGACGGAATGAAAATCCTTACGGGAAAGTCAAGACTGCGACTGACGTTACTACAACCAATGCGCGCCCTTGAACGAGGAACTTGACAATTATGAAGATATCACTTACAGGATGGGGGCGCGACCGCGCGGTCATCTAATATCCAGTTTTGAATTAAAGTAGCACACTGAAAAGACTTGAGAATATGCTTACCGTGTGCGTGTCATATCCCATATATTCACGCTTCTCTTCCGGACTTCGGACCCTGAGATCCGGTCCGGTCCGATGTATAGATCCGCTTCCGATCCGATTTACGATAAGCTTTCTAATTCATTTCCTGTTTCATATAACGTTAAACACAGCCTATTCGGTATTTCCTCTTCCCGGTGTTTCGGTTATGCTTATTACCGGTATGATTACTGATCCGTTAACCTATGTCTCATTTCCGACTCGCGTTTGATAACCTTTGCACATGCTTCGTACATAGCCTCGGACCCTTGCTTACTGATACTTCCGTTATCCTCATAGTATATAAACTCGTGTATATGTCCTGTAGTACCTCAGTTCGAATATCATCTTAGTTTGTCCTCTTTCTGTCCTCCGGACTTGAGTTCTCCTTACTCTTGTCACTCTCCGAGACTTCGGATAGATTCCGATAGTCTATATCCTCGGCTCTACCTTCGGGTAGTCTTTACTCTGTTAGTTTCTAGTTCGGATACGTCCGGATTAGCCTTATACGCGTTTCCGATATCCGGAAGACTTCCGGATATACTACGAGACCCGTCCGGACCTTCGGACGCGTTATCGTTAGTACTTTGAAATAAGGGACAGTACTTGGGAAAGGGGCACAGCGTACGAGCTGAGGCCGAAGTCCTTCGGATCCGATCTTACGAGAGTACGACCCTAACAGTATATTCGAACTCACACCTTTCCAAGTACACTTACTCATATCATGGCTCCTACTAAAGTAAACCAAGCCGCTTTGCACGCTGTCGGACTTTCGTCCACCCGACGCGATCCGACATCCGTAGTTAACGCCTTCACCAGTTTCTCTCAGCGCCGTGTATCACGCGGTCCTGCTCAAAGTATTTCGCAACTCATGAATCGTCCGCATCCGGAAACCCCTACGCGCACTCCTGCCGGAGGTGATCCGGATGACGAAGGACCTCCGGACGATGAAGATACTCCTGGTGGAAACCCTCCGGATGACTTCGGAGGTGATCCGGATGATGAACCGGATGACAACGATGATGAATTTGACGGGTTAAACCCACAAGACCGTGTCATGCTTCGGCTTTCTCAAGCCATCGACAATCTCGCACGCAACAATCGTCGTCCGACCTCGTCCGAAGATTCTAAAGTCAAGATCCGTGAGCCCGATACTTTCGATGGCACTGAGCCTCGGAAGCTTCGTGCATTCTTCGTCCAATGCGAGCTCCACTTCCAAAGCAAACCCAAAGCCTTCCGTTCCGGACGGGCAAAAGTCAACTTCGCCCAATCCTACCTTAAGGGTATGGCACTCGAGTGGTTCGAACCGGATCTCCTAGCCGACGAGGACGATGATCGTCCGGATTGGATGGATGATTACTCCGCGTTCATGCTTGAACTCCAAACCAATTTCGGACCGCACGATCCGTCCGGAGATGCGGAAATGCAATTGGAGCAACTTCATATGCGTGACGGACAACGCATTAATAAATATGTTGTTGAATTTCAGCGTCTTGCTTCACAAGTCCGTGGCTGGGGTGACGGTGCCCTAAGACGCCAATTCTATAACGGACTTCCGGCTCGTATCAAAGACGAAATCAGTCGCATGGGTAAACCTTCCACCCTTTCCGAATACAAGATCCTTGCCCAGACTATCGACGCTCGATACTGGGAACGGAAGGGAGAAGTCGCCCGCGAAACTAAACCCACCACCTCCATTCCTCCTAAGCAAACCACGTCCGATCGGACGAATTCCAACTCGTCCGGACCTTCGAGGTACAAATCCGACAAACCCGCTACTTCCGCATCATCCTCCGTTTCTAAACCTCCGGACCTTACCTCCAAGTTAGGAAAGGACGGGAAGCTCACGTCCGAAGAACGTAAGAGACGGATGGATAACAAACTCTGTCTATTCTGCGGTGGACCCGGCCATTCGGCTCGGGAATGCACCAAGTCTACTTCGCGCGCTGCCAAAGGCCGCGCTGCAGTAGTAACTCCGGAAGACAAACCGGAGGCTTCGGATGAAGCAAAAAAATAGTCCGCAACCCTCCCGACTCCGCACGGGATGAGGGTTGCGTTGACTCTACCCGTGCAACGGAGCTACGTCTCAATGCTGTTTCTCTTTCCGATCCGAACTCTCTTTGTCCATACGTTTCTATTCCTACTTTTCCTGATATTTCTGATTTTCCTTCACTAATTGATTGTGGTTCCTCTCACTGTTTTATAGACTCTGATTTCGTCCGAAAAAATAAAATTCCTACATATCCGATATCTCCGCTTTCTCTCCGTTTGTTTGATGGTACTTGTAATAATATGATTTCCGAAGCTATAGATTTGCCTATCTGTTTTCCGTCCGGTGTAGTTACCTCCGATACGTTTTACGTTACTCCGTTGGATTCTTCTTGTTTTATCGTTCTTGGATATAGCTGGCTCACCCTACACAATCCGTTGATTGACTGGGTTTCGGGCAGCATCAATTTCCGAACGACTTCTCATGGAATGCCTTCGACACCTCCGACGTCGCTTCCGTCTCCGGATCCGCATCCTCCGATGGAAGATTTACCTCCTCCGACTACATCCGGAACCTCCGCTGATAAAACCATCCCCAACATTTCCTTGATCAATGCGGTTGCCTTTTGCCGGGCCTGCAAATTGGAAGGATCGGAACAGTTCAGCATCTACCTTCGTCCGACCGGTGTAGACCTCCGGTCCGCTTCCCTTTCATCCGATCCTCCGGACCTGTCCGGAATTCCTCCGGAATATCACGAATTCTCGGATGTGTTCGATAAGGGCAAAGCTAGCCAACTTCCTCCTCATCGTCCCTATGATCTCAAAATCGAGTTAGAGGAAGGAACTAGTCCGCCCCTCGGAACCATTTATTCTCTATCTGCAGTTGAGCTTGCAGCCCTCCGGAAGTTTCTTGATGAAAATATTTCCTCCGGACTCCTCCGTTCCTCATCCTCTTCTCACGGAGCTCCTGTCCTGTTTGTCAAGAAAAAGGATGGCTCCCTTCGCCTCTGTGTAGATTTCCGTGGACTTAACCAGATTACCAAGAAAGACCGATATCCGTTACCTCTCATTACCGACCTCCTAGACTCTCCGAGCCGCGCTAAAGTCTATACCAAAATCGACCTCCGATCCGCTTATCATCTCGTCCGGATAGCGGACGGAGACGAATGGAAGACCGCGTTCCGAACGCGTTATGGCTCATATGAATGGTTGGTAATGCCGGAAGGTCTCACTAACGCTCCGGCTGCATTCCAACGCTTTGTCAATAGCGTGTTTGCTGATATGCTGGATGTATGCGTTATCGTATATCTGGACGACATCCTCATCTATTCCCAAGACCTTGCATCCCATAAGGAACATGTCCGAGAAGTCCTTCTCCGTCTCCGAAAACATCGACTCTATGCTAAACCCGAAAAATGCGCGTTCCATACCACATCCGTTGAATACCTTGGTTACATCCTATCTCCGGACGGCTTGACCATGTCGTCCGAGAAGATCCAGTCCATCGTTGACTGGCCGGAACCTCGGAAAGTTAAGGATATTCAATCCTTCCTCGGATTCGCAAATTTCTATCGTCGATTCATTTTCAATTACTCGGACATCGTAGTTCCGCTCACCCGTCTTACCCGCAAGGGGGTTACTTGGGATTTTTCCGATGATTGTCGGAAGTCTTTTGAAACACTCAAGAAAGCTTTCACGTCCGCTCCGGTGCTTACGCACTGGATTCCGAATGTTCCGATAGTCGTAGAAACCGACGCCTCTGACTACGCTATAGCCGGAATACTTTCCATAGTATGTCCGGACTCAGAGCTTCGTCCGGTGGCATTTTATTCTCGGACGCTTACCGCTCCGGAACTCAACTACGACACTCACGATAAGGAACTTCTAGCCATCCATGAAGCTTTTCGGACGTGGCGACATTACCTTGAAGGCTCTGCCGAGCCGATAGACGTTGTCACGGACCATAAGAACCTTGAGTATTTCTCTACCACAAAACTCCTCTCTCGCCGTCAGGCCCGCTGGTCGGAATTCCTCCATCAGTTTAACCTAGTCATCCGTTTCCGTCCCGGAAAACTCGGAGCTAAACCGGATTCCCTTACTAGACGCTGGGACGTCTATCCCAAAGAGGGGGATAAGGACTACGCTCGAGTTAACCCTCACAATTTCCGTCCGGTATTCACTTCGGAACAGTTAGCTTCGTCCCTCCGAGCCTCAACTCTAGTAACTCCGGTTCTTAGGGCAGCCGTTCTGATTGATATCGACCAGCTCCGGAAAGACATCCTGACCGCACTTCCTAATGACCCTATCGCATCCGAACATCTTCCGGAACCTTCGGATCCGAGATGGACGGTGGACGATAGTGGTTTCCTCCGCTGCGACAACCGTATATATGTTCCGGAATCTAATAATCTCCGTCTTCGCGTCCTCCAGAATACTCATGATCATCCGTTGTCCGGACACTTCGGACAGAACCGGACGCTAGATATCATCCGACGCGAGTACACTTGGCCAGGAATCCGTACCTATGTCAAAGACTACGTCAAGTCTTGTACTTCCTGCGGCCGAGCTAAGGTTCCGAGACACAAACCTTACGGATTGCTCAAGCAGTTACCCATACCGGAAAAGCCTTGGAATTCTATATCCATGGATTTCATCGAGCACCTTCCGGACTCATCCGGCTTTACAGCCATCCTCGTCGTAATCGACCGTCTATCCAAACAAGCTATATTCATCCCTACCCACGACACCATTACCTCTCCGGATCTCGCTCGTCTATTCGTCCTCCACGTGTTTTCCAAGCACGGAGTTCCATCCCATGTCACTTCGGACCGAGGAACAGAATTCGTATCGCATTTCTTCCGGTCCTTAGGAAAAGCATTAGATATGGTCCTCCACTTCACGTCCGGATATCATCCGGAAGGAGACGGACAAACCGAACGAGCGAACCAAACCCTTGAACAATACCTCCGGATATACTGCAACTATCAGCAGGATAACTGGTCGGAACTACTTCCCTTGGCAGAATTCGCTTATAACAACGCTCCGAGTGCTACTACCGGAGTATCACCCTTCTTCGCCAATAAGGGATATCATCCGAACCTATCCGTTCATCCGGAACGTGACCTCTCATCCGCCCGCGCACGAGACTATGCAGTAGACCTTGACGAACTCCATCAGTTCCTCCGAGAAGAAATGGCCCACGCACAAGAAAGATATCAAGGACCTGCGGACGCCAAACGGAAACCTGCTCCGGATATGAAAATCGGAGATCCGGTCTTCGTCAAAGCAAAATACTTCCGATCCACCCGTCCGTCCAAGAAACTCTCGGAAAAGAACTTAGGTCCGTTCGAAATCATAGCTCGTCCGGGTACGCATTCTTTCACCATCCGACTTCCGGATTCCATGCGCTCCGTACACCCAGTTTTCCATGTCTCGCAATTAGAACCAGCCACACTCAATACCATTCCTAATCGTATCCAATCGCCTCCGCCTCCGGTCGAAGTCGACGGAGAACCCGAATATGAGATATCCGAAGTTTTGGACTCAAAATTAGACCGTCGGAGAAGACAATGTCAACTCCTATACCTCGTCCGATGGTCCGGATATGAAGGAACGGACGAGGAGACTTCATGGTTACTTGCTACGGAGCTCGGTAACGCATCCGAACTAGTTTCGGACTTCCACGCTGCATATCCGAACAAACCCGGTCCTATTCAACTTTGAAGTACATAGTGTGCATACGAAATACAAGTACATTTAGAGAAGAAGCATAAACGGACCAGAAATTCCTACATCTCCATAGACCCATCCGCCTCTCCGGATCCGCCTGCATCACTTCCGGACGCCCTTTCCATCACCTCATCTTCCTCCTCCGGACCCGGAGACGTCCGAAATCCCTTCCGAATATGTCCGAACAACATGGCTTGAAATTCCCTCTGTTGCTGAAGGAACAGCTCAATTCCGGAGCTCATCCGGTCCGCTGCAGCCCTGCTGCCTTCCGCCGCCTGAATACTTCTCTCCAAAAGGGTGTTAGTCCTAGCCAGCTCCGCCACTATACTGTTGGCTGCGGCCACCCAAGCCTGATCATCGTATTCCGTCTCCATCTCCTCCGGATCTTCAGGAGTCGGACTCTTCTGACGTTTCTTACCTTTACCTTTCGGAGATGGAGATCCGGCAGCATGCTTCCTCTTCTTGCCCTTGGGCACCTTGACAGTTCCGGGTCGTCCGGGGCACGTAGCCTTGTCCTTCCGGCAGATATCACAAGACTTGACCTATCCGGACGTCAAAACACTCGGATCCGAAAAAAAAAACACGGATTAACTCACCAGAGCATTGCTCTCCGCATCCGTCCAAAGGCAAGTCCGGCCTCTGTCGCTGCAACGCTTGCAGGATCCGTCCTTGTCAGCGGAAATGGCACGAGACTTTTCATCCGTCAGGCAAAGCCATCATAACCATCCGAAACTCACCATTTCCTCTACTATCTCCCTGCGCCGTTTGTTTTCTGCCTCCACCCGAATTTCGGACTCTCGAATCCTCTTAAGATCCTCCTGAATCTTCCGTTCCTCTTCACGCTTCCGCTCCGCCTCCTGACGCTTCCGAATCTCCTCCTCCTCCTTCCGAGCCGCAGCTTCAGCGTCCGCTAGTTGCTGTTGAAGCTCCAGCAGTTTCTGCTTAGCAGTCTTCTGAGATCCGGAGGTGTTGCCAGACATTTTCGATAGAGCGTTATAGAGAGTAAAAAGTGGGAAAGGAAGAATCATCCTGGGACGTCCGCCCTTGAGTATACCTGTCCGATTCCGAACTCAGACGCTTCTCCATCATCTCGCGATAATCTCGTCCGGTCCGGACCGATGGTTCTTGTGCCTCTAGGGATCGGCCCTAAGGGGGGGATACTGTCATATCCCATATATTCACGCTTCTCTTCCGGACTTCGGACCCTGAGATCCGGTCCGGTCCGATGTATAGATCCGCTTCCGATCCGATTTACGATAAGCTTTCTAATTCATTTCCTGTTTCATATAACGTTAAACACAGCCTATTCGGTATTTCCTCTTCCCGGTGTTTCGGTTATGCTTATTACCGGTATGATTACTGATCCGTTAACCTATGTCTCATTTCCGACTCGCGTTTGATAACCTTTGCACATGCTTCGTACATAGCCTCGGACCCTTGCTTACTGATACTTCCGTTATCCTCATAGTATATAAACTCGTGTATATGTCCTGTAGTACCTCAGTTCGAATATCATCTTAGTTTGTCCTCTTTCTGTCCTCCGGACTTGAGTTCTCCTTACTCTTGTCACTCTCCGAGACTTCGGATAGATTCCGATAGTCTATATCCTCGGCTCTACCTTCGGGTAGTCTTTACTCTGTTAGTTTCTAGTTCGGATACGTCCGGATTAGCCTTATACGCGTTTCCGATATCCGGAAGACTTCCGGATATACTACGAGACCCGTCCGGACCTTCGGACGCGTTATCGTTAGTACTTTGAAATAAGGGACAGTACTTGGGAAAGGGGCACAGCGTACGAGCTGAGGCCGAAGTCCTTCGGATCCGATCTTACGAGAGTACGACCTTAACAGGAGGGAACAAAAACTGTGTTGCTGATGCCGGAATTGAGAAAACAAGACGAATTTGACCTACACGGAAGCCTAGAAACATTATTATTCAAGCATGACGACACAAGCCTTTAAGTTATACCTTTAACCCCAACAAAACTACCAGTACCATCATTGATAAGTGCAGTATCAAAGCATGCTGGTACCACGTCATTTTCGCGTCAGGCATTGCGATGGGGTCTAGCATGTATACTATCCACTGCGACAAGCGGATCGCTGTGTCCCCGAGCGTCAGTCGACAACCACTTTATCTTGTGATACACAGGAACAGCGTGGAAAGGCAGATGAATACCTGCAGCAAGGTTTTCCAGGCGCTGGTGAGTAATCACCTCATTTGGATTCTGTTGTTGTGCGATGTAACGAGCGAGGGCCTGTCGGAAGTAGGTTGCACCATAGTCAGTGATCAATTTTTGAATGGGGACAGCTTTAGCGCTTGGATGCTTTGTCAATTGCTGGGTGCGATCAAAGCATAAGTCAGGTGGATGCGGATGATGAGGAGCACGATCCCCGTCAAGATGCCATTTTATGAACTGCTCATGACGAGCGATCTTCTCCTTCCACTCTAGCCACTTCGTCATCTGTATAAATTCATCCTTATGATTGGTCGCACGGTAGGCATCCTTGGCAAGATCAATATGTAGCCGCTCCGTGTACTCCGTATTATAATTATCTGTTGTCCCAAAAGTTTGAATCATAGTCAAGTAGTGGCGTCCTGAGTGGAGCTTCGGGAGGTTGAAATTGGTTCGTATTCCGAGGTCAATGAATATCTCCTTGTTGTCGTGAAAGAGAGCACAAGCTTCATCCAGTAAAAGCAGCGTCTCAGAACTATGACATGGGTACTGAGCGAGGTAAAGGAAGTCGAGAAGACTGCGCACAGCCTTGAGGAGGCGAGACGAAGCAAGGTTTCCAGGAAGTCGAGTATCGATGATGATACTGAGGAGAAATCGGCATATTTGACTGTGTTCAGTACCGCTGAGACGTGAGAGGCTGGTGATATCCTTCATGAATATTTGAATATGATGATTGGGAGGTAAGCGACGACATCGTGCATCAATCTCTGCTGCACCACATGCTTGTGCGAGCCATCCAAGCAGATGTTTGATAAGACCTTGATACAACTGATGTAGTACGTCAGGTGTGACTGCCTGAAAAATATTTGCATGAGGGAGGTCCTCCCAGTATGGGTGTATAATGGGTTTGATTCCAGCTTCACGACATGCCTGTACAAACACCAGGTCACTGTCGTCAATCCTGGAAAGAGCGTCCAAAACAGCGTGAAGGTCGCGTATTTCAAATGGTGCCGTGTTACTCCCGAGTTCCTCTGTAGGAATGTCACATTTCGGGCATTCCATTGCCTTCACTCCAGTAGCGAGCAATTGCTCGGGATAGTCACCTGCAAAGCACGCGAACAAAGGATGACAATGACGTTCCACGCCATCACCACTACTCATTACCAGCCCATCAGTACCAGCAGTCTTAAGTGGAGCCAGTATGCGACTCATACAGGCATGATAAAGGTTTGAAATAGTACGGCGTCTTGAAGCTTTGTTTGCGATGTGCTCAAGGCGGGTAGTGGGCAAGTATGCCAAGAGGATATGGGCGCGACGGGATGGCTTTCGGTGAATTTCTTTTGGAATGTTACCAATGGTGAGATAGACAGGATAGGCACTTTTATTCCTGAACATCGTCACCTGGGTTTTATCGCTCGATATAATAATGGGAATGATTGTGGCGCCTGGACGTCATTGATCAAGCACTCTCTAAAGAGTATCATATTAACAAAATAGGTAGATGCTGATTTATGATAGTTTGCTTACTTGCATGTCCCACCACCACTGGCTGGTATGAATGTCATGAAACAACCGTACAGTTTGATCTTCATCAGCGTAGTGATGCTCGGGTGCAAATACTAGAAAATCAGCGAAGTCAGGGTCACTGTACAGCGCTTTGATACATTCAATAATGTCTCTGTAGAAGACATCGAATGCTTCCCCCGCAACAATGATTTGTTCACGCTTGAACTTCGGTCGCCCGGGAAGGTTGTTGTCGATGATCTTGTCTAGCTCTTTTGAATTCTTATATGAGAGGCCAAGACGATCACTGAGCTATATACATAGATGTCAGTCAAGAATGTGTACCTGTGCACCGGCACTTACTCCTTCAATTTCAAGCAAGTCAGTAAATGCTGTTGAGCTAGAACCATGTAGCTTCGCCCATTTGGCGATATCCCAGTCCATTTGGGAGGAAAAGGGGGCATAAATGTTTACAGTGCTGCCAGAATCAAGTCCATATGTGGCATTTGCACAGCGAGTAGGTCGTCCAGTTATGGGTTTACCTGCGCGTGCATCCGGATATGGTACGACAACGATATTATCTTGCCCTACAACATGTTCTTCTATCTGCTGGCGAGCTTCAATATCATATACCTCTTCAGCGCCCTGATCATCTTCATCTACAGGAGGCTCCCGTTCATTCTCATCCTGTGTGGGAGGTTCCCACTCGCCTGAGTCATACAGGCCCTCCTCTTCATCGGTGGAATTATTTCTATCATCACTCAGCCACTCTATATCATCTTCTCCGTAAGTACCGAAAAAGTCGTCCTCGAATATGGGTTCAAGTTGATCCTCTGTGGGAGCCAGTGAAGGTGACCATGGACTCCTCGGCTGGGTGTTGGCAGTGCGAGAAGCTGCGAGAACAGCCATGCAAGATCCCTGTCTAGTCTTGGCTAAATGTTGACTGTAGCCTGTTACTGAAAATGATTCTTGACATCCAGAACAATTGACCATTTTGTCTGTATTGAGAATTGAGATCTGTTGAGATGGTACGCTGCTTCGGACTTCCCGTGACTTCCCATTCAATGGAGTCCTTTCGGACTCCGCTGATACATCAATATCCCAACACATGTCGCCATATACATCATAAGCTCTGAATTGGTACGCCGGTATCCCTCTGTGTAGGATGATGACAGTCTCTGAGAGTTCGTTTCCTTCTCCTGCTCAAGCAAGCAGCCCACCCTTAGATCCTCCTCAATCTTGCAGTCCCTCTCCTGTCTCTCACAGTTCTGAAACCCTCATTAATTCTAGCCCAATATCCTCTCCGAGTGTCATGCAGGTATCCATAAGTGCCTCAACTCTGAGTTTCTGACCTGTCTCAGGGGATGCATAGGCTGAGCCTCCTGGTTTGAAGGAATCCCTAATGTATTTTCCTGCAAAATCACTCGTACCTACAAGTACCGCTCATCAGCGGTCCACGGGCAATAGAAATTCCAGGAAGTACCTGCCATATCCTCCCGATCCCCTTCCTCTGGAGCTTCGTTACGCGGGCCAGTTCATGAGCCGAGGATATCAACTAGATTTTTCACCTGAAGCAATGGAGAAGGTAAGCTATGTTTGTCACATATCTTTCCTTTGTGTTAAAAACATCTTTAAAAAGTTGGAAGAACAGCTGGAGAATGGTCTATCACAAATGAAAACTGCGACTTTGTACAAAGGGTACAAAGCCAAACTCCTGACCCGCGAAGTTGCACGTCAACGTCTCTTTCTCTCAACTTTGGAGGCTGAAGAAGCCGATCTTACTGCATGCTATGCTGATGCCATCCGTGCTGAAAATAAAGAATGCTTTGGTTCTGCTGAGGAGGAGCTGCAACGTTACAGGAGTCATTTTTCTCAGTGTGGGCACCTGGAAGCTGATGATGACAGGAACTATCTTCAAGCTGTTTATGAAGATGAATGCCGGATTCTTCGCACTGTCAATATCCAGACTGATCAAGTTGCGAAAATATTGGACAAATGTATCGCACAATCTCTTACGGACTGTACTGGATACTTCCCCATGCGTCACCGCTTCTGCAATGAGGTTCAGACCACTGAACCCTTCCACAAGGACTCTGATGTTACACCTGAAGGATCAGATGACGTTGAGAATGAACACCTTAGTTTGTCGGATCTTGGCTCCGATGAGTGAGGCGTGGAAGACGTATTTCATATCACAGTAGGCATCTTCGCTTCCCATATGATTGCCGCCCTGACTAAGCTTTGTACCAAGTTTCCCATCCATATTTTTCTGCCCGCTTTTGGACGTCCATCATTCGCAGTTCTCGAAATCCTCGTGTCAGCCCTATCACCGCTTCATCATTTCTTCCCCCAATAACTCAAACTTCTCTAGTCCCGAATTCTCAAATTCTCATCACGCGTTGCGGTCACTGGAGTGGTCAAAGTGATCATTTTTGGTGATCTTACATTGTTTTCAGCCTTGCACCTTGCTACCGATTTATGTTTGAGTATGTTGTATTAGAAATTATGCAATTTGTACTGCCCTAACCTGTGCTTGATGTGACTATCTCAACGAACTTCTCCATCAGTGCGTGAAAATTGTCAAATTGAACATTACTCTATTGATTGATCAGTTTCAGTTTGTCCCAGTGACTGGGCTCAATTCAGTCGGTATTTATTAATTTGCACGTGTTTGTAGGTATAGGCATGCGCAAGATCGAGGTGCTCATGGTGCGTGCCCCCCTTCCCTTCGTGCCACCGCCATCACCTCCTACAGATTTTTGGTCCCTCCACGACATGCAGCCACATCGCGGATCGACAATCTCATTCGATTCCCTTGATGACACTCAAAGTGACCCAAACCAGGGTCTATTCGACTTCATCGACCAACCTGAGGCTTCGCACCATGGCCCATTCAACTCCATCGACCCTCAAGCCAGTCAGGCATATCCTTCTAGTTCATTGTCATATAGAGGCTCTGCATTGTTTGGCAGGGTCTCTGGAGATCAGGACACCATTGATTTCGATGGACTCGCCTTCAGTGGTGAGTGTTATTACGATCACGTTTACTTAAACGACTGATACTGTACTTGAAGCATTCCTTGAAGAGTCTGGAGCTAACACCAGCGGAGCATCAACAAGTCATGCCGGCACCACTGCCCCAACACTGATTCCTTGGTCAGCAGAGATCGACGCCCTCTATCCTTTACCACCTCCCCGGGCACTGCAGGGGACCGTCAAGAGAACACAACACTCTTGTCGGATCCCTGCGCCATATCCTCTGCTGGAACCCAAAGTTATGCCCCTCAGCACAACTACTACATCGACCCCTCAAACCCTGCAGCATGCGACAAGTGTGGACGTTCCCATCACCCCCACAATAATTGCACCTACCGACCTCGCTGCTCCCATTGTCCCTGTCACCCCCATAGTCATCTCTATCGACCCTGCCTCAACAACTCAGTGCACCCGTCTCCATCCGGGTATCAGCTGACGTCCAAAAGCAGATCACACGGACTGCGAAAACCCGACTCATATGATACTTGCTCACTTTGCACGCAATGGCTGGCAGTGATGTGCAGAAGCGAGAAGTCATCGATCTCGCAATTGCAGAGTCGACTCCATTGATGAATGGCATGAATAGTAAGTTTTTTTGTACATATAAGTTGCTAATTCTAACATTTAGTTCCTTAGTTCGTGTTTCAAACCCTATGACATCGAGTCAACGTCAACAGTTGATTGGGACATGGACCTCCATTTTCAGCAACCTCGTTAAGGTTGTGCGGACCTGTCTTCCATTCGCTTTCAATATCTACCCCCCTGTAGACTCCAACATTCTACCCGATGAATTCCGGAGGCGCGTCATAAACGCATTGATCAACGATCCCACTCAACCATTAGCTTTCATGCATCGATTCACTGTCAACGCTGTACGTCATATTCCCTTCGCATCTTCAAAAATTAATGTTCACATTTATGTATTTAGGCCGGGGATGTCACGATCTTAGACGGAGTCCTCGACCAGCCCTTCATATTACAAATGTTAATTCATTTTGTGTGGCGCAGTGGTACCGGACTATCAGAATTCATCGAAGACCCCCTTGAAGAGTTCAACTACCTCTTTGCTGCTATTGGGGCAATCGCGAAGCTGATATTGTTCGAGCAATTGTCACACCCTCCGGTCGTTATCGCGCACATGCAACTTGAGGTGAGTGAGATGTTCAATGTCATTTTTGCGTACATTCGCAGTCTCCGAGGTGCACAGAAGGTTACGTTCGATAATTACAAATCTTACGGTTGCAGAATTGGACACTCTCAGCGACCGTCAACAACTGTATTAGCACCACTTGACATTTTTTTCACATAGTAGGCCTTTTGGTATTGCTTTACTGTACTTAGACCTCTGAGCCGGTTCTTCCATTCCTCTGATGATATGACAGCATCGCTGACTGAGTCCTCATGTGCGGTCCGTCTTATCCCATAACATGTTGCCTCACTCGGTATCAATACTCGGGACTTGCTACCATATTTGACTTGAAGAACAGATATCGTACGTACTACCTGAACTAATCCAAAAGGGACCCTCAAAAGTATGGATGCTAGTAGCTATAAATCAATCTTAGCTGGCAGACAGGTAGGTATTCCCGCATCTACATTCTTTGAAAATTGTTCACTCATTGGTATATTTTAGCATGCCTAGCGATATCACATCTGGCCGAAATAAGTGCTCACTGTGCACCACCGTTTGCCAATCCAGACAACAAATTGCATATTTTTGCAGGCATTTGACCCGCGAAAAAAAGGGCGATGGAGAATGCTGGTAAGTTTGTTAAAAATTGAACGGACCCGGAATAAACTCACTTACTGCACACTGTACTAGTCTGGAGGACTGACATGCGTCAAAAAAGACAGCACCCTCTCGTAACACAACAGCGGGCCAAGAAAGCATGCAATTCACTTGCATCAAAGGGAGTCAGTCATTCAGCAATCTCTCAGGCTAGCAAGTGTAAAGGTAAGTGCAGTGTTCTACACACTGGTATGCACTCACCAGACGCATCTGCAGAGTCCGATGAAGGCAGCATGGGTATTGGGAGGCAGGGGCCACCACAAAAGAAAGGTACACCTTTTATTACCTCAAGTCAGTTCAGCATGATGCATCTGTACTTGCAGCACGAAAAGAAACCGAACAGCAGCTAACTTCAGCTCGAACCTCCCAAGATGCGTCTTGCACGATCAATGATGCGTTTTTAGCAGATGAAGATATCTCTGATTATAAACCTAGTGGCGACTCAGAGTTGGATACTGACGCAGAAACTGACGATGACTTAGAGGAACCGGAGTCCGTCGTAAAGTTCTTGTCAGCTGAAGTAAGTACTACTACTGTTCTAGATTGCTGACCGCACATTCAATCAATATCACTCAGATACCAAAATTTGTCTCAATGTCAGAGGCTGAAAGGCGTGACTTCCTGCTTACCCAACCAACCTGGCCTCATACATCTGAGTCTGCACCAAAGCTGACACAGAAAACTGAATCATTTCTGTCTAAATCAACTGTGGCTACCAAGGTCAGCCGATTTTTTAACTTGCAACTTGAAGTACACTCTGCTATTTATGCTAACAAAACTTATACCTCAATAGTTGAGGCAGACGGCTGAACCATCTCCCATGGCTTCCAGGGTAAGTCTTTGCCTTGATGCCATCCGTGCTGAAAATAAAACTAATGCCTCATAGTCAAGGCAAACAGCTGAACCTTTCCCCTTCTCGTTGGCCCAACCAAAGGCTCCCATGGTTTCTAGGGTAAGTCTTTGCCTCAATGCCATCCGTGCTGAAAATAAAACTAATGCCTCATAGTCAAGGCAAACAGCTGAACCTTTCCCCTTCTCGTCGGCCCAACCAAAGGCTCCCATGGCTTCCAGGGTAAGTCTTTGCCTCGATGCCATCCGTGCTGAAAATAAAACTAATGCCTCGTAGTCAAGGCAGACAGCTGAACCTTTCCCCTTCTCGTCGGCCCAACCAAAGGCTCCCATGGCTTCCAGGGTAAGTATTGCCTCGATGCCATCCGTGCTGAAAATGATACTCATTAACTGACACCTTCAACAGGCAAAGGCTCAGTCTGCGCGTGATCGTAAACAAGAAAACGAGGTAAATTCACTTCTCTGATGGTTCCTGTTTTGATTGATGTTATGCGCTGCAGACACCTGTTTGGGTAGATCATTCCAATGATGTGGAGGAACTCGAGGCTGCGTCAAATGACTATGCTGATCCGAAGTCTCCAAACAACAATGTTTTGGTACTAGATGATGATGATGATGACGACGACGACCATCATGGTCATTCTCAGGGGCCCAAACTTGTACGGAGCGCAAAGCCTGGAAAGTTAAAACTCACAGACCAGGATGACAGCACCCAATGTGTTGTCCAACGAGCGATACTGGAAGCCAAGGTTCATATGACCTTTATCAATGGCTATCCAGACATCACCGAGAAAAACCAATTTACACAAGATGCCCTCTTAACTGCAGCTCGCACCTGTGGCGTCACACCCATCTATGATCGCCTCAAGACTAACGAGTTGTATGCGTCTGCACTTGCATCTCTGGTAAGTCATAACTTTTCATAGGGTGCTTAGTACTATAATATTGTATGCAGGTTGATGCCCGAGTGCCGCTGTTTCGTACCGAATTAAAAGATGACGCTTGTGCACAAGTCACAGCATATTACCATCTTGGTCCTGATTGTGTTGATGCTGCTAAGGCTCTGCTGGCGAGCCACGTTTACCATTATGCGCAGCGTTTTGATGTAGGTTTTATATTCTATTTTGTATATGATTTTCTCAGCATTGCACGTGGATGCACTTCAGGAGGAAAACAACCCCATTCCGCAGGCGACAAAACCTTACTCTGCGGATATATTGCCTTACCTAATGAAGGGACGTTACTTCAATGGGTCCAAGTCAGTTGGCGTGAAATTCACAGACCGTTTTAAGGAGATTGCAGGAAACAAGGCCCAACGGCCTGAGGTAACAATTCCGATGGTTGCTTTGACCAGCACTTCGGTACATTTTTGTTCTTGATCTACTCTTGGTCCATGTATTAATGAGCGTGTACTACTAGGTGTATGCTGCGCTCTTGTGGAAGTCCAACAAATCTCCCTCCAAGTTCAATTTCACAGGCAACCAGTTCAGCGAGGTCTATACTTTCCATGTAAACTTTCTCAACGAAATGGAGGAGAATGCGCCGAGCAAGTTTCACAAGTTGATGGCCAACATTTTCTTGGCTGTCCAGTAAGTTCATTGTGCTGTGAATGTGCTGCATTGACTAATTCATCTCAAAAGGAAACTCTGCTCTAATGGCGCCGCTGCCGTAGTGTCACACAAAGATGCTATGGCTTTCCTCGACCTTGATGGCATGGATGATGACGAGTAGTTCTGGACGTCCTAGTCATGGTCTCGCGTTGTTTACCTTTACAATTTGTTTATCAGTATCGCTATAAATATGCTCCCTTCTCATACTATAAATATGTTTGTATACCCCCGTTTAATCAAACTCTAATTTGTTCTTGTACAACTCAAATTCCTGCATAAGTGTTCGTACCGATAGTCAATTGCAAGCATTCTTGGTTGTAAGTTTGCCTGATGTTGAACATAATTATCACTAATTTATCATGCATAACGAATTCCTTGTGGGGCAGTAAAAAAGTCTCTCTAAACCGCTAAGTTGTCTAATTTATCGAAATTATCATAAATTAGAGAAAGTTTTACATACTTAGCCTAAATTTGTAGCGGAGGGTTTTCCTGATGTCGAAGGATGCCAAGGCTGTCCAAACATCTGAGACGCGTTCTTTGAGGGATACATCACCATTTCTAAGAACCATGAGCAGCCTGTAGAGAATATGGACAACATTGAAGTTCGCACCTATTGTTGACAACTTCTTGAAACAATTTGTGAGATTTAGTCACTTCTTCTAACTTTAACTCGGACAAGGGAGAAGAGGGGTAGAGATTTTGGGTGACTATTAATGCCTGGAGCTTCATGTTCACCCCATCATGAAAAATGGCACCTGTCACTGAAATAGCTTTCTTTTCTTTAGAGCTGGAAATGTCATCGTGGATGATAATATTGGCAAAGTGGCGTAAGAGGGAAGGGACATGTTTAGGATCCACCAACGGCAGACTATGACGGCCCATGTTTCGTAGCATGGTTGTAACAGCTCGAATGCGCTTTTCGACAATGGCAAAATCCGCCTGTGGGTGAGGATCCATGGTGATAGCTATTCCTCACTATACATTTGAATTCAAGTTGCAGGAGGTCTGATCATGATGTGACTCACAGGCCTCTGGTTCATGCGATTTGTCAGCATCACCTCCTAAGACTATTGTTGGCACGCAGCAGTCTCGATTTGCTCTGTTCATCGACATTTCTAGGCGTGAATACATCATTGGACTGCTTGATGTCAACGATAATTTTGACGCATACTTTGACCGTTATCCACACTCCGAGTAGGAACTCGAGAACCCTTCATCAACATTACACACGCATCTAGGTGAGGTCGTTACTACGATATACAAGTATTGATATATGATATTAAATATCTGCACCAGTCAGACATCCCCGCCATTTCAGTCAGTGCTAACATTAGCAGCCTGCAGCACAACCACCGCAGTCGCACAACCAGAGGCAACAAAGGCAGTTGCAGCATTCCCTATAGTGCTCCTAGTATCATTATCCCGCTCCACACTACCCCGTTCCTTCAGTATGTTTTCCAGCTCCTGCGTGAGATCGCCCGATCCAAAGCGGTGTGAGCGCCCAACAACAACCAATACAGGTTTGCGCATAGATGCTTGTTGGATGGCAGAATGTAGCGGCATCGACGACGAATGCTCAGAGAATGTGATACAGGACAGGGCAGCGCGGATTGAGGGATGTATGTCAAACGAGGATTGCGAGTTGACATATTGCTCCCAGAGGATGGTATCGGCTGTCTCAGATTCGAAGTGTGTTTGTCCATACGATATGCTCGGCATAACGACAGTCTACAAGACTTCCATCAGAAAAAAACGAGAAGCACATGCAGTCAACGTACTGATTGAATAGGCATTCCGTGGTATCCTGTATTCCGCGTTTCATGACTGTCTTCCGGCTCTGGATGCACGATCGGTGGCCATTGGGCCGCAACACACGCAGCACCACTTTTCGACATCCGAACTACTGTCGCACTAATCCCGGGATTAGTACATAGCTGCATCACGAACTCAAGCGCCAGTCGATCATCGGGACCACCGAAAAAGGGGAAAAATATGTGGCGCGCACTCCCGGGACCGGTACCAGAGAGAGAAGTGCCCGGATCGATGAACAGGGCAACATCCGTATTGCTCTCTGCCAATATTTTACGCACAAACTGCGAGTGGATCATGGCTGCCGGATTTCCCGTACCTGTAGGTTCGATTTTCGTGCTGCGTGGACTACATGGGTCCTCTCCGTGAATGGACGATGGCGGGAACCATTGCAAGAGGGTGAGTTCAGATCCATGTTGCGTCGCATGATCGGAGACAGTTTTTGACATGTCCTCATACGGGACAAAATAAAGCGAACGCAAAACGCGTATGTTATTGAGCTCTCCAAAGGTGCGGAAGGCGCCCATAACCGGATCGGCACGGATGAGGGTGTGCACTACTGAAGACTTCCTGATGTCCGAATTACAGTCTGGCATCTCGATCAAGCGGAGAGCGTTCACGCATGTCTCAGTCCCTCGAGGACTTGGCAGTGCCAGTTGAGTGGCCGCCAGCATTCCCGACATGTGGTCGAATTTGTCGATGACAACAGTGAAGCGGGAGCGCCATGGTCGATCCTCAGTCATGGGAGACTGGGAGGCATCTATATCTTCGTCCCTATCTCCAATCGACCAACGTGGAACCTCTCCAGCTAGCGCATGAACCCGGTGTTCAGGACGATAAAAAACGAAGATCAAGGGTGTGGTTATAAAAGTCAGGACAAGGGCTTCGAGGACGAACATCGAGAACACTCTTTGCGTGAGAATGCCAGTAGAAAGTCCAATGTTGAGAATGATTAATTCCACGGGACTAAGAAACTGTCAGGACCACACAATATAGAGGAAATCAGAAAACTGACCCTTTGCAACACATCAACGATCCAACAGTGCTTGACTCTCGCCAATTCATTCCGGAAATCCGACTGGTGATCGTACAGGTACTGAATTTTCCAGCAAAGTCCAGACATATGATTGCGATGATGAATCCCCAAGTCGTACCTGCCGAAAGCATCAGTATATTATCAGTGTAGGTCGCTATCGGCAGGACGGACCAGTGTTAAGCAATCCAAGATCGGTATTCAACCCGGAGAGGGTGAAGTACTGTTAAGTAATGAGCCATATCGATCGCAGCAGATCTAGCGCCCATACCAGAGGTAAAAACACAATCGTCACCACATCTTCAAGTTTCCTCGTCAGCGAGACAGTAAGGGCTCCTTCGCGGGGGACAATGACACCCGCCAGGAACGCACCTGAACATGAGGTCTGCATCGCTTTATCACAGCAGTGCACATCACTCACCGAAAAATGCACTGATCCCCACGATATCCGTGAAAAACGCACACGCCCAAAGCACGATCAAGATAACCATCATGAAGAATATCGTAGGTCCGTTCTCCAAACTTTCTGTGAACCTAGCGAACTGGAGCAGCGCGATTCTAACCGGCCACATGAGAAATGCTGTGAATGCCATGAATGCCAGCAAGATCCACAGAGCTGTAAGCCCGGAGGTCCCATTGACGAGAGCCACGGCCAGTGCCAACAGACTCCAACAGAATACGTCGTTGCACATGCTAGCTGTCAGAGCAACAGCGCCGACCGTTGTATCTAGGAGCTTCAATGCGGTGAGGATGCGACAAAGAACGGGGAAAGAGGTGATAGAGAATGACACGCCGGTGAAAAGCATGAAGTGGACAAACTCGACGGGGGGACCAATGAACTCGCGGTAGAGTGGCACAGAAATTGCAGCGCCGAGACTAAAGGACAAGGCCGTGGAGGAGAGTGCGATGAAGAGAGATGAGCGAGCATTACGCGTGATGATGCTTGCGTCGACTTCAAGACCCACTGTGAAGAGAAAGAGGGAGATGCCAATGTTGGCAACGAGTGAGAGATATGGGAGGGATTGAGCGGGGAAGATGTGTTCTGTGAAACCAGGCATTCGTCCCATTGCAGTTGGACCTACGATAGAATGAGCAGCTGTTGGCACCATATGAGATGAGCTGACCAAGGAGGATTCCGCCAAGGACTTCAGCAATGACTTTCGGCTGTCTGATCTTGCCCAAGGCCAGTGACAGCAATCGCCCAATCAGAACAATTATACCTGTAATGGATTTAAATTGATACCACGGACGCACTTGGAGCAGATGACGCTTACATATTCGAATTATGCATAGCCTCAGTGCATCAGCAGTGGTAAACGCTGTATGATCTACTCCTGACAATAAGCCACCCTGCAGTGTCCTTTAATTGCGCGCGAATGGTGCGTCACAGAAAAAAAATTTACCTGGCCCGTGGTCTCCCTCTTCCAGATTCGAAAAAGCAAAGCATCCGGGAACATGAACATAAGAGAAAGATAGATACAAGTGATGGAATCTCACCTTGACTAGTAATACCAACCGCAAGAGCGGAGTTCCATCACCACCCCAACATGACGCAGGCCGACTTATTGCAGACGTCCCTCTATGATCTCCCGTGAAGTTGCCAAAGATGAAACTACGGATCACTTGTGATAACTTTTGGCTGTGGAGCTGGGAAGTCTGCTGCGTGGCTAGATGCTATTCGAGGGCACGGGTTTGATTTAGGGGGTGAAGATGACAGGTAGTCCAATTATATCCGACAATGAAAAATAATTGGTATCACTGAGCATGTTGGATGAAGCCGACCCCTGCAGCCATCCTGGCTCGTCTAGCTGCTAGCCAAAGCATCGTAATGGCAACCGCCATGACTACAATGTCCGGCCGTTCGTGAGATGGAAGGAGGAAAATTGAAATTTGGTCTAATGCCCATCGTAGCCTAGTAGACTGGTATCATGCCACCTGGAAGACAATGCACCCGTAGATGCGGTTGGCAGGTGTGGAGCGATGTGACGAATGAGCACTAGTACTATGCTTGGACCAGCGAATGTCAACGCTGACTCCGCTGAGCGCTGAGCGCAATGGAACCAACTTACTTTGGATTCCTTTCGGCAGATGCCGGGTCTCTCTCCGGTTAGACTTTGTATCTCGTGTCATCACCAGCACTATCAAACTAACTTGAATGAACCATATGTACAGCATCGACCTTTGGATTCGTCGACATCGAGTGCAAATCAGACTCCGACTCCGGTGTTGGCCAGCGCGCAAAGTGACCGGGAACCAATCCTCCAAAGCAACTGTGAACTTCACTATTATACAAAGGTTGATGCGGCGGTACTAGACTACTACATCAAGATGGATCGAAGACATTAGATGGTAGCTATATATGCAGTACAGTGGTATATACACCAAGATAATAATCAATTATCTCAGATACAGATTTGACGTCAAATATCAACATTCGAAGCCTGGAGAACCACGACGGCAGTCGCACACCCCGAGGCAACAAACGCAGTTGCAGGATCACCGATAGTCTTTCTAATGACATCTTGTCCCACGCTACCCCGCTCCTTGAGGATCTGGTGCAGCTCTGACGTGTGATCCTCCCCCGCGAGGCGCCGTGAGCGCCCTACCACTATCAAAACAGGCTTATGCGCAGATGCAAACTGGATGGCAGAATGTAGCGGTAACGGTGATGATAACTCGGAGAATTTGATCCGGGAAAGAGCAGCTCTCAGCGAGGAGGGTGCGTCATACGGGAGTTGAGAGTTGGCGTATCGCCCCCACAGGAAATTATTAGCTGTCTCGGATTGAAACCGCATTTCCGTGTTGGTCTGGCCATAAACTGTGTCTGGAAAAGCAAGATTCTACAAAGCACGCATCAGAAAATAACCGAGATAGAAAAACAACATAACTTACCGAAGCGACAGGCATTTGGTACGCTAGATCCGGCATATCTAAACTTTCTTTCCCATCTAGATGTACGAGCGACGGCCTTTCAACCGCAGCGGTCTCAGTGCTACTTTTTGACATCCTCACAACCGTCGCACTCATTCTGGGATTAGTACAAAGCTGCACCACGAACTCGAGCGCAAGCCGATCATCTGGGCCGCCGAAAAATGGGCAAAATATATGCCGCGCACTACCAGTGCCGGTGCCGGCTGGATCGATGAACAGCGCAACATCCGCCTTGCTCTCCGCGAATATTCTGCGCACGAACTGTGAATGAATCGTGGTTGCGGACTTGCCAGTGTGTTTTGATCCGCCAAAAAATGATTCGAATGGGTTATGCGGGCCAGACAGGTCTTCACTTGTATTGCCGAAGTTGGACGATGGCGATAGCCACGGCAAGAGGACGAGCTGGGATCCGTATCGTTTGGCATGATGGGCCACAGTACCCGGCATGTCGTCATAAGGGACAACTGAAAGCGAGAGTGAAACCGGTATATCATTGAGTTCCCCGAATGTGCGGAACACACTCAGGAGCGGGTCAGTGTGGATGAGGGTATCAACCGCTGAGGACTTCATGACGTCCGAGGTACGGTCCGACAGCTCAATCAAACGAAGAGTATCCACGCTGAACCCAGACATTTTCATCTTGTCAGATATCCTCGTCGACATAGTTGATTGGACGGCAGAAGATGATTCAAGAGAGGGCGGGCACACCAGTTGAGTGGCCACCAACATCCCGGACATGTGATCGAATTTGTCGAGGACAACAGTGAAGCGGGAGCGCCATGGTTGATCCTCAGTCATAGGAAACTTACGATCGCTCTTGTCTTCGTCTAAATCTCCAGGTGACGCCCGTGAAACACCTCCAACTACTGCAAGAGTCCGGCGTTCGGGAGGATAAAGTAGAGACACGAGGGGTGTAGTCATGAACGTGAGGATCAACGCTTCGAAGACGAACATCGAGAACACCGTTGGGGTGAGAATACCGGCATTGAGCCCAATGTTGAGCACGATCAATTCGACGAGACTAAAAAAATGTCAATGACCAGATAAGATAGAGGAAATTAATCCACTGACCCTTTGCAACTCATCAATGATCCGACGGTGCTTGACTCTCGCCAACTCATTCCGATTATCCGTGCGGTGATCGTACATGCAGTGAATTTTCCAGAAAAGTCCAGGCATATAATTGCGAAGGTGAATCCCCAAGTGATACCTGCCGCAAAGGTTCATGGATGATCAATGCTAGTCATGATTGGCAGGACTGACCGTTGTTAAGCAATCCAAGGTTAGTATTTAAGCCAGAGAGTGTGAAGTACTGCGAACTGATTAGTCTTATCGACGTGACAAATTCAGATACCCATACCAGAGGCAAAAACATGATTGTTACCATATCTTCGAGCTTCTCCGTTAGTGCGATAGCAAGACCGCCTTCGCGGGGAACGATGAGCCCTGCCAGGAACGCCCCTATACCCTAGATAAGTATTGAACGTCAGGAACAGATGACATCACTCACCGAAGATAGCATTTACGCCCACAATATCCGTGAAGAACGAACATGCCCAGAATAATAGTGTGGTAACTGTCATGAAGAACATAGTGGGTCCATTCTCCGTACTTCCGGTGAACCTAGCAAACCACAGCAGCGCGATTCTAACGGGCCACATGAGAAATATTACGAATGCCAGGCATGTCAACAAAATCCATAGAGCTGTAAGGCCGGAGGTCGCATTGACGAGGGCCACAGCTAGTGCCAGCAGACTCCAGCCGACGACATCATTGCACACGCCAGCTGACAGGACAACGATGCCGACGGTTGTGTCTAGGAGCTTTAGTGCGGTGAGGATGCGACAAAGGACGGGAAAAGCGGTGATAGAGAATGACACGCCGGTAAAAAGCATGAAGTACGTGAACTTGACGGAAGAAGGAATGAAGTTGTGGTAGAGTGGCACAGAGATGCCAGCACCGAGACCAAATGACAAAGCCATGGCCGAGAGAGCGATGAACAAAGATGAGCGAACACTACGCTTGATGACGGTGGCGTCTATTTCAAGACCGACTATGAAGAGAAAGAGGCAGAGGCCAATGTTGGCAACGAGTGAGAGATAGGGGAGGGATTGAGCGGGGAAGATGTGCTGGGTGAAACCAGGTATTCGTCCCATTGCAGTTGGACCTAGGATAAAATGAGCAGCTGTTGGTACGACATGAGAAATGAGCTGACCAAGGAGAATTCCACCAAGGACTTCAGCGATGACTTTAGGCTGTTTTATTTTTCCCAAACCAAGTGATAGCAGCTGCCCCATCATGATAATTATACCTGCGGCTGGCTTAGAAAGTTGACGTAGACTTTGAAAAGAATATATTCACCCATTTGTATAATCCATAGCCTCAGAGGATCTGAAGTGGTGAAGGATGAAGGATCTATGCCTGACAATAAGCCGCCCTGAAGGATGGTTTAGTTATTGTGAATAGGAGGTATGTTGTAGAAGCCAAGTTCACCTGGCCCGTGGCTGTTGCCCTCTTCCAGAGGCCAGACCCAAGACTGACGACTGCGTTTGAGAAGTCAGGCATGTCAAGGATCGATATGAGCGCAAGTAGTAGTAGGTAGTACTAATAACCGGTGAGATGACTCAGAGTATTAGTAGGATTTTTTGAGAGCGGAGTTTATATAGAACGCCAGCTAACTCACTGATCCACGTATTCACGCGCACGCTTAGCAGTGACCTTGTCAGTGTGTCAAGCGGAACAAAACATTTTGGAGGGGTTCCCTGGTACCGAGTCAGGCACACCGGGGCAAACACCCCAAATATAGCCCTTGACAAATGAATACATGTCTGGATACCTCGATTTTTCCACTCGTACTACGACCTCTGCCACAGCAACAGTAGGGCATTGGCCATGGCCTGACTACAAAACTGATGGAATCGCGAGCCCTTCTTCAAAAAATGATACGATCCCAAGCTACGAGTACAGCCACATTTCTTATTTAGTAGTTGCCTTGGTATCTGATCTCAACAGGGGCCCATGACACAAGTGTGTAGAGATAGCCCAAAGTTCAAACGCTCATATGCTGACAGAAGGCTTGGGCTTGGAGTATTGTGGTTGGGGTCCGGGTCATCGCAATATAACTTTTACTACTGATTGGAGTTTGGGTATATTTCGCAGTCTAAAAAATATATCCAATATCCCCGTACGCCAACTTCGCCAAGTCATTAGATGTCCTTAATTCGGACAATCTTACATTCAAGTACCTCTTTTCGAACGGCCAGACGGAACTTTTGTGACCACCGTCGTCATGATCTCGATCGCTGCGCAGGATTGCGCCCAACAAGGTTCATTATGTCAGCGAATATCGCTGATTGCCTAAAACGGAAGGTTGCCCCCCACTTCATCAGCAACATGGTGATGGAACAACGCGATTGGTGGAATAGACTTATCCGTAGTAGTAAAGTGTGAGCCATGTGTCGACCGTCAACTCACTCGAGTCGTTCGAGTCTTAGATCTAGGGTCATTGTTTCCGGGTCGTTAGGTGCAACAGTAAGACCACCTCCCCAAATTTGTATCACAGCACAGATCTTCGGTGTGCCAGGCTGCAGCCCGAACAGCATGACTTTTGGACAGCGACGTAAACGCAGACTCATCTTTTACCCTTATCTCACTCAGGAGTCAGGACTCAAGCAGCGTGGGAAACATGTCTTGTTATCATCGCACTACTGCGCCTTGCTTCCGGTCGTGATGTTAGTGACCGTTTACTGATAACTGGTGCCTCTACAGGTACCCGCTCATGATCCAAGTCGCCGTCGACAGCGTTTCCTATCCGAATAACTAGTACCCTCTGGTACCCCATGTCCATGGCTCGCCCCACTCATAATAGGTTATATGTCATGAAGGTTCTTCTCAAAGCTTCCGAGACAAAATGGAACAAGGTTCCGCGGCACACATAATGTTCCCCGCAAGCTATGACGTTTTCGAAGCAAGTTTGTCAGTCATCACAGCACTGCAGCGGATACAGCAGAGAACACCGGATGACCAGCTCTTTGCAACTAAATCTGGACTACGCATATCATACGACCAACTTCTTCAGGCTACGTCCTCCTAATCTCTTCAATGAGGACTCGATCCCGGTGAGCCTCTCGTCGGCCCATGCCAGCGTTCGCGATGTCGAGTAGTGTCAGGTAGTGTCGCATGCAAGTCGGTCTCTCTGCATAGAAAACGAGTACGTGGCAATTCAAATGCCCATCGCCCATTCAATAACGTGCCTGATCTATTCACGATATAAATACACTGACAAGTTATCGCCAGCCAGCTGGCATCCCCCGCACAAGATAGGCAAGGGGCAACCGGTGACGATCTTCTACTTCTAAAACTACCACAACACGCGATGTATGAACAGGTACCAGGAATTGGCAATAACTCGTGTACACGTACGTACTGCTCGAACAGTTTACAAGCACAACTTGACGCAACTGTAGCGTGTAATGCAGTGATATCGGGTCTGGCCACCCTCTCAAGGCATAGCTGGCACTACTGGAATGTAGTTCTTGAACCCTAAACGCGCTGCGATGACATGGCTCAGTAAGATATCGGAGATCATCAGAGACTCATTACCTAGGGCAAGCGACCAGCATCTCGCAAGGCTCCGTGCCTCTTTGGCTATATGTGTGTGTAAGATCCAGTCATAGTAGCATAAGCTGAGCTCCGTCTAGATTTTCCAGTATGCCCACACGACTCTCTCTAAACAGCAAAGATCAGAATAACGATCCACGAGCGAAACACTGGACTCACCTCCTGCAGCTGACTGTACAACTCAAACGACAGGTTAAGGCAGATATCGCCCAGAGACACCGCCCTCGAAAGACTTTCTCTATTTCTCTTATCAATAAGCTGATACATAACAGTCCTCATCGCTTGTATGCTGTAAACACACGAGTGAGATAGCTGTGCATTACTTAGAAAAAGAAAAAGCCATACGAACTCACCGGCTAAGCTGTGCCACATCGCTCTCGTTGCCGTGCCGCATCAGCGCAGTACACTGTCGCAGCACCTCACTAGTCTGGTGATACCACGTCTGAACCATCTCCCTCGTGCCCATCGGACAATCAGAAGCATACTCCACAGAAGCACCATGATACACAAACTTCTGGATAATCGTGATCGACTTCGACATGACAGGCGATGAGCTTGGGGGAAGAATTTAGAAAAAGGCTGTTGAAGTTGACAGGAGATTAACCGGCCGAGCGCGCATCTTATATCTTTCTCAGCAGAAATAGCTCCAGAAGCGAAAACAATCAGGTTCCAAGGGACACAGCGTAGCAGGGAATCATGCCCACAAAAGTGGGTTTGGTAATTCTTGTAACTTACGGACCGTTCTTCTAGTTAGGCACCATAGAGATGGAGATGGATGAATGCCCAGACAGTCGAAGCATCTACCGCTTGTGCCGCACTGTTGTCCTTGTTCTGTTGAAACAATACTATGTATGTCGTGTTTCTATGGCAGCGCGTGAATAGGCGGGCCACGTCGGCGGGCTTGTTGTTTCGTCGTTGTGAAACGTGTTCTGATTAGTGCTGTCAACGAAGCGACGTTGAAGACAAAAACGGAGTCGGGTCGAGCTCGGCCCCAAAAAACTTCCATCAGCGAATGGATGATTCCTTAGCCGTGAGAAAGTACTACAGTGGAATGCAATTTTGCTCCTCCGCCATTTATACGGCAAGAATTTTTGGTTGGGAATACATGACCATTGATGCCCGTACATCCAGAGCAACATGAGCAGTCCACACAAATGTTGTTGCTTTCCTCTATTGCAACAGATGAACTGTTTACGTACACGAAGAAGGTGTTCTTCACACTAGTAGTACATGTTAATAACAAATAATGTATTCAACACATGATTCGACACATCCGCCGATACAGAATTAACGAGACACTGGGATATTAGTCGCCCAAGAATCCAAGCGGAGTGCGACGCCCTATCATCGAAAAGAGGACGGCCGGGAGATCACAAAGGTTCGGGGATCGATAGTGACAACATAGGGATCGGACAAAGCTGCTTCATCAGCTGCAGCTGTTCTTGCTCCATAACCTTTGTCTAGACAGAAGAAGGGTGATCAGTCTCCTAAAATTCTACGGGATGGCCATCCATACCGTGTAAGACAGCATATCTTCGAGCCCACGCCTTGTAGTCCGTGCCGTTCTCTCGATTCAATAGCTAAAATACGCCAAATATGATGAAGCCATATTGACCACGAGAGATGACTACGACGTACTATTTGCAACTTCATGCTAAGGTACTGAGCTTGATAATTATATGTTTGTGCCTCGGCCAGTCGCTCGTCATAGGTAAGGCGGGTGTCGGTCAAAAGCGCGTCGTTCATGTCTCGGAGACTAAACGGCAGGATAGTCAGGGAGATCGTTAGTCGTCAGCTGGATGCAACTTACGAAGAGCTTTGAACGTCATCCGTGGCGCTGCCATACTTCAGATAGGTCTGAACGTAGTCGAGAATAACGTCGGTGCTATCGTGCCACTTGGTAACTTCGTCGCGTTTGGGAGGCTTAGGGCTGTTCCAGGAGAGAGTCATGGTTTTCAGTTGTTGTTGTTGTAATTGGATCTGAGGAATATGATGAGAGGCCGAAAGACGGAACTCACTTTATATACTGTACTACAGGATGTGCAGTGGTTGTGGCCATACGTGGCTGTGTGGCCCAAACTTGAACGCCATTGACCAAGGAACTCTCTTTGTGGACAGTTTATATATTAAGCATGCCGCCTAGGATTTGGTACTGGCTGGCTGGCTGCCACAAGTCACTTGTTCAGGGAAGACGTCGGTATGAGAATCCACGAAAGGGTCACAAGTCATTTTGAAAATCGAAGGAAGTATAGGAGACGGTTACCATGTTAACCTATCGGTGCTATGTATGCATCTAGGTCATAATCAGATGAGCAGATCATTGCTGACCAGCGCACTATGTGGACTCTGAATCTGAGAGCCATCAAGGTCCAAGCCTATTATTGGGACGAAAGATGTGGCAGTTTCCTCGCTTGTGAGGAAATGGCTGGGTCACAACAGGTATGTGGATCTTATCTTATGGAAGGGTGCCGCAAGACAGTGCAATTCTTGTTTTTGGGTGACGCGTACGTACATTGTCTACCACATCTAGCTGATGCAGTGGACCGTCCTGTAGAGAGAAGGGTTTTGACAACTATTGACAACATCCAAGCGTCGTCTGTGGTAGTATAAGACTAGATGCTAGGTCGGTCTTCCCTAGAGTCCTAAACTGGTGATATGAATTCGGAGTCAGGGACTCAGGGTGGCCGATGAGTTGTACCTGAGGCCTGACTCTGCCAGCCCTAAACATCACATGACCGGAAGCCGCTGCAGAGTCCTGACAGCCTCCAGGTCCGCCTTGGCATTTCCCCCAAATGTATGACTGCACCTCAACGAAGTTCGGTGGCTAGCTGTATCAGCAAGTAATGCGAAAGAATGTCCATCCTAATGTGAACACTGCACCGTGGTCCTGTCAGGTGAACCCTTGGCTTGGCGACTGCCACAGTATGACAGTAAGTGAATCGATATTACTGTTCCGCATACTCATCTAGTAACAAGTTACGCAAAATCGACATTCAGTATTTGCCTAGACAATGCTATACACAACACGCGGATATCGTGTCAACAGAAGAATCTGCTCTACCTCGAAAGTAACACCAAAACCAATCCCGAAGACTTTCATCACCCCACGTCGCTGGCTCGCAAACAGGTCGAGAATGAATTTCCGTTCTATTATTGCCTTGACACAGAGCGGCGCGCGCTCAATGGCAAAGTGAAAGTGACAACAGAAATTTTGACGAGGACGACATTGCGCTCCTTCCCGTCTGTTCAGGCGAACCCGCTAACTTCGACCCACTCAAGATTAAATGACGTTGCGGACGAATTTGCTCAGTAGTCCGTCTCAGCGGTGGGTTGGTTATAGGAAAATATAATGTTTCATCGAATCCAATTTCAGCCTGCTCTCGAGCAACTACCCGTACCCGTGATGTACCCGTCACAGTCGCAGTGTAGCCATTCTACGCTTGGGTACATTCACAGCAACTTCTGAGCCGTTCCACGCAAGGGAAATCCTTGAACTTCTGAATCGAATACCTGGTCTGTACATTGTCCTTCAGTCTTTATCCAAGCCAAATGGCGAGCGCCAAGCACTGACAAGCATCTGGACCCGTTCGTATGTCAACCTGTGTACTTGAATTCTAACTTCCAGCTCGGTGGTTACACAGATCCGCTTACAGCTGGATTTCAGAGCCCACTCGTCAAATTGAAATATTCCCGCTCAAACAGCTAACTGTGAGCTCCCCTCGTAGAAGTACGTTTTAAGTGTACCTTGCCATTCAGCACGAGCGTGACTGAATTCGGGCTGAGGAGAGCGTCATGAAAATCGCGCTCAGGCTGACAGCTGCAACTCAATCCTCAGCGAGTTCATACCAACATGCGTACTGAAGGTGCTGACAATTAAACTTTGCATGTTCCACAAACTATACTAAATGTGAATATTATCGCAAGTACGTCTATGGTATTACGGTACAGATAGTCCTAGCCATCCCATCTACAGGATCACGGTGGTGGCAACTTGTTGCATCTCTGGGGGACTTGCTTGAGCAAGGTGAAGTAGACGGGTGCTGATGCAATCAAGATTGAAACCAATGCCTTCTTGGTATATGACCTTCTCGGTTTCCGGTCCTGCTATGCCATCCTTTAAACTATTCTTCAGTTTCCTTTGCTCTTGGACTAGAAACGGGAGCAATCAAGTCGCAGTCTGTTATCACATCAAAAATACTTACATTCCATGACCGCCAGTCTCTTTCTCCAGCTTTGGTCATTCAAACCTTTGGCTTCTTGTTCTTTCTAAGAAAACAGTAAGCCATTAACTACGCGCAACAAAATCGGTCTACTCACATCCAAAAGTGTGTAGTGCAACTTTTCTACTTGATAGCTGCATTCTTCCGCCAAAGCTACGCCGTTCTGGTCGTCATGAGCAACATGTCCTTCGAGAAAATGAACTGCGCTGTTCATGCCCCTGAGGCTAATGGTAGTTCGAATCAGTCGTTGCAGCAAACATGGAGCATGAACGTACAATGCTAGTTGTGCGCTATCTTTAGCATCTCCGTATACAAGCACAGGTTCACAGTAGTTGAGCAGAGCTTCAGTACTCTTGTACCAGGCGGCGAGCAAGTTATGCATGTTAATGGAGGAGCAAGTGTTAAGTGGTAGAAGTTAGGGGTTGTAAGAGAGAGTCGTTCAAATTGGAGCTGTTTCGATATGTTAGCTGGACTTTATAATGAACGTTTGAGATTTCTGGAGGTGCATCTCATTAGCGAACACGTCAAGAATATACAAGAACAAGTTTACAGTCTTATGCACAGAACAAAAACGCAACAACTCAGCCGGTTCGCCATGGGGTTGTGTCATTGTTCTGATGACTGACAAGTATTTCGCAACCACGACAGCGTGTCCACAGTAGCCCACAGCACGTAATTTTTACCAACGCGCCTGCCTCGATTGTATAGTATGATTTCTCACACCGCTGCATCGCAAACAAGAAAATGCTGCAAGTTGGCAAGGAGCTGAAACGAAATTGAATGGATTAAGTTTGCAACCGCAGCTCAATGAATAACAAACTTGAGGTCTTAATACCAAAAAAGGAACGCGACAACTACTTTCTCGTAATCAGACCAACAATAGTATTACTCACGATAAGTTTTGAACACTTCAAAAAACTCGCTAAAGCTTCAAAAAACTCGCTAAAGTCTTTAACAAACTCGCTAAAGTCTTCAACAAACTCGGCCAGAAAGCCATCAAGACACACGGCACACACGGCATCAGAGCGGACTTGGAAACACTTAGTCAAATTTTAAGGCATGTATACTACACAAAAATATATAGATGTAGCTAGGTATCTAATGAACGAGATATAACAAAAAAGAAATGTGTGATAGTGAGGGAAACACGAGATTCAGAACGGAAGTATGAGAGAGTGAGAGTGCGGGCGCATGAGCTGGGAGGTAGAGTTAGGGGATTCCGTTTGATCCGGCGTTCGAACGCTGAATGTGTGACAGCAAGGGAGACACAAGCAGTGTAAGAGGGCGGGAGCATGTGCTAGGAGATAACGAACATGTTGGGGGATTCTGTTTGATCCAGCATTCGAACGCTGGACGCGTGACAGCGAGGGACACAACAGCAGTGTGAAGGGCGGGAACATGGACACAGGTGTGTGGGGCTGGCCCGGCCGGGAGATACAACAACAGCCGGTAACAACAGACTACAAAAGAAATTCATAAGTCAGATTATCTAGATAGCAACAGCAGCAAAAAAACGCGACAGCAGAAAGCAGCAATGATGATACAAAAATAAGCCGCTAGCGGACAGTATGATAGGAAGGGGAACAACAGCAGCAAACATGTCAGCTATCAGACGCAGAAGCGGTACTACCGCTCTGCGTCATCTGGTGAAATTGAATCTTCAGGCGCCACATCTCTGCCTCCTTGTCAAGCGCAAGGGCCTGGGCCTCGTGCACTCGGACATCTGTCTCGCGAAGGCGGATTTCCGCGTCCTTGGTCTCCTGCTCTCGTTGATGGCTGGCGGCAGCTTGCATGGCCTCATGTGCGCGCGCCTCGCGAAGATACTCGTACTTCTTCGTCTCGCGATGGTAGTCCTTCTTCACATCAAGCTTCGCGAGGAAGCGCTCGTGCTTGAGGTTATGGCGTGATGTGACGTCCAATTGAATACTCCCAATCTCACCATTGACCCTCTCAACCTGCTCCTGAATGTCGGACTTTGCTTTCTTCTTCTTCGACCCTGTGGTCTTCGGTTGCGCTGATATTGAGGTCTGGAGGGTCGGAGACGCAGGAAAATCTGATGATGAAGTGTTGTGAGTCGTCGATGAAGGTGTCGACGAGCTACGAGTCATCCCTGGCGACGACGATGCAATAGACGAAGGTCTGCGTCGTGCGTCGTAGCCAGAGGGCCCCTGAGCGCTGAATGCTGCACGGCTGTCGTAGAAAGGAGTGGGTGACTTCTGCGTGATTGAAAAAGGGATGGGGTGGTTAGGAGGAGGAGACGGCGATGATGGGAGTTGTCGTTTTTTCCCGGCAACCTTTGGAGGGCTGTTAAGGTCATAAGTAGGGTGCGGGGCATCAGTGTCCATATTGTCGTCATCCAAGTGGTCTAGTGCATTGCCCAGAGGGGCACGGAAAGCAGCGGAATATAAGTCGTCGTCGTCGTCGTCGTCGTCAAGATCAGGAACATTGCCCATAGTGGTATCGAAGTCGGCATTTGGAGGTGCCGGAGGAGCAGGAGGAGCAGGAGGAATAGGAAGAGCAGGGAAATGAGGAAAAGCAGGAGTGGGAGCAGTGGGAGGAGCAGAAGGAAAGGGAGCAGGTGAAGGAATGGGAGCAGCGGGAGCAGGCAAAGGAATGGGAGCAGCGGGAGCAGGCGAAGGAATGAGAGCAGCAGGAGCAGCAGGTGCTAGCAGACGAGGATCAATTTGTGAATCAGTAAATGGGCGGCTATGAGGAGGCAGAACATGAGAGGGGGGCTGAGCCCTGGTAGCACCCCTGGTATGTGCGGAGGGGCCAGCCCTGCCACGCGGACGTACTAGCGCGTACATGTCACCAGCATGGTCAACGCCAGGCTTGGACGATGTAGTTTTTGCTGCAAAGGAGGGATTTGAGTGCCAGATGGCGTCGAGTTCCTTGTACCATGGAAATTCGCGACAGACTTCTTCTACAAATTTGAATCGGTCAAACCGCTAAACAAATAAATAAGAATGCTCACCTTGTAGATTTTTAGCGGAGGCGTCATCAAGAGGGACTACACCAGCACCGGTTGCGCTGAATTTAGCCTTAAGGGGCTTATATTTGTTTTTGAGACTAAGGATCTTATCAGCGCATAGTACAAAAAATATAAACATGACATACCTTGTGATACGGTTGTTGACAGAGTCACGAAATTTCTTCTGACTGTTTGCATATTCCAGCCCATATTTTGCGTGATGTTTGAAGATGACCTGAGCAATAACAGAGTAGATCTGAGACTTGTCCTTTCCCGAGGGACGAGCAGAAGAACTTGAATCCAGAGAGGGAGGTGGTTTCTTGCCATCAGAGTAGAATAAGATACGACAGTCGGGAGGGTGTTCGGTGAGCCAGGTGACCAAGACGTCAGTGAGAGTGTCATCACTCTGCCACTGAATCGTCAGCTTGGGTTTTGGATCGGGGGGAGGTGGTTGTATTTGAGATGTCGACGGCTCAGGATCCATCGCTCTAGAGCACACTGGAGGGTTGCCTCCAAGTCGTGCAGAACGACGGAGGCGTTGTTGGCGAACAGCAGGCATATTTCGAACTCAGCCATGGTGCCGAGCCTGACTTCCAAATTTGCCGCATGCGGCTGTGCTTGTTTTCAAGCTTTAGCGAGTTTTCTGAAGTGTTCAAAACCTATCGTGAGTAATACTAATAAATGAGATACAGTGGCTCAAAAAAGTGTCCCAATGTTTGTAGCTTTTCATGTAATTGCTATATCATGTGTCGAGACATGGGAATATGACTAAGCTATAGGGAGATGTCGGAAAGGTCTGCATCTCAGCTTCATTTCGGTTCCCTATACCGTGGGAAACTAATGACATTATGTGAAGATATGAGTATTTTAATTTGATGACTCATTGGGACACTTTTTTGACTTTGAGTTTTACTAATGTAATCTCTATAATTCTAGTACTGTGTGTGACCTCCTTCTGCTCCAATCACTTCTGCCACTCTTCTAAACATATTCTCTATCAATTTTGGGTATTTCTCTTTGGTGATTCCATCATACTCTGCTGTAACACTGTCTCATAGTTGGAATAGCCCCTACAGTGAATCTTGATATGCTACAAGTAATTTCTTGAGTGATTCTCAGGGGTATTCAATATGTTTGATGTCTTGGGTCTATGTTGAACATGATAGAATAGTAATATCATGGTTTGCAAGCTATTGGTGGCTTATTTAGAGGTATACTTGGGGTCATTGTCTTATCACAAAACAGTATCTTCTTCATTAACTCATAACTTCTGCATGCTTCTTAGCAGACACTCCTGTCAAATGAGTATTCACTACTCTGTATTCATCCTCCCCTTTGCTTCATAGAAGATTCCCACTCCATTTTATCTCATATAGTCCTATACCATCAAGTTTTGTCTTGAAACTTAAGGTGTTTATTTAACTTTTCTTTATCTTAATGATTGTCTTATCTATTTTAATATAAATTCCTTGCCATATGATTTCATCCTATTGATTTTAACCTTATCTAACTAGATAAACCTCTTTCAGCTATTAGCAGTCCGATATTTGTACTTGAAAGTAGCATCTTGTCTTTTATTTTTATAGGTTGGAGACAGAGGAATCTGTTTTTCTTGATTATAGCTTTAAGATGGGCTGTCTTGAGAGTCTGTCTGACTATTTGAGTAGAGATAGTCATAGGAATGATGGAAATAATCAATTTAATCACTTTATTAGCATCAGCAGTCTTTCCAATTAGAATATAGTGATTAAGAGATCTTAAGTCTTATAGAGCAACCTTCTAGATTGGCTACCAAATAACTTAAAGACCATAATATTACTATTCTATCATGTTCAACATAGACCCAAGACATCAAACATATTGAATACCCCTGAGAATCACTCAAGAAATTACTTGTAGCATATCAAGATTCACTATAGGGGCTATTCCAACTATGAGACAGTGTTATAGCAGAGTATGATGGAATCACCAAAGAGGAATACCCAAAATTGATAGAGAATATGTTTAGAAGAGTGGCAGAAGTGATTGGAGCAGAAGGAGGTCACACACAGTACTAGAATTATAGAGATTACATTAGTAAAACTCAAAGTCAAAAAAGTGTCCCAATGAGTCATCAAATTAAAATACTCATATCTTCACATAATGTCATTAGTTTCCCACGGTATAGGGAACCGAAATGAAGCTGAGATGCAGACCTTTCCGACATCTCCCTATAGCTTAGTCATATTCCCATGTCTCGACACATGATATAGCAATTACATGAAAAGCTACAAACATTGGGACACTTTTTTGAGCCACTGTATTTGTTGAGAGCCGATGAACCCGAGGACAGAAAGGCCGAGAAAGGAGGAAATGGGACTACGGCCGAAGAGTAAGGCAGCTCGAGGTGCGAGCGCCACCAAACGGAGATTCCAGACGACGTGTCAACGTCGGCTATCTTTTTCATTCGTTTAGTATATGTTTTTAGGATCAAGGCTACGAGATTAAAGTTACGATGACGGTTAGATACAAGCAAGCGTCTGGCAATAGGAGCGCAAGATGATTATTTTTCGGAAGTTCCCTATGTATAATATATATCATATGTTTTTCTCCGAAACTCAGAACAAGTCCGCTAGTTGTGCTTTGTAAGCACGCGCGTTCTCGGCTCGTGTTCTCGGCTTGTAAGCCTCAACACTCCCCCTCAAGCCGAGCTCATGCCCAAATCATTGATAAACTTACAATGTTTCGGCTTATATAACGGCTTTGTTAATACGTCTGCGATCATCTCATCAGTGTGGCAGTACTGTTCTTGAATCACTCGATCTTGGATCTTTTGCCTGATGTAATGGTCTTTCACATCAAAATGCTTGGACCTCGCGTGGTACTGTGGGTCTCGCGCTATTGCGAGTGCGGACATATTGTCTCCGTGGAGAATTGTTGGAGCTTGTTGAGGTAAGTTTACCTCTTCAAATAAATTTCGGAGCCATACTATTTCACGCGTCGCGTGTGCCATTGCAGTATATTCTGCTTCCGTCGAGGAAAGAGAAACTGCGTTTTGTTTTTTAGAGCTCCAAGTTATTGCTCCATCTCCAAGTTTGAAGACGTATCCTGATATTGATATTCTATCTCTCGGATCGTTCGCAAAGTCTGCGTCTGACCATCCGACAAATCGAATTTGGCTTTTGTCAAGTTCTCTGGTCCCTTGATATTTTATCCCGAGTTCTTGCGTTCCAGACAGGTATCTTAATACGCGTTTTGCTGCTACCCAATGTGCTAATCCAGGGTTTGCAGTAAATGTGCTAAGTCGCTGTATGGCATACGCTATGTCTGGGCGTGTAGCTACTGCCAAGTACATCATGGATCCGATCAGTGACGCATAACCGTTATTACGGTTTCCCTCCTGGTCAGTCTCTTCTTTTTCGAGTATAATTTTCGGATCTAGCGGCATCCCTACTGAATTACATGACTGAAGACCTTGTTTTTGTAGGATCGATTCTATATATTTTGTTTGCGTTAGTCGGATTGACCTATTTGGTCGATCTCGAGTGATTTCGATCCCTACAATCTTTTTTGGTTCTCCTAGGTCCGTAATATCTAGTATCTTTTTGAGTTGCTCCTTTAATTGATCCATTAGACTCGGAGTATCCGCGAATAATAATAGGTCATCGACCCATACAGTTATTATCTCTGTTCCTTTCGCAGATTCTCTGATGTACGTGCATGGATCTGACTTTAATCGTCTAAATCCTATGTTTGTTAGGCGGCTATTCAACTCAAGGTTCCATTCGCGGCCCGACTGTTTTAGCCCATAGAGGGTTTTTCGTAGTCGACATACTCTGCCGGTTCCATCATTGTAGCCTTCGGGCTGTTCCATATAGACTTCTTCTTTTAGCACGCCATTTAGGTACGCCCCCTTGACATCCATTTGTTGTATCTCCCAATTGAGACATGCCGCTGTGGACATCATGGACCTTATTGTCTCTAGGCGCACCACCGGCGAGAAGGTGTCTGTATAGTCCATTCCCGGTATCTGTGAGTACCCTTTGGCTACTAACCGTGCTTTGTATTTGACTATTTCCCCTTCTTTATTAGTTTTCTTTACGAGGACCCACTTATTCCCAACTAGGGTGCGATCTTTCGGGGGATCTACCAGCTCCCAAGTGCCCATCTGCTCTAATTGGGTAAGTTCTGCTCGCACTGCTTGTTCCCACTTTGGCCAATCATCTAATGTCTGTGCTTCTTTTAGTGATCTTGGCTCATGCGGGTCAAAACTGCCATTTGCAGCGAGCGCGGCAAGGACTATGTCCTCCTGATAGAGTTCTTCCTCGAGCTCATGTCGTTCGTACTCGAGGTAAGCCCATTCTGGCTCTGGGTCATTTAATTGTTGATAGTCGTGTCTTACCGTTTGTCTTTTTGATCTTCTAGGCATATCAACTTCATCTTCGTCTTCAGGGGGACATTCCCTTTTCTTGGGTGAGTTTTCGTCGTCTCCCCTTATATAATCATGCTTATCTTCATTTGAACTTGGATGATTACCAGATTGCACGTCGATTTGTTCTGTCTCCCCCTCACGTTGTGTATCGGGTGTAGAAGGTGTTGCGCTAGTTGATGCCTGCGCGTCTACACTTTCTATCTCCCCCTCGTGCTGTGCATCGAGTGTGGAGGGTATTTTGACGTGTGTTAGGAACTTAAAGTTCCGTGTTATACGGATTTGGTGCGTACGGGTATTATAATATTTTATTGCTTTTGATCCGTCCGCAAATCCTACAAAGATTTGCTTTATTGACTTTGGACTCATTTTAGATTGATTTGTGCCCTCTTGGAGCATGTATACCGGTGCACCAAATTCCTGTAAGTGTGATATATTTGGTTTCTTACCGTTCCATAGTTCCTCAGGTGTCGCGCCTTGTAGCGCTCGTGTAGGTGCATGATTTCGAATATATGCGGCATGTGATACCGCTTCTGCCCATAAAGATTCTGGTAAGTCTTTTTCAATTAGCATTGCTCGTGCCAGTTCAGCTAACGTTCGGTTGAACCTTTCAGACACTCCGTTTTGCTCAGGTGAGTACGGTGCTGTTGTCTCAAGTTCAATCCCTTCGTTCTTACACCAGGTTATTAGATCATTATTCACATACTCTGTTCCGTTATCGACTCGGAACTTCTTCGGTTGGTTATTCCAGCGCTTTTTCAGGTATGTCGCGTATTGTTTAACCTTGGTGGACGTCTCATTTTTATGTTTCATGAACTCGACGCTGCTCCTTCGGGAGCAGTCATCAATAAATGAGATATAATATTTCGATCCACCAACCGACTGTACCCTCGCTGGTCCCCACACATCACTGTGTGTGAGTTCTCTGAGTGCTCCGGAACGACTATCTGAATCTCGCGGAAACGAGTCACGTGTTTGTTTTGCCTGTATACAGGCTTCGCATTGTGGTATGGATGAGTTTTCATCAATATTTAAACCTTCCACTAATCTTTCCTTTTGTAGCCTTTTAAGGCCGCTGAAAGCTACGTGTCCATAGCGTTTGTGCCAGGTAAGCCAATCTCTGGGTTGCTCTTCTCGGGCAATGTTTACTTTCGTTACTGACTGTATTTTTGCCCGACTCTCCAATAGATATAATCCATTGTACAGCTTCCCTTCGGCAATTGTGCGTCCTCCGCGCACTTTTAAGGTTGCCTTCCCTTTGCCCATTATAGCGTGTCCTCCCTCTCGGTCTAAACGCGTGATAGACACGAGATTATTCGAGGCACGCGGCACATATAGGACATTTTTAAGTTTGCAGGTTATTTGCTGCTTATTTATTATACTTACTAGTTCGACTGTCCCGCGTCCTTCAGCTTTTAGGGATTCATTAGTGATCCCGCTAACTTTGTGACCTTTTAGTGGGACATAGTCCGTCAATGCGGACCGAATCTTAGTAATATGTGATGTTGTTCCTGAGTCCGCCAGCCAATCATAATAGCTAAGCTTCTCAAATTCATCACTATTGTTAGATACATTGACTTGGTCATCCATATTCAGGTCTTCGAACTCGACTTCTGTCTGGTTCTCGATCTCTGTTGGTTCGACCTGCATCTCTTCGCCGATGAAGGCTACATCATTTTCCTCCTCATATTGCGCGTTATCCGCAACGACATCTACATCTGTTACAATGCGCGCGTTGTCGAATTTTCCACACTTCTTTGGAGGGAGTTTGGATGGGCCTTGACCCGCCTTTCCTCCGCCTTTACTCCAGCAACTTTCTTTAGTATGTCCCGCTTTTCCGCAGTTAGAGCATTGCTTATCCTTGAACCAACATTCAGCTTCAACATGACCCGTCTTCTTACAAATGTGGCATTTCTTCACGTCTTCTCGCTTCCTTTTTCCTAGATTCCTTCCTTTGACAACAAGTGCGTTCTCCTTTCCTTTTCCTTTGCCATCCTTCTCTTTCCTCCGCGAGTTCTCCTCTAGAATAAGGGAGATTAACTCGTGCGACGTAATTGTCTTCGTGTCGCCCATCCTAATCTGATATGTTGTGGTGAAGGTATCCCAGGATTCCGGTAACGACGAGATAAGTACAGTGCAGAAGTCGTCTTCCGTCACCAGACTTCCCATCATATGTAAGGTTTCCTGTATTTCCCTCATGTTTTTGACATGTGTGGGGATGTCATCGCCTTCGTCAGCGGTGGTTCTGTAGAACTTTCGCCGCCATGTGGTTATCGCCTGTTTTCCTCATGATTCTTTCACGATTCTCAGTTGATCCCACATCTCTTTCGCCGTTGAGGCTCCAGCTAAGTGAATCATTTGGCTATCACTTATTGACAGCTCAATCACAGTCTGGGCCTTACGGTCTTGCATCTCCCATTTAGCTATGTCAGCTTCCCTCTGTGCCGAAACGGGGTCTGGGCCTCGCGCAGGTTTGGGGATGGTACCTTCAACATACCCTACTATTCCTTTTTCGAACATGATGGCTTTGACTCAGCGTTTCCAGCCTAGCCAGTTAGAGTCGTTCAAATGCTCGATCCGATATAACGATGATAGCGAGGAGCCAACGGCAGATTGGTCCGTCATTTTGGTTGGTTAGTCTTCGTTTGTTATATGTTTTATTTTGTTATTTGCGCACGAGCAGGGCTCATAACCTTTTAGGATCAAGGCTACGAGATTAAAGTTACGATGACGGTTAGATACAAGCAAGCGTCTGGCAATAGGAGCGCAAGATGATTATTTTTCGGAAGTTCCCTATGTATAATATATATCATATGTTTTTCTCCGAAACTCAGAACAAGTCCGCTAGTTGTGCTTTGTAAGCACGCGCGTTCTCGGCTCGTGTTCTCGGCTTGTAAGCCTCAACATATGTTTTCATCAAAAAGGCCAGCTGGCGCACTCACCATATAAAAGCAGCCATCCACCATCGAAACATCTCAGATTCGTAATCCGAATACTGAGATGTGAGTCTTCTAATGTAACGTTTGAGTACGAGTACTAACGTATAACGTAGCTTACCTGTCTAGGTAAAAACATTCGTCAATAAAGAGATTCATAATCCGAATACTGAGATCTTACCTGTCTAGCCTCGCGTGAACGCCCTGCTATACACACAATAGGTTATGAGCCCTGCCCCGGCCATGGACACAACGCTCCCTGCTACCAGTTCATCCCTGTTCAATGTACCCAAATTAGCCGAAGACGGCACAAACTGGATCACTTATAAAGAACGTACCTTGACGGCGATTGGAGCACGAGGATTGATGCGCTATGTGGACGGCCGGGCAGTAAAGCCTATACCATTCCTGATCGATGCGAAAACCGGTGCTGTGACCAAGAAGGATGGTACTGTGCCCACCCAGGCAGAAATCGACGACCTCGACAAAAAGCTAGACGAATATTATCAGCGCAACTCCCTAGTAAAACAACAGGTGTTTAGTACCATTACGGACAGACTCCTGTTGCGAGTCCAAAAGCTGGAGGCTGCATCTGACGTCTGGAAAGAGGTGTGTCAGATTCACAAGGGCAAGACAGAGTTGGTCCAGATAGACCTTAGACGACGGATGCAAGAGACTCGATGCGAAGAGAACGGGGACGTGCGTACGCACTTTAGCGAAATGCTGCGCCTGCGCGAATCTCTCACGGGAATGGGAGCGTCCATAGACGAAAAAGACTTCTACGCCATTATCATAGGCTCCCTCCCAGAATCATACCGTCCCATCCTATTGTCGATTAATGCAGCGGCCAAGATCACCAAAAAGGTCCTAAGTACATATGAACTTGTCAATGTTATCACCGAGGAATACGAGCATCGTTTGCTTACCGACAGACGCCCATCCAAACGAGGCACAAACTCTGCCCTTTTCCGCACGTGCCAACGATAAGAAGTCCAAAGGCGTGGATGGCGCTGCGCCCCACTACAACCCAGACGCGCTCTGCCAGAACTGTGACCGAAAGGGTCATTACAAGAGCGAATGTTGGAGGAAAGGTGGAGGGGGAGAGGGCCAAGGACCCAAGCAGAAGGCTAAAAGGGGCGGATGCACCCAAAAGCAGAGTGCTAATGCGGCTGCGGCCAAAGACTCCAAGGCCCAGGACAATTACGCCTTTGCAACGTCAGACCTTGCGAGCGTAGCAGAAGCTATGCACTTACCTGCTGCGCGCCGTGGAGCTATAGTTGACTCCGGCGCGACATCCCACTTCTGTCCGGACAGGTCCAAATTCGAGACTTTCGTCGAAATACCTCCCCAAAAGGTCTATACTGCAAACGATTCCAACGTTAGCGCCACAGGTCGCGGAGATGTGAGAATCGACTTACCTTTGGGCTCCAAGAGGACCACTGTGACCTTGAAGGACACCCTATACACCCCCGGTATGGCGTTCACCCTCATATCCACAAATCGTATCGCATCCGCTGGTCTAGCAGTCCTTTTTGAAGGACGTATGTGCAAGATTCTCTCATGAGGTCCCCGAAGGGACATCATTGCGGAGATCCCACAGGTGGAAGGGCTGTACTCTGTTGGGACGAAAGGGAGTCAAGGTCACCACGCTAATGTGGCCAAAGAAAAGCTTACCCTAGGCCAGCTACATCGTAGGCTGGGACACATCGGCCAGAATGCACTTGCCGAAGCTGTGAAGAAAGGCTTGGTGGTGGGAGTAGACCTGGACCCGCAGTCCAAACCCGAATTCTGCGATACCTGCGTGAGAGCTAAGTCAGCGCAGCAGTCCTTCCCGAAAGAGACAAAGACACGTGCACTCACATATGGGGAGATAGTCCATACGGACCTCTGGGGACCGGCGCAAACAATGAGTCTGGGCGGCTGTAAATATTATGTCAGTTTCATGGACGACTTCAGCCGGCAGACGCGACTCGAGTTCCTCAAGCAAAAGAGTGACGCACTTACCGCGTTCAAGTCCTACGAGGCATGGGTGACGCGTCAGTCGCCAGGTGTCCGTGTGCGAAAAGTCCGTTCGGACAGAGGAGGAGAGTATCTGAGCGCCGAGTTCGACCAATACTTGTGTCAGCAAGGTATCGAACGGCAGCTAACAGTGCACGACTCACCCCAACAGAATGGTGTTGCCGAATGCCTCAATCGCACCCTGGTCGAGCACGCGAGAGCGATGCTCCTGGGCAAGGACATGCCAAAGTATCTGTGGGCAGAGGCCGTTAGTTATGCCACATGGCTCAAGAACCGCCTACCTTCACGAGCCATCCCAGGTAGCACACCCTATGAGATGGTGCGCGAGTCCAAGCCGGACTTGTCGCGTGCCCATGAATTTGGGACGACGGTCTTCGTCCATGCGTTAGAGGCCGGTAAGCTGGAGGCGAGGGCAGAAGAAGCAGTCTTTGTGGGGGTAGACGCTGAGAGTAAGGGATACTGGATATACTGGCCTGGGAGGCGTCAAGTCACGGTCGAAAGGAATGTCACCTTCAGGCCGATCCTAGCAGCTGATGGTGTGCCGGACGAGGGGGAGTCTACTGCTGTTAACGAACATAGCAGTGGCAACGGTAATAAAAACTCACCTAGTAGCGTCCAGCCCATCACCATGCCACAGCAACCTCAACCTTCTACTCCTCAGCAACCTCAACCTTCTACTCCTCAGCAACCTCAACCTTCTACTCCTCAACAACCTCAACCATCTACTCCTCCAATGAGGTCAACGAGGGCAAGACCACCCCCCGGATACTATGCGGCACTAAACGAGGGCCAGACGGCTGCCCTAACGATGGAGAATCTGTTGGAGGCATCAGAGGTAGACCTAATGGATGAAGAAAACTATCTTCACCTTGCCTTGGCCGCAGCAGAGCCAGAACCCACCCTACAGCAGGCCTTAAATGGTCCAGATGCCGTTGAATGGCAGGAGGCGGTGGACTATGAGATAAGTCAGTTGGAGAAGCTAGGTATGTGGGAGGTAGTGGACCCACCTCAAGGCGCCAACATCATACCGTGCCATTATGTCCTGGCCACTAAACGCGGACCAGACAGCGAGAAGCTGAAGTTGCATGCCCGACTCGTGGCGAACGGGCAGAGGCAGAAGCTTGGCATCAACTACTTCGACACCTTCGCCCCCACAGCCAGTATGATAACAATCCGGATGGTCCTAGCGATGGCGGCTCAGCGAAACTGGGAGATACACCAGGTAGATATCAAAAGTGCTTACCTGTATGCCAGCATCCAGGAGGAGATATACATGCATGCCCCGCCCAGCTACTTGAAGGAGGACCAGCATGGAAAGGTGTTGCGGCTGAGGAGGAGTTTACCTGGCCTGAAGCAGGCAGGATTCGAGTGGGCCGAAGAATTATCGGGCGTGTTCCTGAAGTTAGGATTCAGTAGGTCCAAGGTCAACCAAGCTGTTTATTATAAACGCACCTTCAAAGAACATACCGTGATAACGGTGTCCGTAGACGACATGGCTGTAACGGCCAACGACCTCACCCATATCCAATGATTCAAGTCTGAACTCCAGCGGCACTTTGAGATAAGTGACTTGGGAGAGCTAAAATGGTTGTTAGGTCTGAAGGTAACGAGGGATAGGGTGGCACGTACCATCACGCTATCACAAAAGGCCTACGTCGCGACTATAGTCGAGCGTTTTCACCTGGGCGACACCAAGAATATCCAGACCCCCATGGAGACTACGACAATGCTGTCAGTAGACCAAGCTCCCGCGACTCACGCCAAGATACAGGACATGCGCGACATACCTTACCAAAGGGCCATTGGGTCCCTGATGTACGCGGCCACTAGTACGCGGCCAGACATCACATTTACGGTAGCGACGTTGTCCCAGTTCATGAGGAACCCTGGTAGACCCCATTGGGAAGCTGCAAAACGGGCCCTACGTTATTTGAAGGCAACAGACAGCATGGAACTCACCTTGGGAGTCACAGACGCTGGCCTAGAAGCCTTCATCGACACAGATTGGGCATCCCAGCCGCACCAACACTCGATGTCGGGATACGTCGTCATGTTCAACGGCGCACCCATAGCCTGGAGTGCAAGGAAGCAGCCATTAATAGCATTGTCGACGGCAGAGGCTGAATATATCGCACTTACCAGTGTGGTGCGCGAACTCCTCTTCCTACAGCTCCTCATCGCCAAACTCTACGAAACCCCGAACCTCCCAATCCCCATACACTGCGACAATCAGGCTGCCATAGCGTTAGCATCCAATGGGAAGTTCCAGTTGAGAACGAAACATATCGACTTACGGTACCATTTCATCCGTGGACACGTTAAGAGTGGTGTCTTCAAGCTGTACTATTGCCCCACCGAGGACAACGTGGCTGATGCGTTCACCAAGGCCTTGGCACAGCCCAGACTGCAGAGGTTGAGGGGAATGATGTGTTTGGATAACGCTCGAGGGGGAGTGTTGAGAGCCGATGAACCCGAGGACAGAAAGGCCGAGAAAGGAGGAAATGGGACTACGGCCGAAGAGTAAGGCAGCTCGAGGTGCAAGCGCCACCAAACGGAGATTCCAGACGACGTGTCAACGTCGGCTATCTTTTTCATTCGTTTAGTATATGTTTTCATCAAAAAGGCCAGCTGGCGCACTCACCATATAAAAGCAGCCATCCACCATCGAAACATCTCAGATTCGTAATCCGAATACTGAGATGTGAGTCTTCTAATGTAACGTTTGAGTACGAGTACTAACGTATAACGTAGCTTACCTGTCTAGGTAAAAACATTCGTCAATAAAGAGATTCGTAATCCGAATACTGAGATCTTACCTGTCTAGCCTCGCGTGAACGCCCTGCTATACACACAATAATATTCAGGATGATCTCAGCGTGTCACTCAGTGCGAGGGTGTAGTTGCGACTCAAGTAGTGATACAGAAAGAAAGTAAGTTTGTCAATTCAAAGTATTTCTCTTCAAAGCCGGAACGCGGAACAATCTATTCGAAGTGCCATGACGAAACCTAAAACAGTTTTTCCTGATACCTGCGGATTACCTGACAGGTATTCCCCTGCTACACACTACTGAAAGTCGGCATATGTATAGTATCCTGAAAAGCAATTGAGGTTATGCTAGCTGCTGCATCGGAGTCGGCATAATACATTCGCACGCTAAGGATGAGGCGTGGTCCCAGCACAAACATTTGTATGTACGAGAAAATCTCAAAAACAGCGTTAGAAATCTGAACTCCCGCAGAATCTAGGTCCTATAAAAATGATGAACAGCGGTCACACGTAGATATCGGTGACAAATAAGCGCACCGAGACCTTTGGAGAGAGCTGAGTACTGAAGGCGGAGCAACAAACAACGGTGAAGCTAGCAAGCGCGGCCCTTCAGCGGAAAAAGATAACCGCGTTCAATTACAAGCTTACCTTGCAAAGTAAACCAAATGTGAATCTAGTAACACTCTGAAACAGTCCCTGATGGTCGATCCTGCCGATGGGCCGAGTTGTCGCAGCTCACGGAAGTGTTTCACAGCAACCCAAACTGAAAGGCAGAGTGCAAGAACCTCCCATACAGCGGTGAGTATCCAAGCTATGGAGATCAGGAGTAGGTCGTCTGCTGTATAGATATAAGCACATGCATGTGTGCCGGAGAGAACGAGCTCCTCTGATATTCGTCAAACGAGCCTAATTCCTTGATATGTAACTAAAGCTTACCCCCTGATATGTACCTGAGAACCACTGCCGCAATCACTCCGCAGGTAATGTTGACAACCAAGAAGATTATAGTGAGAAAGATAAGCATCCTTCTGGATCTCTGATACATGGCGTGTAACCGAGCGAGCATGATGACTTATACGATGTTTCAGTCAATGGCACTGAGATCATGCAGCAGAGTCGCTCACCACCTAGCATTGCGGCTACAATCACATTGATCCAATTTAGGGTGGAATACAGAATAGCGCCTGAAACACCCGGTTAACGGTCAATCTGGAAGAATCAATGTGTCCAGACGAACTTACACCTATTGTGGTCATTGTATTGAAACATGAAGCTGGTCGAGCATCGCACTCACTCCTATATAGAAGGAAAGTTAATAGGAAAGTACCAGGGCAGGATACTCACTGCATCTGTCCCCGAAGATGCTGTGTGCCACCGATCAGAAGACGCGAATACATTGTAAAAGGAGACGCACCCATCATAATATTGATGCTAATTGTGAGAGATGGCTGATTAGCACAACGCCATCATATTAACCCTATAAACATACATATAATATGGTATTCCAACGTAGCGTATCTAGAACAGATCAGAGTTAGCACAACTTGACAACAACACGAGTCACTTACAATAAGATACAGAAGAGTCACAAAGGACCAGCGTTGCCTCTATATCGACAAAATTGTACCATTGCGTTATCTTCTGATACGGATGTCTACTCACCCAGATCAGTTCAACCTGTTAAACCACTCTTAGTGAGATGGCTGGTCCTGTAGTGATGACACAAACCCACCTCTTCTCCGAACGTCAGCACTGGAAATATCATGAGCATATCAACGGTTCCGCAATAATATTTCACTCACCCCAATCGTATATCAGTGCCGTAGACGAAGCAACTGCGAAACCGCTATCCGTGTTAGAATGAGACGCTATCAACATGACTGGCTCGCCACGAACACGTAAAATAACTGGATAAACGAAACGAATTGATTATCGGCCACCAGGCGGGATCGTTTGAGACTAGCGTCATTTTTGCGGGAGGATATACTAGTGCGAGCAGCGAACCTGATGAACATATAGCAATGGCTTTCTTCCTAGATATAATAGTACCTGCATTGGAGACATCGGCATGATGGAGATGAATGTACGTTCTCGCCACAAAGCCCTTGATTAACTCGGAGTGAAGTATCAAGATTCTTAGTAAGATCGTGATACCGAACCAAAGTAGGGTTTAGTTGAGGAGCTGCCAACCTAGTATCACTCGCAGGAATGATCAAACAAAGGTCGAAAGCAGTTAATGAATCGTGATGTCGGGGAACTCTCGTAATTTCCTTGCGATGCACGATTGATGCATTTGTAAATTTAACCATTGAGCTGTAATAACTGGATGACACTTACGCGATGCAAAAAAAATGATAAGGGTTATGCACCTCTGATGCGAATCGGAAAGCGATGCTACAACGCACCGTGACTGTACATTAAAGTCAATGTGTCGGCCCTGCATCAACTTTTGCACAGCCAGTGGACTGAGACTGGTCTGCTGAACTTAGTATACGACACTGCCCCCAGCTCAAGACAGAAATGAGAGCACATGGTAAAGAACACGATTCCGATGGGCCTGTATGCATATGGCCAGAGGATTGTGCAGGAAATCCGGCTACGAGTCCACGTACATGCTTGTTTGACTTCCAGTGGGACTCGGAAGCCCACTAAACAAGGCGCGAGCTGACCTACCCTGAACCACTCACGTGACCAGGCATGTCCACTGAATTCATGTCACGGTTTTGAATAAATTCCTTACCAGCTATTCGGAATGATGCGTCGGTCGAACAAATCACACAAGGTGCGCACGGACTTGATCATTGACTACATATACATAGACCGGTTATCCAGGTTCCAAATGTTAAACTTAGACCCGCTCAACCACGATCCAGCCATGCTCACCCAATGGACGTGCCATATGACCACAGCTCAGACTCCGAACTTGTCCCTCCCAATGCGAGTATGGTTGATCTGTGTCCTAGACCGTTCAGGGGTGTTACGCTTTGCGCGACGGGTCCAATGGATAAGGTGCGTTGGTTCTGGTCGGGCTTGTGAGAGATAGTGGTGAAGTTAACAGTATGTGGGAAGGCTACCCTGTTCAAACAGGCATTTGAACTCGGCGCGACATCTACAAGTGACTTTACGGACAGAGTGACTCACTTACTAGCGAATAGCCATGGCGGAGCCAAGTACGCGGTGAGATTATCCACAGGTGCCTCTTGTCTTTGTTTAATCCTATTCATATGGGTGTAGTGCGCGTTAGAACGCAAAATACCCATCATGCGTCCCGAATGGATAACAGATGCACACCAGGTTTGGTTGCGTGGAGATGACGTAGATCTAGCAGAGGTGAGCACAACATAATCGTCGATAACACACTCCTAACGTCTGCAGACTGTTTCTACGCATCGCCTTCCCATCTTCTCCGGCGTCACACTCTCATTATCAGGTATTGATGACCTCGAGCAGCGCGCAAATATAAACCGCGCCCTAACTAGACACGGTGGGATATATGTCAAAGCCATCGAACGCCCTGTCAAGGTGACACATCTACTTTGTGCGGGCGACAATGAGACCGAGAAGATGCGCTACGCTGATAAATTCAACAAACGTGGCGAGGCGAAAATTCACGTCGTCTGGGAGGAATGGTTCTGGGACTGCTTGGAATTCGGAGGACGCTTCGAGGAAAAGCGTTACGTCGTCACGCGGCCGAGGCCAGAGAGGAAGGCCATGAACGAAGGCAAGTAGACATTTACTCCATACCGTTGAAAATCAATTCACGCACAATAGAGCTCACTACCTCAATACCAGTTCACGACTCTGCCCCAGGCACGCACCCTTCGAATGCGATTCCTGTCGACGGCCATCTACCTAGGACGCCCGCCCCACTGAAACCAAGTCACGATTATGATCTGTTGGAGGAGGAGGAACCTGCATCCCTAGCACACACTCCCGTTCGCGCAGTGACGCTTCAACTCTGGGGCAGCCTCTTACGTCCACGGGGTTTCGAGATCGATCCAGTCGCGAACAAGCTCATCCGTAGTCCTTCAAAGTCACAGTCAATTGCAGGTCTGCCGATGTCGCCGATACGGTTACCGGCACGTCTTGCGCCTGATGTGCGAACGAGAACCGCAGAGAAGGTGATAGAATCCCAGGGAAAATCTGTAATCTCGTCTTTCAAACGTGCCAAATCATTTGCGCCGCCGGCAAAGGAGCCAATGACACGGCAGCCGTTCAGGCGGACAACCACCATTGCAGCTCTGGGACCTGGGGATGCAGAGGGGAGTGCAGCACCTTACCAACCTGAGGTGGAGAACTCTTCGATGGCGACACTCTTTGCAGGTTTCCACTTCCGTCTACTTGGGGAGGCAAAATGTGCGAATGTGCGCAATGCTATTGATCGTGGGAGAGGCGTGGTCATGGACGAAGATACTGACGATGTCGATTTCATTGTTGTGCGACTTATTAGGTGAGCTTCTACTCTCTCATATAAATGGGGCATCTTATGCACCGGATTGCTTAGTGGGAGCAAACTCTACCAGAACGAACCTGATGAGACCTTGCGCGCCAAATATCGCACGGAATGTTGGCTCGAACACTCGGTCTTCCAAGAGCGAATATGTGGACCGCACGAAAATATATCATTCAGGCCTCTTAGCCTTCCCTGTCCAATACCTAGTACGTGTCATGGCTGCCTGTACTCATTTTATGTGTTGACATGATCACAGACACCGAACAAATTATTCTAAGCCTTTCTGGACTTGATCAGTCTGAGCTATGCTGGACAAAGCGTTTGCTGCGGGCGTTGGGTATAACGCTTGCCCAGATATTCTCTCGACATTCGACGCACCTACTTTGCCCGAGTGCCTGCGGTGCCAAATACGACAAGGCAAAGGAATGGAACATCCCTGTCGTCGGCATGGCATGGTTAGAGGATATGGCGAAGGCGGGTAAGGTACCTGACATCAGCGAATATCTCATCGGCAACGTTGGCGACCGAGCGGCAAAGGGTAAGGCGAGGGATGTACAGATGGTGGATACCACCAATGCTAACAGTAAGCCAGTGTATCGTCAAACATTTAACGTCATTTTTATTGTTTTATTGTCACAGGCTTGCCTGTCCTTCCGTTTTTCGTGAAGAAGCCACATCTCTTACAAGATCTTCGGACACCTACTCTCCTTGACATGGAGCATGCCCCTCCGGCCATGTTCTTCGGCGAGTCAAATGGCTCACTCGACGACGCTCTGCCACAGTACAAGAGCGACAATGGGGCACGGTTTTCAGCCTCTCCGCCTCTTTTGCCACCGCAGAGTAGCTCACCCCCACACGAATATGTTGCTGTGCACCCCACACGCCGGAGACCTCTATCACCCTCTGAAGACCTTAATCCTCCAGTCCCATCCCTGGATGCCAACGGACGCATACCCTCCTCCACCTCACCCTCGCCGATGAAGCTTCCCCCCAGCTCAGATGCGCGGCTGACGTGCGAATCCTCGCCAGTGCGAGTACCTCATCCAAGAGACGTTGCCCGCGAGCTACAGGAGAGCCTGACAACGTTGCTCGGCAAGAGACAGGTATCGGAAGATGATGTTATGCGCCCAGGACAGCGGAAGGGCAAGCGGCCGCGCCCACTGCCGCGCCCCGGGGTTCGTCGGCAGTCTAGAGTTCCTTTCTCTTTCGTATTCATTTATCCATTATATGTAGGTACAATCCCGGCAAGAATCACGCGAGACCATCACTAGGGAGCCTCCGGCGCGACTTGTGCCGCTGCCGCAGCCCATGTATTACGACGCGATGAGCCTGCTGGACGGGAGCACGCGTCCGAGCGAGGATAGTCTGCGCGTGACATATGAGGACCCTGGGCAGGAGGCGGAGAAACGGAAGCTGATGGCTTTACTTGGGGATGAGAATGTCGGGAGGAAGGGCAGGAGGAAAAGCACGAGGATAGCGGGCTATTGATCGTGATGTACATTGGAGTGCCGTATCTCTTGTAGCGCGTATTAGTATATCATCTAGCCTGATCACATTAACATGTAGAACATTGGCAAAACTCTACAGGAGTCCATGGGCATTAATGGGGTAGTGGTAACCTGGGTCGTTGCCATCGACCCGCCGGGGGTTCGATTCCCTCTTAATGCAGTCGGATCTTTTTGCGGCGGAGGCCAACGGGGCTACTGAGTGCCAGAATGTTCCGTAATGTAGGTAAACTTGACTGCATCAGTTGCAATAACATAAGTTCAGTTACTCCCAGAAGCCTAGAACACTTCCGATGCCCAGGGCCAAGAAATTCGTCCTTCCTTAAGATGGTGACCCATACAAATCAAACACAAGGCAAAAGAGAAAACATAAGGGAAAGCCAAGTGAAGAAGCAATGGAACGAAAGAGGAAGAAGGCAATAGCTCAGAGAGGCAAAAGAAGCGGCGCTACAACAACCACACAAGAACGGAGAGCTGCTGGACCCCAATGTGGTCAATGTACCACCAGACGTCGACGAGCCTCAAGCTCAGGTCATCGTTGACGAAAATGGATTACGTGAGGTGGTTGATGGAAGTCACTAGTCAACCTCGGGAGAGGCGTGAACAAAGCGGAGTGAAGAGGCCATGGAACAAAGAAGGGAGAAGTTGTTAGCTCACAGAGAGGCAAAACAAGCGGCGCTACAACAGCTCGAGGACGGAGAGCTGCTGGACCTGACTCTTCAGGTCATCGTTGCCGGCGATGTTACAGACCTTTCACAACTTGAGCTTGAACATGCTCACTGATAAATTTTACGCATAGTCAGCACCTAGTATCCATCTTCCTAAACAACGGACCAGGCTAAGCCTTAGTATCCTCATCATATTTAATTCAGCTGATCAACGTTAATTTTCATAAGAATCACACGGTGCGCGAAAGAAGTGAAACCGATCTCACCTTCCATGCATTGGGTGTTAGGCTCTACGAGGGAAGCAGCTTGACAATTCGGTCCGGCGTGACAGTATAACAGGTAGAGTTGAGGTGTCAGCTGTGAAGTGAGCCGACAATCCAGTTCCGCAGCACTTCAACGTAGGTAGCCATCTGCCCAGGTCCAATATTTTTCCCGGACCGAACCCCCTGGGTTCGGTATATTCCTGGTACACGCGAACCGGTTCGAATCCAGTCGCAACGAAGCATCGAAGCCTCATGCACATGTTCCAGCTAGTGAGGATTCCCCATTTGCTTAGTACACTCATCCTTCGAATATGACCGTAATCTCAAATGATCGCAGTCGGTGGCTGTTCAACAATTTTAAAGGTTAGTCGCATGATTAAACTCCACAGCACGGAGCAAGAGATGTTCCAAAAGGTAATCGGCCTCCAGCAGACGCAGCTGCGGCAGAGCAGCTGGTGGGCTTCATGTTTGCGCCCTGGGTCATCTACTATCAGAAATCAGGGCTTCTTACGTGTTATAGGCTTATTTTCTCTCACATACAACTTCTCTTTCGGTCTAGCATGGTGATCTACCAGTGCTACTATACATCAAGTACTGGTCACCAATGCCATCTCATCAAGCGCACGATCGGATGCACCGAATATAGTGTGCTGCTGTCAGTGCCATGTGACAGACTTGCTGATAAAAAGCAGTTTTAGCAGCTGTTAGTAAGTTTCCAGCTTTGGCCAGCGATGCCCTGATACTTGGTACGATCAGCATAGCATCACGCTCAGACCTGTGTTAGGTCGATGGCCACTACACGGTTCCATACGGAACACTTCAACGTCATTAGCCTTTCCCGGCGTCCGTGCACTATTTGCGTGCATAATACTGGTTTGCAAATCAAACTGCGAGTCTACTTTGATTATCAAAGGCTTCCTCTTTTTGCTTGATTTCGCACCGCAATACTACTTCACCCGAGCAAGGGTCTTGAGGCGGGATCAAATATACATCTCCATCATGTTGATTTTGGTGATAAAACGGCTGAACGGTGGTATATCTAGCACGAACGCTATTGTCATACACCACTGACATTCCCCACTCGCTCATCCATCCCTCGAACATGACCTATGTCTCAAATGATCCCAGCTGGTGGTCGACAATCCATTTGAATATTTTTTTCAGCTATTGGACGGGTTGGTCACATCAGGATGTCTAGATCTAACATTGACATGCAGTTTCGCAGTGGTCGCAGGCGTCGTGGTGGTATACGATTGGGGTAAGCAGGACAGTGTTCGAAAATCGCTGATATTCTCATGATACATATTTCCATTTTTGACACTCGGACAAGAGGTACGTCGGTGTTATCGCCACAGCAGCCCACTCGCTAAGAATGGTGTCATAGATTGAACTCATCTGAGTGAGTGACAAGAGTCTTGTATCAGAAGAAAACAAGAGCATGCAATGAATTCGTGACAGAGACAACGTTGGTCTCTCATGACTGTGCTGTATTTGATTGTTCGTACCTCATGTTGTGCTTTAGCGTGGTGGGCAACTTGTGCTGACTCCAGCATGTTGTAGATACGCTATATTGGAATGCCATATTCTGTGTATGTGTCGAGACCAACATCTTTGCGCTGTGCTAATAGCTCATCTCTGACAATTAGTGTCCATCTTCTGGGTATGTCTCATATGTGCTGTTTTTCATTTTTTCTGACCGGAGAGACACAGAAACTATGCCATCGATATCGCTGACAGATGCAGTAAGTATTCTGCAGCCATCTCATTCCCATCCAATCAATACGCTCATATGTAGGGGTGAGTAAGATTCCAATCATCGAACTTGGCTCAACATAATGACTCGATAGGTGTAAGTCTGAGTTTTTGATACCAGTGTGAGGGTGTGCACTGATTGGGAGTGTTAGGCACTATCACGGACTACGCAGTGAATGGCACAAACTTGGCCTTGACTGCCATGTTGGGTGGTAAGTGACCCAGGTGTAATACCTCTGTGATATTGACCCGACTGACACACGATGCAAGTCATCATGATTGCTCGGTTGTATGCCATGTATCAGGGATCTAGAACAATGCTTAAGTTCCTTGTTATTAACTTCCTGGCTGTAAACATTGCCTGCGGAGTAATCACGGCAATAGGACTCAATGATACTGTAGCAGGTAAGCTTTACTTGTTGGCTTGAAGAACACAACTCACAGGACAAACACCAGAGGAGTTGAGACTCTCTGGCATAGATATGTACGGTTTTGAATTTTACGGGAATGACCGATTTCTTATATCAATGGTTTGGATGCTCAACACTATTTGGGAGGTCCTCGCACTGTGTCTTTCAGTCTGGAGTGCTGTGAAACACTTCCGGGACCTGCGACGACTCGGTCCATCGACAGGATCGACCATCGGGGACTGTTTCAGAGTGCTGATACAATCTCACGTTCTTTATTTTGCAAGGTGAGCTTGTAATGTGAACGCGGTTATATTTTCTGCTCAAGTTCCGCACATGTTAGCTTTGTTGGTGTCTCTTGCCTTCAGCTTGCTACTAATCTCTCTCCAGAGCTTGCGGTGCGCCGAGCTGTCGCTGGCATCCGCGTGTAACCACTACTCATCATTTCTGTAGAATTCAACTTCTATTGGAGCTCTGGTACTCACTTGTGCTCTTCAAATTTTATTGGTCATCCAGATGTTTGTGCTGGGACCACGCCTCATCCTGAGCGTTCGAGAATACCATGCCAAACTTGTGGCATACTCCAACGCAGAAACTAGCATGAATTCGATTATTTTCCAGGAGCGTGTACATGTATCGACTAGCAGTACTGTGTAGGGAAATGCTTGCCGAGTGGTCTGCAGGGAGGAGAAATTTGGTCGAGGACTCGTCGTGGTATTTATTTAACATATGGTGTTTCGAAGTATATTTAAAAGGTCCAGGCAAACCTATTTCGTGTTGTATCACTACTGGAACGAAGCATCCGCACTTGAACCAAGTGGTAAGGCGAAATCATCCGGAACGTCTAGTAACCAACCTGGTCCTTGATGGCCGGTGTTAAAATACATTTCATTCGCGCTCAGGATAAGGTCAGTCTCAATGTGTCTGCTGTGCAGCGGAGGAAGTATGAAGCGCTGCGATCCAAGTTTGCTGGCCTTCCTGTGCGAACGGGAAAGGGTGTCAATTAGAAGTGAGCTATTAACAGTATCACTATTATAATGGGACGTGACGAGAAAACTACCACGTGCACAAGCCAAGATACAGGCAATCAATTCGTGCGCGTGAGTATTTGTCGACTCTACGTAAGGAGATTTGGCTTAAGTTACTTGCACTTTTTCTGGTGCTTAAAATGACTCGATGAACCGAACCTCACGAACAGAGACAAAGTAGCCAAGAATCTGAGCACTATACCCGTGTCCCAGTGCTACCCAAATAGACACGGAACTCTTCCGGATTGTATAAAAGAACTCTACCATAGTGAGGCATCATAGCTCTTTATGCTATGTCGTCTCCGCAGAGCAGGCCATTGCTGCTATTCCAGTTGCTATAGGGAACGGTTCGTCATATCCTGAGATGGTGACATACGTTGCTCTAGTCTGGCACGCTCGAGAGTACAGGTACAGTCTTATATCGCTACTAAATCCATTATCATACATTTTGTTCGTGATGAGAGTAAGTGTCCATTATCCAAAGATGTAGAATGTCCACAGGCACTGATATGAGAATTGTTCGTTATGTCGTGATCTGGTCAGCATCGGTCAATTCGTTTGTCCTCTGACGTCCTTTCCTTGAGGGTATCTCCAGATGTCATGTTCAAGATCTGAGCAACCGGCCAGACTGAGAATATAAAATTTCATCTACTGTGGCGCAGCGTGTTGGTTCACCCACCTGATTGGTCGAGTAGCTAATGATAAACGCGCAGTGCGACTCTTCATGTCCCTGAGTGCAGTAGTCGTCCAACGGCGCAGTCGATTCCATGCTGTTTTTAGGCGTAGCTTTGGTAGGAAGCAAGTATTGGAGGATTCTTGTTTCTCGATCCCTTCGCCCCTCCCATCGGATTTCGCTTCGGAAACCCATCCTAGAAAATGTGGAGACTAATATGTAGAGATGCCATGAAACTCATAGACAGATCGAGAAGAAAAAATGGGATAGCACTCACGTCAGATTGGACAGACTTTATTGATTCTTCACTACAGGCGCCCATTGTTATCGTCGACGGTTTATTTCCGGAGTATGATGCTGGCTTCGACATAGAACTCGGTATCTCCACCACTGTCACACTCTCTGCACTCAATGAGTCCTGCAGTGTGATGTATTGAGCAACCTGCTAGTGAGGACGGTATACAAGTCTAGCGCTCACATCAATCCGCACGATGTTAAGAACATCTTGCTGCATGTCGTAGTTCATGGGCCGTCGAGAGCGTTTCAATGACGGGCGTGATACCATCCGCGTCCATAAGTTTGCTTCTGACATTGGATCTGGGTCAACAATTGTAGTGCAACATGAAAGGCCCGGTCTGGATCCTGATGGTACTTGCTGAATCTAGAGGTACGATCAGGCACGGCCCTCATAAGCTTCTCGAATGCTAAATCGCGTTTCGCGAATACATGCCTCAGGTATCCGGTAGACCCATTGATCATACGAGGGAGGTCCACTGGAGCATCGGCTTGTGAGAGATGGCCCTCCCACACCGAGGGTGGTGGAGTGTGGCTGCTGCCGATCGTAACTGGAGGAAGGCGGCGGTACTACGAAACTTGTCCTTGGACACTCTCCGAATGTGAAGTACTTCTCCAGGTCATCTTCAGTCAAAATTCCTCCCCGCATGGAAAAGCTGAGCGCTCGTAAGTAAGATGATGCTGTCGAGAACTTTACGCAGAAGACTTACGGAGCCGGGTTGGACGAGGTAGGGATACGCAGAATCACAAGCTGTTCGAAATTGAAGGAGTTATATTTTGAAATTGTTGTTCCCGCAGGATTGCATGAGGCTGATTGCACAGGAATCCCGCGATAGTGTCATTAATATTGTGCAGGTTAACTTGGCTACGACATTTCTGGACCCGGTAAGGGATGACCGTCCGGCCTCTTCTGCATGTACCGGTCCAGACGCCCTCGGCACCGTTAGTAAAATGCCATGTGACACGTCCCTCCACACTTTTCGATGAGAAGAGCCCCATGGATGACGGCGAGATTTTAGCTTAGTGAGAGTGTTCGGCTGCGAGCGCAGCCACGATCGTGAGACTGACTCATCCTTAGAATGATGATGATAGTAGCCCATCGATTGAATCACCGATTCATGATACTGACCCTGTGTCGCTTGCTAATGTCCCAGTGAGTTAGCTATGATGCTACCAGTGTCTGAACTAATAAGTTATACGCCTATTACCTCAACACGGGTTCTATATTATGGCAATGACCTGTGATAATAGAAAGCTGGAGTTTGGCTGAACACTTTGCCTAAACTTAGAGGTGAAATTAGACGCCCCAGAGAAGCACATTCGAAGATCTTGGAACTTGGAAGCGGGAATCCAGATCCTAGAGAGTATACATTATATATGTCGCGAATCTTAGGCTAATGCGCTTAGCTTAGCTGATGATTCAAGGCCAGGCAAACTGCCCGCGGATGCTCACGGAGATACATTTATGCTACTTACAAATACCTCGAGTGACCAAGATGAACGAACAAAACGGAGAACATGCACGTGCATAAGCTTGCTGGCACAATGCAATTGGATATCAAACGAAATTAAAAAAATCTACCACTCCCCGTCTTACCGCACATGTTACAACATCATGCCCAAGTGCAGGCTGGAATATCGGACAATGAGACATGTTGAGGTCGATCTTGAAGAGAATGCGGTAGAACTCAAGTTCCCGCAATATACCCGTGTGGCAACGGCGGTACAGCTTGCTACTGGAGGACGTCCATCATTCTAACGTGAGTGTGATGACGAGATCCAGGGTGTGCGCCTCATGTATAGCTCCAAGAGCATCTGCGTGGAGCATGAATAATTGACATCTGTGAGGAGCAATCGGGGTGACGGGAAAATCTGCGATGCATTCGTGGTGTCGTGGGACTGCGGTATCGGACTGGGGGGCAACTCATGGTACAGCAAAAACGGCAATTATAGTTTGCAATGCTTGAGCTGTATGTCAACGATCAATCAGGTAGTCAGACACGCTCATCTGGTCAAAGCGGTGTGGATAAGGCACAGACAGCAAGTAATAGAAATGATTGTGACTTACGGTGGAGCCACGAGGCATCTGCTTCGAAAGATAAAAGCCGCATCACGAATTTCATTGTTCCGATGAAAGACAACATGATGGCAGAGAGCGAAAACAGACACCACCTGAAAAGGTTATCGAATCTTCAAATAACAATAGAGGCATATAACTAAGGGAGAACCAATAATAAACAAGAGGATGAGAAAGGACTCCAGTCAATGGAATAACGTGACCTTTAGTTTGTGAAGCGGGTGAGTGCAGAACGAAAGAGTGCGAGATGAACGGACCTGGTCATGAAGTTTCCCATGCAAGCTCTCCCAGTTTTGTGCCCTGTACCTGGTACCCTCTAGATGCCTTCCTCTCCTTCCTCTGCTCTGACTGAGAGCGCACAGCCTTTGCTGGTACATTCTCAACCTCGACTAATTCCTTCACTTTGAGAATTTTTCCTGCAGCTTCTGGACTGTGGACATGGTACACGGTTTGCATACGTCTATGCAGCCCGAGTGCTACCAAGGTTTCCTTCTTCCGTTCGCCTAGTGCAATTGCGGAGCGGCGGAGAGTAATTTTGAAGTGGGTGTTTGGTTCTGATTTAGACGCTACTTTTGTTTGTACCACCGTCGCGAATGACCGTGACGAAGGCCTGAATATGTTGTTCGATGTTATGCGGAACAGCGACGCCATAGTCCTTGCAAAGTTTCAGTCGATGCGGCAAAGGGCAATTTGGATGTTCGCTTACTAATCAAGTGTTGAATGGTCCAGATTGGGACGCGTTGGGAACTCCTGATTCACGATTGTCGAGATGAGCTCACTATATCGCTCTGCAATTAGTGCCCGAATAGCAAAGTTACCACAGCTACCACCAAGCTACGAGGACGATGATGAAAAATCCGAGATTTCTGATGGAATCGGCGAACTCTCGACTGGCATGGGGCCACCTCCACTGTATGTCACCTTCCATCAGAGTCCAATCCTGTCTTGCTCATTGTTGGATAGACCACGGCCAAGCACATCAACCAGAAAGCCAAAACCACCAAATCCTGAATTCAAGCCTTTGAGTCCTGCTTCATACTTTTCTCAGGCATTGCAGATATCGCTCCCTACCCGAGCCCTCGACGTTCGGGTGTATTACACTCCTCCGAAATACGACAATGGAGGTGTTATAGTATTCCACCACGGTGCGGGATATGCGGGTACGAGCTTTGCATGTCTCGCGAAAGAGATAAGTGAGGTCATGAGGGATAATGTCGGTGTCCTGGCCTTTGATGCCAGGAGACATGGTATGTATTCGCTTCAGGTGGATGCTGAATATTGATCGTCTTTTCAGGAAAGACAACATCGTCTCAGTCTGATGAAGATCTTTCGATCGGTGTCCTTGTTGATGATTTTTGTGCTCTGCTACAGACGATATACCCAGATGTGGCAGCAGCTCCAAGTTTAATGGTAAGCTTTATTCTTCCTTCTATGCAAATTGAATTAACGACGCTCTGGATAGCTTGTTGGACACAGCATGGGAGGATCTGTCTGCGTTCGCGCCTGTTCCATACTTCAGCAACGCAAATATAATATTGCAGGAGTGGCCGTTTTGGATGTGGTAGAAGGTACCTATTACTACATCAAATCCTGTAATTTACACGAGTCTGACCCATCACCAATAGGCACAGCAGTCGAAGCGCTGCCTCATATGCACGCGATTCTCAATTCTCGACCCGAGGGTTTCGATAGCGTCGAAGAAGCAATCGAGTGGCAGTACGTGTTTGGCGTCGCCTTTCGTAAATGCTATATTCACGTTTGCTCATACAGCGTCAATACGGGCCTTATCCACAACCCCACTTCTGCCCGTGTTTCGATTCCATCTATCGTCGTTCCTGCAGATTCTACTCTTACGCCCAGTACGCGTTCAAATATTGGATTCAAATACAAGTGGCGTACACCACTCCGGTCGACGGCGCCATACTGGGACAGTAAGCCTACGCTTACTCCCTTGACCTGCACCACCTGCTCATATAAGTTTTCTCCCAGGCTGGTTCCCGTCTCTTTCGTCCTTATTCCTCGGGCTTCGCTCCGCGCGTCTCTTAGTATTAGCAGGTGCAGAGCGCCTTGATACGACGCTCATGGTTGGTCAGATGCAAGGCAAATTCTGGCTCGAAGTCATGGCTGGTTCGGGTGTGGGACATCTCGTGCACGAGGTTCGTCGCTTACTTGCGATAGACGCTTACTCATTTATGTTGACGTGGAATTAGGACGATCCGACGAAACTGGCAGAGATTCTGGCAGATTTCTGGAGGCGCAATGAGCGCATCGTGGTTCGAGGTAATGTCATCAAGGCGGTCGGGGAGGTTTAGAGGAGTTAGACATATCAATCAATGTATCTTTGGTTGTGCGCGTTGACCTGAATCACAGGCTCAGTGCAGGACATAAGTAATATGAACTTTGAAGACGGCCGCATTATTGGGTCAAAGCTTGCTGCACCCATAAGGAGACATCTCATTAGGATTCTACCGGCACTCGATCATCCGTCTGAATACGATAACAGCAAGAAAACTACTTCTATTCAGGATCTTCATGTGTACAGAACCATAACTCGATTTCAGGGCTTTATACATATGATTCTACTATACAGCGGACATACTGGGTCAACCTTGCTCTGAGCACACAGAAATTGGTGCAAGAAAGCCGTCATATCAGAGTCCACACGGTTTTACCATAGCAACATCGCTCTCATCCATGCGCCGATGCACATTGAACCCAAAAATCAAGTAAGGTACGTCGGATAAACATGCTGATACGAATAGAACCGAGATCTTTCATCCAGCTGGGTCTCATGCAAAATGCAATAAGGTCAAACCTACAGTGGTCGGGCTGGGACCGAGTGTTAGCTGGGTTCGAACGCTGGCGAGTTTGCCGTTGCGAAACTGGTATTAATGAAGGAATGTTAAAGTGCCAACATAAATCAATGGCAAATTGAATATTACAATGTGATAGCAAAAATGAGTGAGTGTAAAACGAGCGAGCGGGTCGTATGATGCAGTGAGGAAGAACAAATTGCGAGGGAAGGCGATGCTAACTGCCGCTCAGCTGCCAGTTCCTTACGGATTTAATTTGTCGTAGCATAGGTGTACTCAGTGGTGGCGAACCCGACTCGAGAGTTTGTCGTGTCGAACACCGAGTAAAACCGCTCGCTGTGGAAGAACAATTCAGTATTTTATTTTCTTGGAAAAAATCGTAGCTCAACGTACAGGAAACAGTATCCGTTCGTGAAATCGTCGCCAGAACCGCTGGAACTCCCAGTGCTACTGACGATCAGGTATATACCATCGGTGGTACCGCCAATGGCGCTGTTCAACGATCGAGGCCAGATTTGCGCATTCGGGGTGAGCTCATAAGTGACCCCGCCAATAGTGAAATACAAGGATGACAGTTGGTCGTACTGGTCGGATGAGATCTTTAACAAGTCAGTGGCCTCATCGAGGGTTCCCCCCGTGGCAGACTGATACTTGTCGAAGGCATCTGAATAGTGGATTAGAAAGGTTCTCATGTCGTACAGGACACCTACCGGAGGCAATGTAAATCAAGGTGGTTCCGGTATCGACGATACCAGCTGTCTCATCTAGAATGAGCGTAGACCCATAGCTGATGGATTGATCAATGCCCCAATATGTACTCGCTTCATACGTCGATGTGATCGGCACGTAGCTGACGTCTCCAGTGATTTTGGAGGCGTCATAACCACCGAATGTGAGCTCGCCACTGCTATCAGCGGAGGAAGCAGGTGCGAAGAACACTCCTAGTACTTCCGAACCAATCGTTCCCTGCTTATAGAGGTTGTCCGTCACAGTTGCAACTTCGTATGTATTGCTGACGGTGCCCTGCGTTAAATCAACTGGTCCAAGGCCAATAATTCCATCCAGGCCATCCATCCCTGAGGATTGAGATGCGACGCCAATAGATTGGTTGTCGATGACCAGATCAGAGCTGAGCGTCACGGTGTCTGTATATTCCTCTCCAACAACACTCCCACTGCCATATGGAATAAACTGGAAACGGTTTGACAAAATGTATGGGCCACGTAGAAAGAAACACTCACGAATTGATTGCCTGTGTCATGGCTTGTGGCAGTCTTCTCGTAAGCTTTGTTGGCCCCGATCCAGGTATTTGAGCTTCCCGTGTCTACCAGGACTGTGTCTGTATGAAATCGACAATGCGTCAGATAAAGAAATTGCAGAAGCACGAGGAGCTTACAGTACGTTGCTGGACTCCCCACGCCGATGTCAGCGGTGTATGTTGTCACATCGTTGGTTACACTGATGGAAGAGCTGCCGCCAGCTTGTCGGGCTTGGATTCGAGCTCTATCTGCAGCCGCGATGTTCTTGATCCCGTACGAGTTTATTCTAACGGCGAGCTTAAGAGTAGCCGGGCTTGACGCTGTCCGAGGATGAGGAAAAGCGCTCGCTGACAGAGAGAAGAAGACAAGCGCCGGCAGGGCAAGAAGAGATGAAAGCGATCTAGTAGAGGGAACCATCTTTCCGATGGCGTCCCTCCTACTAGCATCTGGGCCGTTTTATATGGTGGTCGGTAGAAGTATTATGACGTTACTCCAGGAACATCATTGAGGCGAACAATAGCAAGGCTTTTCAAAAGCAAGTACATTGACTGCTTGAATGTAACTACTAGCCCCGGGGCTCTTTGTGTGATGGTATGTCCCATGAACTCATCTACGCAGGAAATGGGTGTCGGTTAGTAGATGGCTGCAGGGGAAGTCTGAAAATGACCTTTGAATGGCCTGCAGGATTTTATTACAGAACCTGTTTAGCAGAAACCTGATCAGTAATTCACCGAGAAAGGCGTGATTCTGCCTTCAGCCCATTTGAACATTTATTTTACATAACGTAGATTTTTTTAAAGTTCAATGTTAACGCAGACCCACTAGTAGTAGCTTGATTGATCAAACAATTGCGTGGTTTGCATTGATGGTGGAATGTTCTATGACTAGTAACCCGTGTTAGCCCACGTTACACTGAGTCGGACCCGTTTACCTGCTCGGCTCTATCTGCCAACTCGTCTAGATTCATGTCAGTAGGCCTGATTCGCCTGAAGGCTGTAGTAATACTGAAGTCATCATCATGCGTGGTGTGGGGGTGGCTAATGCGCCGACTGCAAACTATTGGAGCAATTCAAATATTGTTGGTGGGTATTCCGGTTACATGGGTGACCAAGAGTGACCAAGAGTGTTCTTTCTCTACATTTCTATAATTGGCTGGCTCCTCGACTGACTTTTTCGTGAAACAAAGTAATCAAAGACCTTATTCAGTGTTTTGAGGATCGATAGCTTTCGCCACAGCACTATGAGGTCAAAACTTGCTCCACTCATAAAAAGACATCCCGTTAGAATTCTACAGGCACTTGATCATTTGCATGTTCGCCTGAACTTTTGAATGGTCCAAATTTGGACGCGTTGGAACTCCTGATTCACGATTGCGTTTGTCGGGATGAGCTCACTATAGCGCTCTGCAATTAGTGCCCGAATAGCAAAGTTACCACAACTACCACCAAACGATGAGGACGATGGTGAAAAATACAAGATTTCTGATGGAATCGGCGAACTCTCGACTGGCATGGGGCCACCTCCACTGTATGTCACCTTCCATCAAAGTCCAATCCTGTCTTGCTCATTGTTGGATAGACCACGGCCAAGCACATCAACCAGAAAGCCAAAACCACCAAATCCTGAATTCAAGCCTTTGAGTCCTGCTTCATACTTTTCTCAGGCATTGCAGATATCGCTCCCTACCCGAGCCCTCGACGTTCGGGTGTATTACACTCCTCCGAAATACGACAATGGAGGTGTTATAGTATTCCACCACGGTGCGGGATATGCGGGTACGAGCTTTGCATGTCTCGCGAAAGAGATAAGTGAGGTCATGAGGGATAATGTCGGTGTCCTGGCCTTTGATGCCAGGAGACATGGTATGTATTCGCTTCAGGTGGATGCTGAATATTGATCGTCTTTTCAGGAAAGACAACATCGTCTCAGTCTGATGAAGACCTTTTGATCGATGTCCTTGTTGATGATTTTTGTGCTCTGCTACAGACGATATACCCAGATGTGGCAGCAGCTCCAAATTTAATTGTAAGCTTTATTCTCCCTTCTATGCAGATTGAATTAACGACGCTCTGGATAGCTTGTTGGACACAGCATGGGAGGATCTGTCTGCGTTCGCGCCTGTTCCATACTTCAGCAACGCAAATATAATATTGCAGGAGTGGCCGTTTTGGATGTGGTAGAAGGTACCTATTACTACATCAAATTCTGTAATTTACATTTACACGAGTTTGACCCATCACCAATAGGCACAGCAGTAGAAGCGCTGCCTCACATGCACGCGATTCTCAATTCTCGACCCGAGGGTTTCGATAGCGTCGAAGAAGCAATCGAGTGGCAGTACGTGTTTGGCGTTGCCTTTCGTAAGTGCTGTATTCATGTTTGCTCATACAGCGTCAATACGGGCCTTATCCACAACCCCACTTCTGCCCGTGTTTCGATTCCATCTATCGTCGTTCCTGCAGATTCTGCTCTTACGCCCAGCACGCGTGCAAATATTGGATTCAAATAAATACAAGTGGCATACACTACTCCGGTCGATGGCGCCATACTGGGACAGTAAGCCTACGTTTGCTCCCTTGACTTGCGCCACCCACTCATACCGATCTTCTTTCAGGCTGGTTCCCGTCGCTGTCATCTCTATTCCTCGGGCTTCGCCCCACGCGGCTCTTAGTATTAGCAAATGCAGAGCGCCTTGATACGACGCTCATGGCTGGTCAGATGCAGAGCAAATTCTGGCTCGAAGTCATGGCTGGTTCGGGTGTGGGACATCTCGTGCACGAGGTTCGTCGCTTACTTGATGAAAGTTGGCTGATGTATGTTGACGTGAAATTAGGACGATCCAACAAAGCTGGCAGAGATTCTGGCAGATTTTTGGAGGCGCAATGAACGCATCATGGTTCGAGGTAACGTCATCAAGGCGGTCGGGGAGGTTTAGAGGAGCTAGACATGTCAATCAATATATATTTGGTTGTGCGCTTTTTCTCGCAGTGTAATCGTTGCGCGCATCGACCTGAATCACAGGCTCAGTGCAGGACATAGGTAATATGAACTTTGAAGGCGTTATTATTGGGTCAATTCCACTCATAAGGATTCTACTGGCACTCGATCGTCCGTCTGAATATGATAACAGCGAGATCAAAACTATTTCCAATCAACATCTTGTGAACAGAACCATAACTTCAATATCAGAACTTTATACATATAATTCCGCAATACAGCGGACATACTGGGTCAACCTTGCTCTGAGCACACAGAAAATGGTGGGAGGAAGCCATCATATCAGAGTCCTAACGGTTTTACCATAGCAACATCGCTCTCATCCATGCACCGATGCGCATTAAGATAAACATGTTGATACGAATAGAACCGAGATCTTTCGTCCAGCTGGGTCTCATGCAAAATGCAAAAGGTCAAACACACAGTAGCCGGGCTGGGACCGAGCGTTAGCTGGGTTCGAACGCTGGCGAGTTTGCCGTTACGAAACTGGTATTAATGAAGGAGTGTTAAAGTGCCAATGTAAATCAATGACAAATTGAATATTGCAATGTGATGCCAAAAATGAGTGAGTGAGTGAGCGAGAGTGTGTGTAAAACGAGCGAGCGGGTCGTATGGTGCAGTGAGGAAGAACCAATTGCGAGGGAAGGCGATACTAACTGCCAGTTCCTTACGAATTTAATTTGTCGTAGCATAGGTGTACTGAGTAGTAGCGAACCCGAGTTGAGAGTTTGCCGTGTCGAACACCGAGTAAAACCGCTCGCTATGATGGAAGAACAATTCAGTATTATATTTTCTTGGAAAAAATCGTAGCTCAACGTACAGGAAACAGTATCCGTTCGTGAAATCGTCGCCAGAACCGCTGGAACTCCCAGTGCTACTGACGATCAGGTATATACCGTCGGTGGTACCGCCAATGGCGCTGTTCAACGATCGAGGCCAGATTTGCGCATTCGGGGTGAGCTCATAAGTGACCCCGCCAATAGTGAAATACAAGGATGACAGTTGGTCGTACTGGTCGGATGAGATCTTTAACAAGTCAGTGGCCTCATCGAGGGTTCCCCCCGTGGCAGACTGATATTTGTTGAAGGCATCTGAATAGTGGATTAAAAAGGTTCTCATGTCGTACAGGACACCTACCGGAGGCAATGTAAATCAGGGTGGTTCCGGTATCGACGATACCAGCTGTCTCATCTAAAATGAGCGTAGACCCATAGCTGATGGATTGATCAATGCCCCAATATCCACTCGCTGGAGATGTCGATGTGATCGGCACGTAGCTGACGTCTCCGGTAATTTTGGAGGCGTTATAACCACCGAATGTGAGCTCGCCACTGCTATCGGAGGAGGAAGCAGGTGCAAAGAACACTCCGAGGACTTCCGAACCAATCGTTCCCTGCTTATAGAGGTTGTCTGTCACAGTTGCAACTTGGTATGTATTGCTGACGGTGCCCAGCGTTAAATCAACTGGTCCAAGCCCAAGAATTCCATTCAGACCATTCATCCCCGAGTATTCAAATGCGATACCAATAGATTGGTTGTCGATAACCAAATCAGAGTTGAGCGTCACGGTGTCTGTATATTCCTCTCCAATAACATTCCCACTACCATATGCAACACACTGGAAGAGGTCTGACAAAATGTATGTGCCACGTGGAGACAGACACTCACGAATATACCGCCTGTGTCATGGCTTGTAGCAGTCTTCTCGTAAGCTTTGTTAGCCCCAATCCAGGTATTTGAGCTTCCGGTGTCTACCAGAACTGTGTCTGTATGAAATCGACAATGCGTCAGATAAAGAAATGACAAGGACACGAGCAGCTTACAGTACGTTGGTGGATTCCCCACGCCAATGTCAGCGGTGTATAGCATCACATCATTGGTTACACTGATGGAAGAGCTGCTGCCAGTTTGTCGAGCTTGGATTCGAGCTCTATCTGCAGCCACGATGTTCCTGGTCCCGTATGAGTTTATTCTAACAGCGAGCTTGAGAGTAGCAGGGCTTGACGCTGTCCGAGGATGAGGCAAAGCGCTTGCTGACAGAGAGAAGAAGGCAAGCGCCAGCAGGGCAAGAAGAGATGAAAGCGATATAGAGGGAGCCATCTTGCCGTTGCGCATCCTACTAGTACCTGGGCCGTTTTATATGGTGGTCGGTATCATGACGTTACTCCGGGAATATCATGGAGGCGAACAACTTGAGCAAGGCTTTGTGAAAAACAAGTACGTTAACTGCTTGAAATGTAACTGGGCCCGGGGCTCTGTGTATGGAGACCATTTCCTGCGTAGATGAGTGTCGGTTAGTAAGTGGCTGCATGCGGGCATGACCTTTGGATGACCTGCAGGAGTTTGTTACAGAACCTGTTTAGCAGAAACCTGATCGATAATTCCCTGAGAAAGGCGTGATTCTGCAATTTTAGGCTTGCTATAGCCCATTTGAACATTTATTTACATAACATAGATTTTTTTTTTAAAGTTCAACATCTGTTAGTTCTGAATCCGAACGCAGAGTGAGCCACTAGTAGTACTCAGCTTCATCGATTCAAACAATTGCGTGAGCCCACGTTACACCAACCCTGACTCAGTCGGATCCGTTTACCTGCTCCGCTCTATCTGCCTACTCGTCTAGATTCGTGTCAGTAGGCCTGAAGGCTGTAGTAATACTGAAGTCATCATGATGCGTGGTGTGGGGGTGGCTAATGGCAATTAGCTGGATAACTCACGCGGGTATTCCGGTTACTTTTATATGACTAAGTGCTCTTTCTCTACATTTCTATAATTGGTTGGCTCCTCGACTGACTTTCTTGGAAAACAAAGTAGTTGATAATCGGGCTGGGACTGGGCGTTAGCTGGGTTCAAACGTTGGCGAGTTTGCCGTTACGAAACTGGTATTAATAAAGGAATGTTAAAGTGCCAATGTAATCAATGGCAAACTGAATATTACAATGTGATGGTAAAAATGAGTGAGTGAGCGAGCGAGTCGTATGGTGCAGTGATGAAGAACAAATTGCGAGGAAAGGCGATGCTAACCGCCGCTCAGCTGCCAGTTCCTTGCGAATTTAATTTGACGTGGCATCAGTGTACTGAGTGGTGGCGAACCCGACTCGAGAGTTTGTCGTGTCAAACACCGAGTAAAACCGCTCGCTATGGAAGAACAATTCAGTATTTTATTTTCCTGGAAAAAATTGTAGCTCAACGTACAGGAAACAGTATCCGTTCGTGAAATCTAAGCCAGAACCGCTGGGGCTCCCTGTGTCAGCGATGACCAGGTATATGCTGTTGGCATCACCGCCAACGGCGGTGTTCAACGATCGAGGCCAGATTTGCGCATTCGGGGTGAGCTCATAAGTAACCCCACCAATAGCGAAATACAAGGATGAGAGCTTCTCGTACTGGGCGGACGAGATCTGTAATAAGCCAACGTTCTCATTGAGGGTTGCCCCCGTAGCAGACTGATATTTATGGAACGCATCTGAATAATGGATTAAAAGGATTCTCATGTCGTACGGGACACCTACCGGAGGCAATGTAAATCAAGGTGGTTCCGGTATCGACGATACCAGCTGTCTCATCCAAAATGGGCATAGACCCATATCTGATGGATTGATCAATGCCCCAATATTCACTCGCTGGAGATGTCGTTGTGATCGGCACGTAGCTGACGTCTCCAGTGATTTTGGAGGCGTCATAACCACCGAATGTGAGCTCGCCACTGCTATCGGAGGAGGAAGCAGGTGCAAAGAACACTCCGAGTACCTCTGAACTAATCGTTCTCTGCTTATAGAGGTTGTCCGTCACAGTTGCAACTTCGTATGTATTGCTGACGGTGCCCTGCGTTAAATCAGCTGGTCCAAGGCCAATAAGTCCCTCCAGGCTACCCATCCCTGAGGATTGAGATGCGACGCCAATAGATTGGTTATCAATGACCAGGTCAGCGTTGAGCGTTACGGTATCTGTATATTCCTCTCCAGAAACGGAACTACCATCGCCATATCCAACACTCTGGAAACGGTTTGACAAAATGTACGTGCCATGTAGAAACAAACACTCACGAATGTATTGCCTGTGTCCCGGCTTGTAGCAGTCTTCTCGTAAGCTTTGTTAGTCCCGATCCAGGTATTTGAGCTTCCCGTGTCTACCAGGACTGTGTCTGTGTAAAATTGACAATGCGTCAGATAAAGAAATGGCAGGGACAGGAACTGGACAGAAGCAGCTTACAGTATGTTGGTGGATTCCCCACGCCGATGTCAGCGGTGTATGTCATCACATTATTGATTGCACTGATGGAAGAGCTGCCGCCAGCTTGTCGAGCTTGGATCCGAGCTCTATCTGCAGCCGCGATGTTCTTGATCCCGTACGAGTTTATTCTAACAGCGAGCTTGAGAGTAGCCGGGCTTGACGCTGTCCGAGGATGAGGGGAAGCACTTGCTGACAGAGAGATGAAGGCAAGCGCCAGCAGGGCAAGAAGAGATGAAAGCGACCTAGAGGGAACCATCTTACCGATGGCATCCTTCCTACTAGTACCTGGACCATTTTATATCGTGGTCGGTAGTAGAAGCATCATAACGTTACTCCGGGAACATCATGGAGGCAAACAATAGCAAGGCTTCGAAGCAACTACGTTAGCTGCTTGAAATGTAACTAGGCTCATTGTCACGAGATATATGTCTTATGAACTCATCTATGCAGGAAATGAGTGTCGGTTAGTAAGTGGCTGCAGGGAAGTCTGGAAATGACCTTTGGATGACCTGCAGAATTTTATTACAGCACCTGATCAGTAATTTACTGAGAAAGACGTGATTCTGGCTTCAGCCCATTTGAACATTATTTACAGTAGATTTTTTTTTAAAGTTCAAGTGATCTGGAAGTTCTGAATTCGAATGTGTCGGAACGCAGACGTGGGCCAATAACTTGATCAGCCGATCAAGCCATCAAAACGATCGTGTGACTTGCATTGATGGCGGAATATTCTATGACTAGTAACTTATAACCGACCCTGGACCCGTTTGCTTACCTGCTCCGCTCTATCTACCAACTTGTCTAAATTCATGCCAGTAGTACTATAAAGTTCAAAGTCGGCGTGGTGTTGGGGTGGCTGATTATGCCCCGACTCTGATTCAGCGTTTTGAAGATCGATTACCAGCGCATTATGAGTTCAAAACTTGCTCCACTCATATGAAAACATGTCCCATTAGGATTCTATAGGCGCTTGATCATCTGTCTGAATATTATGATGCTGATAACAAACCGACTTCTAATCAAGATCTTCCTCGTGTGCACAGAACCATACAGTGGACATAACGGGGCCAACCTTATGCTGAGCACACATAAGATGCTGGAAGAAAGTCGTCATAGTCCGGTCGGTCTTACCGTAGCACCACTCTCAACCATGCACCGATGCACATTAAAGACAAAATTCAAGTAAGGTACGTTGGGTATATATGCTGATACGAATAGAACGGTGATCGTGCGTGAAGAGGAATTTAATTTGTTGTAGCATCGGTGTACTGAGTGGTGGCGAACCCGACTCGAGAGTTTGTCGTGTCGTACACCGAGTAAAACCGCTGGCTATGGAAGCACAATTCAGCAATTTATTTGGCCGGAAAAGGTGACTTGACGTACAGGAAACAGTAGCCGTTCGTGAAATCTAAGCCAGAACCGCTGGGGCTCCCATTGTCAGCGATGACCAGGTATATGCTGTTGGCATCACCACCGACGGCGGTGTTCAACGATCGAGGCCAGATTTGCGCATTCGGGGTGAGCTCATAAGTAACCCCACCAATAGCGAAATACAAGGGTGACAGCTGGTCGTACTGGTCGGATGAGATCTGTAACAAGCCAACCTCCTCATTGAAGGTCGCCCCCGTGGCAGACTGATATTTGTTGAAGGCATCTGAATAGTGGATTAGAAAGGTTTTCATGTCGTACAAGACACCTACCAGTGGCAATGAGAATCAGGGTGGTTCCGGTATCGACGATACCAGCTGTCTCATCCAAAATGGGCGTATCCCCATAGCTGATGGATTGATCAATGCCCCAATATGTGCTCGCTGGAGATGTCGATGTGATCGACACGTAGCTGACATCTCCAGTAATTTTGGAGGCGTCATAACCACCGAATGTGAGCTCGCCACTGCTATCGGAGGAGGAAGCAGGTGCGAAGAACACTCCGAGGACTTCCGAACTAATCGTTCCTTGCATATAGAGATTTTGCGTCACAGTTGCAACTTCGTCTGTATTACTGACGGTGCCCCGCGTTAAACCAACTGGTCCGACGCCAAGAAGTCCATCGACACCATCACCTATTGAGGTGCTAGATGCGACGCCAATAGATTGGTTGTCGATAACCAGATCAGAGTTGAGCGTTACGGTGTCGATATATTCCTCTCCAGAAGCGTATTTCTTTTTGCCCGACTCGTCGCCGTATGCAACATACTGGAAACGGTTTGACAAAATGCATGTGTCACGGAAAAACAAATACTCACGAATGTATTGCCTGTGTCCTGGCTCGTGACAGTCTTTTCGTAAGCTTTGTTGGCTCCGATCCAGGTATTTGAGCTTCCGGTGTCTACGGAGAGTGTGTCTGTATGAAATTGGCAATGCATCAGAAAAAGAAACTGAGGAGCACAAGCAACTTACAGTACGTTGCTGGGTTCCCAACACCAATGTCAGCGGTGTATATCGCCCCAGTACTGGTCACAGTGATAGAAGAGCTGTCGCCAGCTTGTCGGGCTTGGATTCGAGCTCTATCTGCAGCCGCGATGTTCTTGATCCCGTACGAGTTTATTCTAACGGCAAGTTTAAGAGTAGCCGGGCTTGACGCTGTCCGAGGATGAGGGGAAGCGCTCGCTGAGAGTGAGAGGAAGGCAAGTGCCGGGAGGGCAAGAAGGGATGACAGCGATCTGGAAGGAAGCATCTTCTTGATGTGGCATCCTTCCTAGGCGAGCCATTTTATATGGTGGTCTGTAATGAAAGGCATCAGAACGTTATTCTGGCAATATCTGAATCACAGAAGCGAACAATAGCAAGATTTCGAAATCACTACGTTAACTTGAAATGTGACTGGGCCCGGGGCTGAGCGCTCATCGCGTGGAGATGCATTCTAGTCCCATGAAATTCATCTATGCAGGAAATAGCTGTCGGTTAGTGAATGGTTGCAGCAGAAGTCTGAAAACGACCTTTGAATAACCTGCAGGATTTATGTTAGCAAAAACCCTCAGTAGTGGTACTAGTGTCACTGTGTCACTGAGAATTTTCAGGCGTGATTGGCAATTTCAGCTCATCTGAACATTATTTACGTAACGCTCACTTTGTTCATTTTAGTTCTGTTCCAACTCGGAGCCTTGATTGGTTCCGACACGAGGTGACACTCGAGTCCGAGTACATATGTGGTTACTGGTACATAAGTACCCTGTTCCAACTCGGAGCCTTGATCGCTTTGAGTCAAGATTCTGCTTTCGCCACTGGCAGGAAACGGAGTGTCTATTTGGGCTCATTCAACTTATTAGTGGGTGCGTGAGACAGAATATTTTTAAAGCTTGTCTGACTTCAATGAAGGATGCAGAAACGGACAACATTTCTAACTCGTCGTTGTTGTTCACGAGTGCGAGGATGTTGATGCATTGATGGCTGACAGGGACGGTGACATCGACGCGGGCTCGTGTTTTCGAATACTTGTGTAATGCCGATAAATTATAGGACACAATGGTACAATCCTCCATACCTGAGACATTGATGCTGTTGAATAACTCGGCAACAGCGTATGCGGCACTGTCAGCAAGATAATATAGAAAGCAGGCTTTGGTGGAGAATGATGATACCCGGAGTATGGCACACATGGTCAGTCAAAACTTATACCGCCACAAAGCGCGATCACACTTAACAGTTGTACCATGCGCAAGTGCAGGACACAAAGAATGAATGCTGCCTTCCCCATGTGTCGTGGGCTATCAGGAGCTGATCAAGCACAATCTCTGGCTAGCGCTTGAGACCCGTATGTCAACTGTCTTCCTGATACGGTTCAATAGTAGGCCTCTGCCCAATGTGGACTAGTAAGCATCAAGGATTAATACCAACGCTATACCGTGCCTGCCATGTATCGAGCTAACCGTAATACGTCACAGGGCCTTGGTTATATGTCTAATTTATACCCCACCATAACGCGTTAGAGGAGGTCAGCCACTCCAACACACAGGCATCCGATGATGGGCCACTGGTTGCTAACTTTGCAACTGCGGCGGTATGTCACTCACGATCCACGCCATACGGTTGCCTCTATATACACAGATATAGTTTCGGTGTTCAAGAACTCATCGATGCACTAACCAAGCTCAGGTGCTTACCAATGAAGCCGTTCAGCCTTTAAAAAGAGTTTCAAGATTGGCCGCAGCACTTCAAACCCCATGTCTCAGTGCTCTATGATGCAGACGCTTGTCCTGTACGACGCCCTCTCCAACCTACCAGGCAATAACTTTTCAGCCAACCCCGCAAAGCCGAGGTCAGTAATTCATATTCTGTATGTCACACTTTGATATCTGACCAGCCTGCTGGGCCCTAGGTTCGTTTTGAGCTACAAGGGTCTTCCGTTCGTGACCGCCTGGGTCGAATACTCAGACATCTCGATCGCTATGAGGGCCATCGGCGCAAAGCCAAACAAACGCTCAGACGGCTCGGATTTTTGCACTGTTCCCGTCCTCAAAGACCCCAACACCGGCGCCCTCATCAGTGACTCCCTCGAAATCGCCTCCTACCTCGAGAAGACATATCCTGAGAAGGCCATTTTTCCCAACAACTCAGAATCCTTGATACGCGAGTTCAACTCCGCCCATATCAGACTCATTCTACCTGCTTTTAAGTCTATCTTCGTACGCTCCGCAGGAATATTGAGTCCCGCCAGTGCTAAGTTCTTCATCAAAGTTCGTTCCATAGACATCCCGCTGCCTTGGGATGCGACTTACGATAAAGACTGGGCCCTACTAGAGAAGGGGTTCAATACTACTTACGAATGGTACCAGAAGACAGACGGGAAGTGGTACATGGGTGACACTTTTTCGTATGCAGATATCATTGTAGCTTGTTATTTGCTGTGGTTCAAACGAGTACTGAAGGAGGATGAGTGGGTCAGGATCAGTTCTTGGAATGGAGGGAAATGGGCTCAAGTTCTCGCAGATGTTGAGAAGGAGTGCGGATTAGCGTAGGAGACTGCGTGTAGTATTATAGCAGTTTTTTCGGAGACATTGAGAACAATGATAAATTCCTTCAACAGGACGACCCAGCCTGGCCACCGTTCACGAAATGTGCACCACGTGTCTGGCTTAGATCAATGTTATGTGGGCCTGGACCTCCTGAGCCTGAGATTGGACTAACTTACTAATAACATGGATAGCAGTGCACACGGTTAGTTAGGCTGAGTCATTGATGCAACTTATACAGCCACCAAGCACGCATCATTTTGTACAATGCGTGCAGGCCACAAATGGCGGGCGCTTGACACCCGTACGTGAACCTCTTCTCGATGACTCAACGTCCTAGACCTCTTAGTACGCATCAAGGATCAATACCCCACCATAACATGCGTCGCGTTAGAGGAGGTCAGCCACTCCGACACAGCTTCCGATGACACCACTGGTTGCTAACTTTCAAACTGCGGCGGTACATCGCCCATAATCCATGCTACATGGAGGTATAGTTTTGATGTTCAAGCATGCTAACCAAGCTAGATGCTTACCAATGATGCTGCTCAGCCTTCAAAAAGAGTCTCAAGATTGGCCGTAGCACTTCAAACCCCACGTCTTAACACACCATGACGCAGACACTTGTCCTGTATGACATCCTCTCCAACCTACCAGGCAATAACTGGTCACCCAACCCCGCAAAGCCGAGGTCAGTAATCCATGTCCTGTATGTCACTTTGATATCTGACCAAGGTCTTCTATGCCTCAGGTACATTTTGAACTACAAGGGTCTTCCATTCGTGACAGTCTGGGTCGAATACTCAGACATCTCGATCGCTATGAAGGCTATCGGTGCAAAGCCAAACAAACGTTCAGACGGCACGGATGTTTACACCGTCCCCGTCCTCAGCGACCCTAACACCGGTGCCCTCATCAGTGACTCCCTCGAAATCGCCTCCTACCTCGAAAAGACATATCCCGAGAAGGCCATTTTTCCCGACAACTCAGAATCCTTGATACGCGAGTTCGACTCTGCCCATTTCAGATTCATTGTACCTGGTGTAAAGCCTATCTTCGCACGCTCCACAGAAATAATGAGTCCCGCCAGTGCGAAGTTCTTCATCAAAGTTCGTTCGATAGACGTGCCGCTGCCTTGGGATGCGACCTACAGTGAAGACTGGGCCCTACTAGAGAGGGGGTACAATACTGCTTACGAATGGTACCAGAAGACAGACGGGAAGTGGTTCATGGGCGACACTTTTTCGTATGCAGACATCATCGTGGCTTCTTGTCTGTTGTGGTTCAAACGAGTTTTGAAGGAGGATGAGTGGGTCAGGATCAGTTCTTGGAATGGGGGGAAATGGGGCCAACTTCTGGTGGATGTTGAGAAGGAGTGCAAATTGGCGTAGAGGATTGCACATACTATCACATTCATTTCGGAGACATTTCAAACAATGATAAGTTCCTTCCACAGGTCAACCCAGGCCAGCATCATAGTCACAAAGTGTGCACGCTAAGCTTAGGTCGTGTGGACCCCCTGAGCCAGGATTTGGCACGAAAAGTGGCAGGGAACAGCACTCATCTGAGCCGCCTAAGTAACCACTCATAGGAAGAAAGCACAAGCTTACGCACCAACAAAACCCCCAAAAATCAACGTATTGCGAATGTCGCAAGTCATACATTACTTTCCAATTTTAGGGGTCTTCCGTCTTCGTCGTGTCAGATCCTTTGCAGAATCAAATACACCTACATAATCTACAATATTTGATGGGTTTCGTCATTAGCGGAGATGTCTGGTTCCTACAGTGATTGAGGGTTGCGCAAAAGTACAATGTCATGGTGTCATTGATGGTGAGCGATCGTAAGACTTACATTTCCCATTTCCGAATAATGTACGACTCATCGCATCAAGACGAAATCCTATCAATGGCACTACGCGTTGAGCCAGAAAAATCACAATGTGTTCCGTTCGTTGATGGCTTGGACCCGATGATACCTTGACATTATTGGCCAGTGCGCAGCTGTAGCAAGGTCCGGCAAGGTCCGGATATTCTTCCACGGCCACATTGATGCCTTCCGAGGCGGGCGGAAATGTCCGTGCTAAATCTATCTTTAGACAAGCATCCGGGCGGAGATGTCCGAGAACCATGCTAAATCTATCTTTAGGCGACGGGCGGAGATGTTTGAGAAGAACTGTTTTCTAACTGTATGCTTTATGTACGCTTCCTCAACTGATTCTCCACTTGTATGCATGCATACATGAGGGCTGGCAATGCTAGGTGAGCATGCATAACTATTGTTCTAGTATCCCTGGCTTTGTATCAAAGCTTATGACGGTATAGCCTCCACCACTGAGACAGGACCCAGACAGGACCCAGAGTAGACTCTACGTAGACTGGACCTAGAGTTTCCATGTTCCGGACGTCCTCGGACTAACTTACTGACATAGATAGCAGCGCAAACGGTTAGTCAGGCTGAGTCATCTAGACTACGAAGCGCGCATCACATTTTGTACAATGCGCAAGTGCAGGCCACAAAAAAGGAATGGCTGCCTCCCTTGTGTGTAGTGGGCTGCTGGGAGCTGATCAACTATAACCGGTTTAACCTCTGGCGGGTGTTTCACACCCGTAAGTGAACCTTCTTCAATGTCCTAGGCCTCTTACTAACATGTATCAAGGATCTCGATCAATACCAACACCATACTTTGTGCCTGCAACCGCAATGCGCCCAATTGGTTGCATCTCCAATTCATACCCCCGTTAGAGGAGGTCAGGCACTCCAACGCAGCATCTAATGACACCACTGACTTCTAACAAGGTACGAGCTTTATCCCATTCCCATATGTATTTGATTCCTCTGGCACGACGGCGCCTTTTTATTCTGGTCCTATCGTTATCAACCTTTCCAACTGCGGCGGTACTACATCGCCCATAATCCGTGCTGCATAGAGGTATAGTTCCGGTGTTCGAGGATGTTAACCAAGCTCAGGTGCTTACCAATGAAGCCCCTCAGCCTTTAAAAAGAGTCTCAAGATTGGCCGTAGCACTTCAAACCGCACGTCTTAGTACACCATGACGCAGACACTTGTCCTATATGATATCGTCTCCAACCTACCAGGCATTAGCTGGTCGCCCAACCCCGCAAAGCCAAGGTCAGTAATTTATGTTCTGTGTGTCACTTTGATATCTGACCAAAGTCTACTACGTCTCAGGTTCGTTTTGAGCTACAAGGGTCTTCCGTTCGTGACTGTCTGGGTCGAATACGCAGACATCTCGATCGCTATGCAGGCCATCGGTGCAAAGCCAGACAAACGTTTAGACGGCACGGATGTTTACCCCATCCCGGTCCTCAGCGACCCTAACACCGGTGCCCTCATCACCGACTCCCTCGAAATCGCCTCCTACCTCGAGAAGACATATCCCGAGAAGCCTATTTTTCCTAACAACTCGGAATCTGCGATACGCGAGTTCAACTCTGCCCACTTGGACCAAATCATCACGCCTTCTATCAAGTCTATCTGGGTACGCTCCACGGAAATCATGAGTCTCGCCAGTGTGAAGTTCTTCACCAAAGCTCGTTCCATTGACATCGCGCTGCCTTGGGATGAGAGTTACGATGAAGACTGGGCCCTGCTAGAGAAGGGGTACAAGAATACTGTTTACGATTGGTACCAGAAGACAGACGGGAAGTGGTTCATGGGTGACACTTTTTCCTATGCAGACATCGTCGTGGCTTGTTACTTGCTGTGGTTCAAACGAGTTCTGAAGGAAGATGAGTGGGCCAGGATCAGTTCCTGGAATGGAGGGAAATGGGCCCAACTTCTTGCAGATGTTGAGAAGAAATGCAAATTGGCGTAGAAAGAAGAGGTGCAAATTGGCGTAGAAGCTTATGTGTACTATAGCAGTTATCTTGAAGACGTTTCAAACAATGACAAGTTCGTTCAATAGGTCAACCCAGGCCACCGTCGCAATCACGAAGTGCGCACCGCATGTCTGGCTTAGGTCAATGTTATGTGGCCCCCCTCTAAGTTAAGCCCAAGCCGACCTATCGGACTCGTGACAAACTCGACACCAAAATCGCAGCGGGGACGGTACTCAAGTACTCACGAGTCACGACTTGGAAGAACCAGAACATCAGAAATAACTGGGCGCAGGCTCGTGATGTGGATTTCTTGTATTTGTACCCAAAACGATATCAGATATCGAATTTATACGAGTCAGTAGCTCGGACGTCCCGAAACTTTACTGCCTTCTCTGTTGCGGTAAATTTTACCCCCTTGCTCACTCGCCCACATTTATCTGCGGTGGCCTGCACAGAATCTGCCTTACAAAGTGATAGTGCAAGTGACATGATCCTCGTCGAATGTATAAATTAGCACGAGCGAGATCTTCACCAAAAGCCTCTGGAATTAGAAACCAAGGTAGATGAAGTGGAGCAGGGTTGCCAGTGGGAACAGCGGTGGGTAACCACAAGGAGTCGGCGGTGGAAGAATCAGGGTGATCGACAATTAAAACAGCCAGTGGGGTGCCAAAATTGTTCAAGGCCGGACCGCGAGAGGGGAAGAGCACATCGCCCGCCAGCAGAGGAAAGAGTAAATCAAGTGAGGCAATAGTCCATTGCAAATATATGTTGGGTAGGGCAGTGGCAGGGAACAGCACTGATCTGAGCCGCCTGACTTAGTAACCATTCAAAGGGAGAAAAGCACAAGCTTGCGCACCAACTGCGATAAACCCCCAAAATCAAGGTATTGCGAAGGTCGCAAGTCATAGTATATTACTTTTCTAATTTTAGGGGTCTTCCGCCTTCGTCGTATCAGATCATTTGCAGATTCAAATACACCTACATAATCCACAATGATAGGTAAGTTCGTCGTTAGCGGAGATGTCCGGTTCCTACAGTGATTAAGGGTTGCGCAAAAGTACAATGTCATGATGAACGATGAACAATCGTAAGACTTACATTTCCCGAACAATGTCCAATTACTCATCGCATCAAGACGAAATCCTATCAATAGCACTACGCGTTTAGTCGGCAAAATCACAATGTGTTCCGTCCGTTGATGGCTTCGACCCGACGATAGCTGACAGATCCTTGACATTATTGGCCAGGGAATTGAGAACGTCGATCTAGCAGGAAGGCTGTTGAAGTACGATGCCATCACCAAGATCCGTGTACCTCGGCAAAGATTCGATAGATAGTTTTGCCTAGCGCACAATCGACAATGAACGGCCTGCTAGGTAGATCTGTTCATCAATCTACCACATACGAGGGTAACGCACCGAAGTCACTGACTCGGTGTATCTGTGCATCGACCGAAAGGTAGCAGCTAAGTTCGAATGATGAGTCATGTCGTGTGAGTGACTCATCGTGGACGAACGACGGCATCGGACGGTCACTCTGGGATTTTGAACATTAGACTGTGACACACTGCCAGAACAGTGAATGCCATAGCCTACCTGTCGAGAAACTGCCGGAAGTAAAAAAATTTCAAGCAGCGAGTTTGACAAAAAAGCACCGACTTGAACCTGATCGTCCGGAAGCGAACCAGTGGATGATCACTCCTGCAAGAATTATTTTGGAACCAGGGGAATTCCCTGCGGTCTGCCAGGTGATCCGATTTCACATGTTTGACAAATGACATGAAGTGTAGCGACTGGTAGTGGTACATAGGCTACACCACGTCTGGTCGACCATTACAAATTTAATATTATAGAGTTCTTGGTGCTGCCAACGAGCATATTCAAATAAAGCTCTACAACAATCTACCGGTCCTCACGATTACCGTGGCCCTCGAATTCGACGAGTACCAGTAGTAGACTCCAACACACACCCAACTACCAGGACTGTACAAGCTTTATTTTGTAACATACTATGCTAGTCACTGGCAGCGTGTGCTATGATCACTAGCCAGTACTACTTGCGTTCGTGTATGGGTGTCGTACGCGCGCCGTAGTATACATGAGAATAAGGTATCCAAATTGTAACACAATGAAGCCAAAAGAAAAGTAAGCGACAACACCCGAAGAAGAAATAACTATGTCCAACAAATAGCCTTAGGTATCAGAAGAACGTACGGTATGGTTCACGAATCACAACACAGAACAACGAATGTGACGGAAGTGAAGTGAAGAGGATGGATCCTTCATTGTCGTGGCACGTTGAAACCATTCCGAGACGAATGTTTCTCGCTCGATTGGCGAGCACGGCCAGGAAGCACAGTGACGTGACGCGAGCCACCATTGGAAACGCCTAGCATAGTACGGTCACCATTCACAATGATAGATTCCTTCTCAGCAACTCCGTTCTTTTCGAATTGAGCACGTTTGGCATTGGCCGGACCCAGGGTCTGTGAAGGGAGACGCTTGAAAGCAGGCCGGAACATTTCGCCCTCCGAGCTTCCTGTGCAGTCAGAGGCAACAGATGACTCTCTTGACCCATCTCTTGACCCGCTTTGAGTGCTTGAACTTCCCATGCTGCTCACACGAGGTACAGGCAACGAAATGGACACCCCATTCATTGGTGGCGCAGCTCCCTTCATGGGAGGCAGATGAGACATGAATGCCTGCGAAAGTGACGATGCCGACGAGGAGCTTGAAGGACGGCTGGCGTTCAAATCAAAACCGATATTCAACTGCGAATGTGTGGTATCTGTGCGACGATTAGTGCCACGTGCACCGGAAGAAACAGATGCAGGTGGGTTTCCCCGCGTACCTCGCCGTTTTGGGAGGTTGAGGTTGAGCGATGCGTTGCGAGCATTGACAGCAGCTTCATAGCTCCGAAGATCTTCAGGGTTGCCATGGAGCGTCATGCGAGTTCCCTCTCCATTGCCGTTTGCCATACCAGGAAGGGCTCGTTCTACGGTAGGCGTTTTGGAACTTGGAAGAGAGGACACACGAACTCTTCGGCGTGAAGAGGGAGATTGCGGCATGGTGCCCGGCACTTCTGAGCCAGCGAGTTGAGGTCCACTCATAGGCGTGCGTATGAATGCCTTCCACATGAAGTCGTCACGACCTAGACCAGGTGTGGGCAACGCAGAGAGTGACATGCCGCGATCTCTGAGCTGCTGCTGTGATAGTGCCTTGGGCGGCATCGGAGTAACGTTCGGCGAATGAGGTCGCATATTCATTGCAGCGTTTGAGAAGAAAGGTACGCCATCTGTTGAGAGCCCAGCAAGGACATTTGGGTCGTCAATAGACATGAGTCCAAATGCGGAGGAGAACCCGCCTTCACCGACTCGAGAATGTTCATCGGACTGCTGGTCGTGGGATTCAGGTGCAGAGGTAGAGGACATCGAGTCTCTTCGGCGTTGAGGGTCAAGCAGCATTCGCTGTTGAAAGTCCTCTGAAACGCCCTGGTACATATCCCCCGCCGAGAGGGGGAGATGGACGTTGGACGAAGTAGCGCTAGAAGGCATGGATTGCGAAGCGCTACTGCCGTCACTGTAATCAACGGAGTCTCGGCGAGGCCGGTAGGCTAATCCAATGAAGGGCCCAGTGAACATTTCTGAGTTGAAGTTATCTAAACCGTCCGCACCATATTGATTTTGTGAGAAAGCTTCATCCAAAGACGCGAACTGGGGTTGACTAGTTTGTATAGTAGTCAACCCCGGGTTTGTGCTCTCGCCCCATCCAAGCCAATTGTTGGAAGGTTGGTTGTGGTCCGTGTAAAGCTCAGGTAGAAGTGCCGGTGAACCTTGGGGATTTGCAAGCATGGGAGCTCCGGCATGACGCATAAGGTCAGCTTGTGCCCGATTTCTTCCAGCAATCTCGGAGTCGGAAGAGAGCGACATGGGAAGATGTACAGGGTTTGCTGACGAAGCATACACATGATTGAAGGAAAACGGGGTTGTGTAAAGCGGATCACCCGAGGAAGTCTCCATACTGGGTACGCTCACTGGGGAAGGACCAAGGATGAAGTCGTCCATTGATAGCCGTCCAGTCCCAAGAGAAGAAGAAAGGGAGGCGGGGCGGGGCACATGATGACCAGGACCACTTGGTGCGGTTTGACGGTGGAATTTCACATAAGTACACCGACCCTTGCGTTGTGAGCATTTTGCTAGAACAAGAGTAAGAATAGAATCGTGGGTTTTGGGGCACAAACGTACAACAAGGATTGCAACCGTCGCACGGTAAGCTTGATTGGACGCATTGATCACATGCTTGCTTTGAAGTAGTTGCGCGAGAGGTTGAAGCAGAGCCTTTACGACGACCATTGGTGGCAGTTTGTGGCGGTTTTTCATTTGCATGACACTTGTTGACGTGGCGCGATAAAAGATCGCTGAGGTAGATTAAGTTAACCAAGATCAAATAAACCATTTGGCTGAAGACTTTACCTGCGTGCAAATTGGTCTCCACAATACTGACACTTGTAGGGGCGATCACCTGTATCTGTTGAGGAGCGAGCCGATGTGGGTCAGTAAAATGATGATGGTGGAGGTAGATTGTAAGGACAGGGGGTAAAAGGCTCCCGTGGCAAAGTGGAGCGAAATTAGTGCTAGAATGGAAAAAAGTACATACGTGATCGCATGTGACGAGCGACGTGCTGTGGACGAGTGAAAGTAGCCTGACAGACAGGACATTGATGGTCACCACCCATTGGTATAGAATCTAGTGGATGGTAGTGAGAGTTAGAGAAGAAGTTCCAGAGTTCAAGTCGTGGACGAGTGGATGATACTATCCGATGACACAAACCTTGTACACATATTTATCCTTACCAAAACACCTGGATCTATAACCTTCGGCGTCGGCCGTTTATGATGTCATACATACCTTATCGGTTGACACTGCTTTCTTACATAATATCAAATCTCTTATATCTCCCCTAACTGTCATTCCATTCATTATAGGTTCATCCTACGACTCTGACCTTCTTCCACATCATCCTCTCCATTCTTCACCCTCCACATCATCTTCCCTAAAAATCAAAATAAAAGTTCGAAAAACAAATTGCCGTTCCCGTCGTCAAGACAATGCTGGCAATTTAGCGTGTGACGCCATTTGATGTCACCTATTTGCGGGAGATCGTGGCGGAGATCAACCCGCTACAAACACGCACACTGACGTCAGTTCATCAAAACACTCCTACGAAACGTGTCTTCACCTTGGTGCGGAGACGGGCACGAATACTTCAGCATTCGCCCTATCACCGTAAATTTAATCAGTAATCTCTCCGATTCAATCGTCATAGGGCTATAAACATGAATAGCAGATCGCTGCCGGGCGTCTGGTAATAGGCTCCGGAGAAGGCAGGCGTCATGAAAAGGCATTGCATCGAGCGTGATCACCACCCTCGTTGTCCTGTCCCTGTTCTACGGATCTCCGCGACAGGAACAGTGCGAACAACTTCACACTCATCATGATGATGGATAGCGATCTCACGGCCCAACACTGTGGATCGCTTCCTCGTCAGAGTGTGCCGGCATTCTTAAGAAGCCAGGGGAGCTGATGCCAAGTTAGCCCTCCCCTTAATTAGAAACTCCCCGTGTCGCGTCATAAGATGTCTTCAAAATCCGAGGCAGTGACAAAATTAAACGATTCGATCGCAATTGCGATCACTGGCCTCGTCCTCAGGCAACACAGGCAAAGCCGGTGGCTCCCAGGTGATGTCAAGAAAAAGAAAAAGGAAGAAAGGCAATGGGCGCTGAAGAAATAAAATAAAATGATACTCAACGGTGTAGTGTTATCCACTCCGATGTACTTCATATCAACTGGGATATAGTGCTTGTTTGGCAGTTTGTACGTGACGGACGCGACGCCCGCGTTCTCCGCGATGACGCGTTGCCCCATCTTAAACAACGTTGCCTGTCATTAAATAGAACCATCAGAAACGTGCACAACACGAGGATCGAAGTCTATGACGCACTTGCACACTAGCGCTGGAATCCAGGGCGAAAATATCGAGCGTTGCAGTTCTCACCCGCGTCGCAACATTAACTGCATCCCAAACACCTCCGAGGGCGAAGCCCTCTGGGACAATGAAATCGAGTTTCTTGTCATCAGTGGGGGAGATGAGCGATAAGGGCGCGAATGTATAAGTCAGGTCCACGGAGGTTGACAACACACGATCGTCCACTTCCCGCAGCGTGGTGTACTCATCGTGGATGAATCCGTGAAAGGCAGAACCACCCGACTTGAGCACTGCGATGCGCAGGAATGTGTGAATACAAGCTCGAGAGTGCAAGGATAAGCTTACCCAAGAGATCGGTGATTCCCGAGGTTACTTTAGCTGAGAGCTTGTCCTTGCCAGCAGAGGCATCGACCTGGGGAGAAAGAAAGGAGTGTTTGATAAGCTCTATATATACGTTTAAGAAAGAGAAGGGTGATAGTGTCTCGACCGAGAGTTGCCGCAGCTCGGCAATTGACGGCAAGGGAACACTCCACTTCAGCGACTTTGATACATAGTTTCGCTCCACCCGCCAAGTCGGAGCTCGAGAAGCATAGATGACGTCCAATTAAAGTCCGTACCTCGACCTCGACCGTCTGTCTGTCATTCCCGTCTCTAATGAATGAATGCGGGTGCGGATGATCATTTGCACCCAAGGCAATGCGAGACCAACGCAACCTCTCCAAGGTAATAAATGCACGGTGTATGTGCGCATACCTGGAAACAATGTGAGTTCCAAGATGCAATGCGAACCGTTCTGGGCTGAGGATGTGGGGTGAAATCTTGGCAAGATCTAGTAATGGCCGCAGTGTCCATCTTGGTTAGCTGGTATCTCCTCTATCACCGTTACACGTACAATATGTGATGTTCTTCACTATATGATACGTCATGCGGTGAGCTTTAGCTGGACCATCGTACAGATTTACATACTAGAGTCAGTTGCGACAACAACGGAGTTGTCTGCAACCGTGTAGCTGCATACCCAATTATTAGAGACGGTGAAATTTACAGTATACCATGCAAATCACTGACCTGGTCTCGATATCACCTTCTAGGAGTACGCTGACATTGTATTCCACGACTTGGTGAAACTCGCCATCCCGAACAACACGAAAGACGCGAACGAGGTCTTTGCCATATCGAGTGTTTGTTAGAACTGATTCAGACATTATTGGCAACGGGACTAGGCTCGCAGTTTCAGTTGGTCTTCCAACGTTCAAGACCCCGTTCAACTTGTAGAAGTTTATAGGTTGGCTGCATTAGGGAGACTGTTGCGGCGTAGCGGTATATCACACGCTACTATAATCAGACTGATAAGCGACTGACTATATTAGGCTGAGTAAGCGCTCTGATTTCCCCCTGGTGTCCGTCGAAATCGCATCCCGCTTTTTTACCACATTTCAGTCCGTCCTATAAAGCAGCAGTTTTTCTACCGTAGACGTTTTCCTCGATCTTCCATCACACCAATGGTGATACTCTACCATCTCCGTTTGACGTCGACGGAGCGAAACCACGGGTACCCGTTCTCGTGCGAACTGCTTATCTTGAGCGTGGGTTATCCGAACAACTACAAGTGCTATCCTTTACTCGCGACCACCCTCAAAATTGAATCATTTCGGTTCTTTCCCAAGGAACCTTTCCTATTAGTACGACGATAAGGGACCAGATAAGGCAGATCGTCGTCCAAGAAAAATGCCATGGATCGATGCGCACAAGTTTTCCTCAAACACGATTGTCAAAGAGCATTTGTATGCTCATGAAGCAATCATGGAGCGCTCAACTTGAGCATACTTCCGAATCCCTGAGGTGCAATAAGACGTTCTCCAAGACACACTGGCCAACTGCTGGGGTCGTCTTGCCCTTATCGCGAAGCTTCGATTTACTTGGACACCACTGTCTGCGGAGGTCCGTTCCAGGTACTCCATGGCGTTGCGTAAATAGGCCTACTCTTCACCGACTGCGGTGCAGGTCCCTTCTCTTATGACGAGATGATGGAATGGCTCAACCACAAGTTGCTCATTTCAATAACTCGGGCCACTAGTCTTCACGCACCAGGACCTGTATTTTGTTGGCGCGATGGTGCGGCCTATTTGTTGGATAAGATCCGGACCATTCTCAGTCCAAGGGTTGGACCGAGAATAGTCGGGACTTTACCCGTCATAGTTCGAGTATATCGACATGTGCTCTGATCAGCATTCCAAATCGTACTTGTGAAGATTTTGACCCGGATCTCACGTTGCGAGTCGATTTAGGTGCTGCGATGTAATACTTTGTATTCGGCAGTTTTTAGGTACCATGTCAGCGAAAAGTACAGAATGTAGAATTCATGACGGACATAAATTCAATTACACCGATTCAGGTCGTGTACATGTGCTCCGTGTTCTTAGGACCCCAGCTGGGACCAATGAAGCAAGGCGACATCGACTGTACTTCCCTGATGCAGACAGTGCCCATCGACGCATCTAACAGACCGCATCCGAGATAAGATTGGTCGCCATTACACCGATTTCCTTTGATGGAATTTGATATCAGAAAGTTACATGAGGACCGGATGACTGTTGGATGACCGCATGAGCATGTGCTTTGAAGCAGGCGCTAACTCGTATCAGTTACCAATACATTTAGAGAGTTTGATTAACCAAGAACCTTCAAAATGAAAGTCGGATATCAAACCCACGTGCAGGCTCGTTGCCTCACGTTTTTCATATTCGAAGTATATAGAATTCAGATGCAGCCCGTGCTACCGTTCGAGGGACTAGTGACGTGGCGCCGCTGAGGTCGGATCGGAGTATACAGAAGCATGATGCACGATATCTGTATCACAAGGCTGCTAGTGGCACTGTAGTACTTGTTGCCGCATGAAGAATGAGCAGGAAAATTTGAAAAGGATAGCCCTCAATGTGATAGCAAAGGCACGCGAGCGGCGGAGGGTTCCATAGACAAGACTCGTGGGTGGTCCAACTCATCGTGCTTCTGGGATGTAATCGTAGTAGAAGCTGAATTCCAAAAATGCATGCTTGAGCTTAAGATTGGCGGGACGTCCGAGGAAACACGACGGCCCAGTGACTCGAGTAAGAGCACCAGACAGGCGTCACCTGCCAGTGCTACACAAACTTTGGTCAGTCAAGTGACGGATGGTAGACATACGTACAGGCATTCGTACGCAAGTGGATCACTTCAATATCATTTACCGGTCACCTGATAATAGACCAACCGCCCCGTATTAGGATTAGCGACGCGATAACGAGCGATAGGTTGGATGACGAGGACGAACGGCAGTTGCCGAGGCTCGACCTTGAACTTTTCTCAAAGTTGCTTATCCGCCTTAACTTGCGGCCAGCCTATATATCATCGTTCGATGTCATCCTTAGCTCATTTCATAGATAGCAACATCCTGGATAATCCCTGAGATTTTGCCCTTGTCGAGATGTACGTCTGAGCGCTAGCTCTTGGGACCATTTGGGTAAACACGGGTCATCGTCGGAACAGCTTGTTCCTTCCCTGCGTCATTTTATTAATCTTCTCACCTCAGGTAACGTTTTCGGACCTGGAGTACAGGGAGGTATAGCGGCGATAATCGCCAGCGTCCATGATGGTGTCAACGAGAGGTTTCAGGCATTAGTAGCCACCTAGAATTTCCTCGTTCACCCATAACTGAGTCAAAGTTCGAAGAAGTGATTAAATCTCAAAAATCACCTCAAGAAATTGTGAACAGGTGCGAATATTGGCCGAAGCTGATCATCATTAGCAATGACAGCATCTCCCTCAACGAACACATTTCGGAGATCTGGACTATCCTTGCATCCTACGAGACAACCACGCCACTCTCTGCGAATTTATCATTAATCACTATCGTTGTAAACAATTCATGTGCACTTTCCTCTACCAGAAGACACGTCATATGCATATGGCCCAAAAGTCAGCTGACTGGACGCCCGCGTCCAATGAACTCTCCGAAATGCGCTGGCTTGGCGCTCCTCATTAGTGCTCATTAATACACATACTTCCTGACAAAGATGTACGCGCAAGCAAGGCTCATCAGACAATCAAGTTATCCACTTGGAACTTTCCAGCAAGACAATGTACTCATGAGCTTAGTTTCTCGGTCACCTCATCATGGCGCTAGAATATCATGCGGCTGAGGCCCAGAAAATGTAGAGCGAGGGGGCACAGTGGGATTTAAGAGGGCTACCGGAAAGTTTCAGATTGTTGCGCTGGCGTCGTGAAGACTTTGCTGATAAAGATAACGCTCGCCTCAAAATTCAACAAATTCACTACCGATTTTGATGATGCGTTGCTATTCTATGTTGGTATCCTGCAGGTAAGTTCATCCCCCATTGTGGTGCCGCACTGCTTATGTTTAATGTAGATTTGTATAATTCAGATAAGTCCGACGATTTGGGTCGCGAACCTTACTCTTGCGGCACTTAAAAGGCATTGTTGCATGGCATGCAACCATCGCTTGTGATACCGACGTATTCCAAAATCACTCGTGGCGCACTTTCCCTCGGTTTGATAGAGATCCCTCATGCCAGTTTTGATATCGCCAACTTAGATGACACCTGCGAGGCATATTTCATTGTAACTTCTTCAAAGCCCTTGTCTGCTTACAAAGATCTAGTCAAATCAATTATGATATCCCTACTCCCACAAACCTTCCCTGGCACCGTTCATGTTCTAGATGCGTGGTTTTTGAAATTTCCCTTCCAGATGATCATGTAGCGGCTCTAGACAAGCTACTCGAACTGACAAGCCTTATCATCGATGATTGCATGGCCTGAGATTTACTAAGCACAGATCATTAGATAACATCAGATTTCTTGTCTCGGCCATGTTCTCAAATGTATGTCATCTTGTTCTCGCCATTCAGGTTGTGAGTTTTGAACAGATTGGATTGTTCTTCTGCATTACTACGCAGCACTGTACTTGGATGTGTAAAACATACCAAGTAGAAAGATTGTAACAGCATAAATTGGTCGTCAAATCAGGAACCTCAAACCCGGGCTTTGGCTCTCCCGATGGCTAGATGATGCCTGCAGCCAGTGAGTGACAGAAGCAATTCACACACCAAGATTGACAGTATTGCCTAGCATCTGCCATGTGGAGAACGATAGACTCGACGAAGGCATCATCATGACATGGAATATTTGCAATGCATTCTCGCGACAAAGCAACGGTTAAGCAGGCCACTTACATAGTTCCCGCTACCGTTAGGGAGCGGGCCTTGTATACCATACATGTCTGGTCCGGAGGGTTCATGTGAGATTTGTTGGCACCTGAACAATCATCAGGATCGCTCTCTCCAAACCTGAAGGTCCGAGGTTCTAAATCTCACGGATACATTTCATATGAAGTGAGAAACTATCTGTTCATGCCCTCGTGCGACATCGTGACCCCATGGCTGTGAGAGAGCGAGGTGGTGGCTTGAGGCGACAGGGAATAGAACAGCGGCACTTTGAGGCATTTTAGAGATTGACCGAAACAAGCGACCTTGTAATTCAACCTCTTCTGTTTTGTTGTGACCTACATGTGAGACTGCAATAGGCTCACTGAGAATTATGCAAGCGGCCGCATCGCACATATGCCGGTTATATGTTAGGTCGACAAAATCCGTGGAATCTTTGACAGAACCCCTGAATCAAGGCAATCATGGCAAGAACACCCAAGGATGACATTGAGAATGAGTCGCCGGAAAGCTTTTGCGGTGTTTACATCTATGACCGCTTTGCAGATTCACAACTTCGGTCAATCAAGGCATAATTCCCATGTCGACGGTGTTCATCTTAGCGATAGTAAGGTACCGGATGGAGGCATATCCAACATGGATAAAACGACCGTCATGTTCACCGCTCGTTCACACTCATCCCTCGAAAATGACCGGAGTCGGAGGTTCGTGGACAGCTGGTCGAATGACATCGGTGTCGTGTCGGCAGCTGCGGTGGTATACGATTGGCTTGAGCAAGCGTATTAGAGATTCGCCTATCATTTTTCCAGCACTCACATGAATTGGATAAGAGGCAAGGAGGCCTAACCGATATTGACGAAATATCATGCGAGTCCCCATGATCAGTGATCACCCGGTTACATGCCATGTATCAGCAATCCAGAAAATTGTTTATCTTTCTCCCTGTGATCTCCTTAGCTATGTCGATCGTGTGCGCACTTGCTGGCGTAATACCAAGCAGAAACAAGCTCTAGAATAGATGCTTAGGTACATCAGGCTTATCAGACAAATAAGAGTATCTTGTCCTTTGTAGCACCTATCGATACATTTATCGATGGGATGAACACCATGCCTTGGATACTCTGTGTTGCATCGGATATCCTTGCACTGTGCACTGTGGATTAGTGTAAAACGCTTCCGTAAACTGCGACGGATGGACACAGGAGATTCAAGTTTCACGGTGTGAATTTTCTAAAACTCACCTCGCGTACCTTACAAGGTGAACTTGTCATTTCAATGTATAGCATCGTTTGGAACGTCTCGCAATCCACCAAGTTCCCTTGATGCTCCACGGGTGGGCATTACCAATATCCATTGATTACTTGACATCGGCTACGGGGTTCTGACTGGATTATGTCCAAATATATGGAGTGGGGAGTGAGATATCGAGATGGCTATGTAGGAACGAGGATCCCTTCAATGGCATCAGTGAGTGAACACAAGCGGGACCTGGACAAAGTTAATGGACCTCATCTACTGGAACATCTCTTCCGTAGCGAATGACGTGATCCCACATGCCTCTCAATATATCCTCATGTGGAGATCACAGAATTAGACGTCGTTAGCATAAATCTAGAGTCTAGACAACTGGAAAAGATTATATCTCGTAAGCTCCCGAGAGGAAGAAGCAACGTTCATGCATTACCACATTCGGCCGAAGCCTCGTTATGTCGAGATGGTATGGAATCAATGGAACATTCTTGAGATGCTGTCTTGAGATGCTGCGAAGAACGTGGACTGAAAGGGATACAGCGGTGGTTAAAGAAGGTGGTCCCGTGAGAGTAAGTAAAAAAGCACTAACCTCACCGGTCTATTCCTAAAGTGATCGTGAGTGATCGTGAGCTACAGTTATGATGCAATACACCCACGTACCTGTCATCTTAGGGATCAGGAATAGTCCAGAAGCTGATGCAGCAGCATTCAGGATTGCTCGAGCTCCACGAGCTGCATAAAGCAGATAGAGCAGATTTCCAATCCTGGTTTACGCTGGTCGACATCTCGAATACGACAGAATTCTTACAAAACCAGACGCGTGGTAGATGAATACCCCACGCCAAGAATGGATCTCATACTAACGCTTAGCACGGTGACCTTTTAGAAAAGTTCAGGGTGCTCTGTCACGATTGCGAGAATCACGAAGCGCACCAGCTGAATCACTTGACTAGGAATTGTGAGCTGCGTCGCTTCGACCATTGTGCGCCTACACATGCGGGTCGACAGTTGACAGTTAACTTGCATGATAGAGGATTAACGGCAGGCATGACGCACGAGATCAAACTCATTGTCGAAATGGACAAGACGTGCTGTCTTGCATTGTTTTCTTTTTCCAGTTTGACCTAACAGTTGTTAGATTAATTCGAAGAATCACTGGCAAAATTATTCTGTAAGCTTCAAGAACTCTGATCAAATGGAGATCACAGTGTGGAATATTTTTAGGTATATGAAGGTCTGCACAATGAGCACAAAACGTCACATAATGCTTTCTGCATACCTGTTCAAGTTGTGTTCGAGTCGTAAAGCGCGTCGGACATATCCGGGTAAGAATAGTTCTGCCAAATTTCCCACCCTCTTTATTTCCTCAGCGTTGGCCTCCGTGTCGTGACATTCCTTCCAGTAGTTTACTCAACCTGCTCGGAGACACCCAAAATGCGGTCTACACTCTCGACATCTGCCTTCAGACAGGCTGCTCGTCCCCGCCGTCTACCATCTCAGTATTCACGCTTCGCCAGCTCAAACGCGGAGACAGCGCAGAAGAAAACCCAGGACGCGCTCGGGTCCGCCCAAAAGACAGCGGAAAAGCTTTGGGAGAGCTCAAAAAAGTTCCTTGGTCCCCTCGGTGAGCGTGCTGGAAGCATGCTTGGATGTATGTCATTTCGTGATTTCATTCTTTGCAAACATTGATGCGGCTCTGTTTGTGTTTAGCATACCGTCAACCTGTGATGTACAACTTGTCCGTTGCACGCGAATTGTTGAAGCAGGTTTATGTGGCGGAGCGTTTGCAACCTCCCACCGACCTTGCAGTAGTAAGAAGCGCATACTCAACATTATGGAATCGTGCTAGCAGCCAAGCATATTGGCGAGGGATACTCAGTTCCGGGGAGTGGGTCAAGGTTGCCATATACGCTGTGGAAGCATACGGTATCTTCAAGGTTTGTTTTACACTGGCTTATGATGTTACAATTATTAACTGTCGACAGATTGGAGAAATTGTCGGGCGGAGAAGCATCGTCGGATACAACCTTCATTAGACACCACATTATTTATCGCCGAAAGCATGTCATAATGCTCTACACCGATTCTATTGCATAGATATTTCACATATCCCAAGATGATGCCGTGTCCCGTCCTTCGAAATCTCTATGACAGATAGTGGGTATGTTGTACCACATTGACAAGTCACGGAAAGTGATATAGATATCCAAGTCGCGTATAGCAAGAGAATATAAAGTATAGACTCTAATCCTCCTTCTTTGCACCAATCTTCTTTTCTGCTTCCGTAATTGATGCTGCGTCTGTTTGAGGACCAGCGGCAGCTGAGAACACAATAGTTCATTGAGTGACATGACAAGTACGTAGGAAAATTCACGTGCCTCCGAACATTGATGCAGCCTTGAACGGTCTCTTGAGATCACCTTCTGCAGGCTTCCCAAGAATGTGAATAGCAACAGGCTTTGCATCGTATAGATTCTTCAAACCCATGAGGGCTTGAATGAAGAGAGGCTGGGTGTACTTCATGTACAGATGGAAGAAGGCCATCATGGCGACACCAAAGTACGCAGCGCGAAGCTATAAAAATTGCAGAATAAACCCAAACTCCTCTTTCTTTCAAAAAAGTGACGTACAAGTTTCGACGTTTCGGACAGGTCATAGTCGCGGACCGTCGTAGTCACAAGTCCTCCAGAGTCGGGCGACTAATACCATGTGAGCCTAACGTGTTCTGCTTGCCATATGAATGGAATGTTACCATGGGATTTTGAGCATCGACTGGTACAAACGCTCAGATATACAACGAGGAAATTTTAAGATACGGACTGACCATATTTCAAGACGGTCTGGTCATTCTTCTGCCTGACCTGTGTTATCGCACATATTCAGATGCCACGTATGTGTTCTAAAAAATCCTGCTAACCTTGTAGGAAACAAAGAAGTATGCACCCAGGATGATGACTTGACTTGTAACATAACCTATCCGCACATAGTTCAGAACCTCCGGGTCATCGAATGGAATCCGACGGGCAACTGAGAACACGTCACACGAGTTTCGAAAGTCAGTAGCCTCCGGGATGAGATGGTATATGCTGACCTTGCATCGCACCAAGGGAAATGACGATGTTCTGTATTCCGGAGTTCATTTTGGTGTTGACTAGGTAGTCCTTCGAAAATGAAGTTTGAAGAGTTTGAGAGTCCGGGTAAAGCTTGGAAGGCGGCGTGACAGCATTATGTGACATACCTGCGCTTGTGACAATATGTCACATATCCTGTTTAGATGACGTCAAATTCCGTGTAATAACTGCATAATAAAGCAGACTAGAATTCAAAACTCCATTAAATCTCTCTTCTTGAGCTCTGGTGCATGATGTTTAACGAGGCTACAACCGTATCCCGTGCGACCTCTCTTTCGCGTGCCAGCAAGCACGGCTCGACAGCCTCGTCGCGCAATCAATCTCTCATCAAGAAAAACGTTGCTCCACAGGATCTCCGCCCATCCGATATTCTTATCGAGCGATTTGTCTCCTGGAAAGCTATTGTGAAGCAACTCATCAGTTACTTTGAAGGCGTCGCCGATATCGAGAACAACATCGCCAAGGAATACACGAAGCTTGGCGCAGTAATTCAAGTACCTTTCCGCTCAGGAAATCAATTTCTAGGCGAAGGAGGCCTACAGGTATGAGGATCCTTGCTAGATCCACTGTATCTCTCAGACAATGCATCAGGACGTATATTATGGCATTCGCGACAAAACACGCGCCATTGCCGACCAACATGCAAACCTGGGTCGGACCGTCGATAGCTCCATCGTGCAACATCTACAAAAACTGCACGCGGAAATTAAAGCGCACATCAAGGTGCGTACTCTACCTGAATAGTGTACGTATCACACCCTGAGTTCGGCCAGAATGTTCAAAACGACACTGGTAAATTGGCCACCAGTGTTGCCAAAGAACGCGAGCTATCCGGAAGAATGATCGGTGAACTGGCAACGAGTGTCAGCATTTTCAAGAATACCCCGATGGGCGTGACTAATAAGACTGATCCGTGAGCACTTCAAGGCTTCCTGCGATGAGATGCACTTTTGACGTGTCGCAGTTATGTTGCCAACATAGCAGTCATGAGACAATTGCAAAAACAAGTTCATGAAGAAAATGCTCTTCAGAAATCCATTATAATAATGCAACAGAATTCTGCCCACTTCGAGGAAGGAATTGTACGCGCCATTCAGTCGGCTTGGCAAACTTATGATGAGTGGCGATCTCGAATGACTAATTCGGTGCAAGATACGTGGCATACTATGGGTCGAAACATGGTCTCACTTGCGCCCGACCGGGAGTGGATATCATTTTCAGCCAGGTCTGACCATCTTCTTGATCCCGAGACCCCTCTGCGTAATCCAGAAACCATTCAGTACCCCTCGAAAGAAGACACCTCGGTCATAGCCGTGCATAACGGACATCTTGAACGCAAGAAGAGGTTTACGAGGACCTATCGCGAGGCCTACTATGTCCTCACTCCCGCAGGATTCTGCACGAGTTTGCGACGTCTGACCCATCTCAGTCAGGCAGTCAAACTCCAGTATTTCATTATTCCTTCCGGCGTGCACACTTGGCCCTCCGTCAACGCCGTCTTCAAAGTCTCACAAGTTCCATATCGAGGGTCGCAAAGATGGTACGGGTACCACTAAACATGGCTCTTTCAAATTGCCTATGACGGGTGGCCAACACGCTTGGTCATTCCGTTCTCGTAGTCATGAGGATATGATGGAGTGGTGGAATGATGTCAGAATGTTATGTGCCCGTTATCTTGTCGCCAGCGAGCAAATGGACCGCGGGGGTCCAGTCGAGGCGGCAGTCCGTTCCGCTGGATATATCAGCGACGAAGAGGACGAGGAGGATGGATCTAGCGTTGAGCAGGACCAGGAAGATGAGGATGAGGATGATCAGTATGAAGATGCTGACGCTGACGCTATTGTTGATGATGACGAGGAGAG